AGGCAAATGCTGCCTCTGTGACTGGCAAAGGGGTGCTTCTCAAGCCCCTGTGGGCAGTGTGAGGAGGCACCTCTCTTTGGGGCAGAGTGGGGGGCAGATCAAGGACCAGGGGCAGCAGCTGCAGCTGCCCAGAGGATCAGCAGCCTTCTATGCAAGACAGAAATAAGCCATGCTCTGTCTCTTTCTACAGCCTGTCACATAGCATTCTCCCTCAGCTTCTCCACTGCATTGCCATGCAAAATGAAGAGGGCTTTCCTCCCCATCCACATTTTGATCTGGCCCGCATTATATTCTGACCACCACCACCACCCATCAAGCTTGCAAAACTTAATCTTTTTTCCTGTTAGCTTACTTCAGTGGTTTTCAACCAGTGTGCCATGGCACCCTGGGGTGCCTTGAATGGTGCTCAGGGGTGCTGTGGGCTACTCTGGCCTCAGTCCCTCTTTCCTTCCTTTCCTTCTCTGATGCCCTCTTACATCTCTGCCTCCCAAAGGCTTGCACAGCTGTTTGTTGCAGCAGCCCTGGCAGCAGGCTCCCAGGCAAATGCTGCCTCTGTGACTGGCAAAGGGGTGCTTCTCAAGCCCCTGTGGGCAGTGTGAGGAGGCACCTCTCTTTGGGGCAGAGTGGGGGGCAGATCAAGGACCAGGGGCAGCAGCTGCAGCTGCCCAGAGGATTCCCAAGGAGAGCGGAGAGGAGACTGAGGGAACACTCCACAAGGCAGGGTGTTAGAAAAAGGTGAGAGGCTGCCAGCTCTGCAGGTAAGGGGTAACCAAAATGAGCTCCTAAGCCCCACAGGGGTGCAGCAGACAGAGTGTAGTTGGTCAAGGGAGCCATGGAATCAAAAAGGTTGAAAAGCTCTGGTTTACATCATTTCCCAATGTAATCCTGGAAACTTCCCCCTCCCAATTCTGGAATTGTCTTCTGCTACCATAGGCAACTGAGGGACACGGGTGGCACTGTGGGTAAAACCTCAGTGCCTAGGACTTGCCGATCGTAAGGTCGGCAGTTCAAATCCCCGCGGCGGGGTGAGCTCCCATCATTCGGTCCCAGCTCCTGCCCACCTAGCAGTTCGAAAGCACCCCTAAGTGCAAGTAGATAAATAGGTACCGCTTCGGCAGGAAGGTAAACGGCGTTTCTGTGTGCGGCGCTGGTGCTGGCTCGCCAGCCGCAGCTTCGTCACGCTGGCCACGTGACCTGGAAGTGTCTTCGGACAGCGCTGGCTCCCGGCCTCTTAAGTGAGATGAGCGCACAACCCTAGAGTCGGACACGACTGGCCCGTACGGGCAGGGGTACCTTTACCTTTACCTTTACCATAGGCAAAGAACCTATCCATTCTGAAGGAAATGAGCCCTGAGTGCTCACTGGAAGGACAGATCCTGAAGCTGAGGCTCCAATACTTTGGCCCCCTCATGAGAAGAGAAGACTCCCTGAGAAAGACCCTGATGTTGGGAAAGACTGAGGGCACAAAGAGAAGGGGATGACAGAGGGTGAGATGGTTGGACAGTGTCAGAGCTGCTTCCAGATCCTAGCTCACAGAGGATCACGCTAGCCAGCGATCATTAAACAAAAGTCTTTATTGAGTTACAGTTTCCATTCTCAAGCTGCTGCGTGCAACTCTACGTCTCATGCTTAGACCGGCGAAGCTCCGTCTGAGTCTCCGCCCTTTGTACACCAACTTAATATCCTAGCCCTGCTCCACCTTTTCCGCCTGACTGTTCTTCTCTAGGTCCCTCTGCCCCCGGGGTCTCTTCCTTCCGGATTCCTCTGACGCTGACGCTGACTCCCTGACTCTTCTCCCTCCTTTCGGCGGGCTTTGGGACCTGGCTCCCTTCCGGGCTGCCTACTGCGCCACCTTCCTGTGCATTTGAACTCATGCGCGCGCCCAACCTTCCACCTTCCGTCTGACCGTTTCTTCGCTCCCCGATGGAGGTGTGGCCACTCCTGACTCGTGCCCTCCCCCCTGTTGTGAGTTGCCAGCGCTTGATCCCTGGCTCCCTTCCTCTTCCCTGCTCTCTGGCGGTGACGTTGGTCCCGATTTCCAACTGCTCCCCTCTGAGTCCCCTCTGGCTCTATCTTCCTGGGGTGTCCCCTAGGCTCCCCCTTGCCCTGGCCACTGGTGCTCCTTTCTGTGAATCTTCTGATTCACTGGAAAGACTCGGAGATCTCGGGTCGTCGTCATCACTCATCTTTTCTTCTGCCTCCTCCCCCTCGCTCTCTGTTTCCTCCCTTGCCCTTGCCTCTGCTCCTGAACCCCTGACAGACAGTGTTGTGAGTCGAGGACCCTCCACCCACATAGGATTATAATAAGACACACAGACACGTTATTTTAGGTTAATGGGCGAAATTAGGCCACAACTTTTATTGGTTACAGCATGTGAGTAGTATTGGCTTAGGCATTGGATGAAACAGCAATGCAAGACTCCACCCCACACAGCCAGGAGTCATATCAGGGTTAACAACCAATGGGAGGAGCTTGTTGATGCAAATACAACTGGAAGCTCCCCCATGATGTCACCAGGGGTCGTGCCATGGCCCTAGCCACTAACAGGGCATCCTTAATGGAATACCCAGAAGAGGAGAGGTAGATGATGGCACATACCCAATACTCCAACACAGCACACATATTCCAATGCCTAACCGCCACCCGAGCCAAAAGGCTCGCCGCCAATACCCTCACAGGTGCAACCAATTCTTAATACTTCTGATGATGTCTGCCAACCACACATCATCTGAAGAAAGCAGGGGAGGGCAGGATTTTTCTTCGGGGTGGGGGGGGCAGAACCAACATGATTGGTCAGTGATCTTGGCTATGCCCATGTAAATACCCAGAACTCAGGGCAGGGCTTCCCTGGTTGATTGTTTTCATTGATGGGCCATCACTCTGTCTTTGTTTCTTAAATGACTTATCCCCTAGGCAATTTACTAAATTCAGGAATTATGGGGGTTTGCTTAAATGCTAACCCTTTACTAAATTTAGACATTTTAGGAGTGTCTTGCCCCCAACCAGCTTCCATCACCAAATTATAATGCTAGCTTGTTATGATTTATTAGGTTAAAGATCTAACAAGAACAAAAAAGGTGGGGGGAGGTGGTAGTTTCCCCAACTCTTGGGAAATGTTTCCCAAAATTATTTTGCTGATGGGCAGTCCCACCACATGTGCAGCCTAGTCATTACAGAACTGCAGACCCTCCAATGCAATGCTGAAACCAAATGATAGGAATATATTGCCATTTATCCCACACCTGTAGGGTTCTTGTGGGTCTTCCTCTAGCAAATAAATATTTTATGTACCTTAGACTATTGGTAGTCCATCTGTCACGTTGTTTGTATTTATCTGGACAATACAATTTTGGAAGGGAGCCAGGGATAGGCCTGCATTCCATTTCCCCCCATCAATGACCTTGATGGGTTCGGAAGCAATAATGCCTTGATGGTGAATCAAGCTGAACTCAAAGGAAGGTCTTTTGCATTTCTAATGATCTGTATAACATGTCTCAACCAAAATGCCTTGTAATACAGTTTCAGGTTTGGGATTCCCAGACCAACATGTTCCACGCTCAGTAGAATGTGTTGTCACTTACTCTGCCCCCCCCCCCAGCAAAATAAAGTTATTTAACATATTTTGTCGTTTAGCTAGTTGTTGTTTTGTTATTGTGATGGAAAGGCTCTAGAATAAAAACAGAGATTTGGGCAGGAGCAAGAGAATCAATGCCTATAGCAACCTATATTGTATGTTGTAACCCTCTCCCCATCTTCTTTGCAATATGTGAATACTGTGTCTTGCCTGAACTGCATTACTCTGACACTAACACTGTTCCCTAGAAGCACCCACCCACTTTGCTGGCCAAGATGAGGCTCTGTCTTCCACTTATTACCCCTGCACTCACAGACAAGTGGCAATGAGGGCTGCTGGGATGTTCCCTGGGAAACTTGGCCATTCAGACATAACATGTGTGTGTGTGTGTGTGTGTGTGCGCAGAATGGTTGCCTCAGATGCTGAGGAAGGTGTGAGGCAAAGGGGTACATAGGCCCATACAGCACTCCTCCTTTTTTCGATCCATTAGCAAGATAGAAGGTTGCCTTATTTGGAGACAGACCATCTGGCTCATTGCTCTCTGCACTGACTGGCAGCAGCACTCCAGATTTCAGCCTACAGTCTCTCTCAACCCTTCCTGGAGACGTCAGGAATTGAAGCTGGGCCCCTCTGCGTGCAAAAGATGCTCTCTTCCCTTTCTTCTGCCTGGCTGTGGCCTACCTTTGCTCTAATGGGTGTGTAGAAAGCAGGGAGTACCTGCGCCTTGTTAAAGTCTGCCTGCCACAAAGACTTCAGAAGAGGTCCCAACTGCGAAGCCCCAACACCCGCAGCAGCAGCAGCTCTAGAAACCCCTTCAAGGGAGGGGAAGTCTCTCTCTCTCTGCCTTCCAAATTCCCATCTCTTAAACGGTCCTTGCGACGAACGGGCTGTGGGTGTGTAAATGAGCACTTTAACGTGAAGAGGGTGAAGGAACCTCCTCCAGGGCAGTTTAACTGGTCCTCAATATGCTGGACGCGAGACTTCCGGGGTGGCGCCACCGGCAATGGCGGACTCCCTCTGAATTGAAGGGACTAGCTCTGCATGAAACGGGTCTTTTCCGCTGCGGTGTAGCGGGGACCCTTCTGGAAATCACAGGCGGATGAAGCCTGTGACCGTGGGACTCGGCGGGCACCCTTAGAGCCCCCAACCCACAAAGGAACCCACAAACGGGCTCCGAAGTGAAGAGGGGGAAGTGGCGCAGTGCTGTGAGTCAATTGCTTTCTCTGCGGAGCGAAGCCGCATAGTTGTTGCCGGAGAGCGCTGCCTTTTTCCTGGGACAATTTGGCATTTAAAACAACCAACCGTGAGTACTGGAACATTGAATATTTGGACTTCAAATAAGAACTGGCGAAATAAAAGGAATTTGGACTTAAAAATTAACCCTAATTTGGTACTGAAACGGGAAGGTTTAAACAGGAAGTCACCCTTCCGTTTCCTCGTAGTCAGAACAAAGCAAAGACAACGCAAACTAGAGCCTTAAAAATCACTTTTAAAGGATCGACTTTCATCATTTAAAATCGCTGAACCCCCCTTCGGTAGCAGGAGAAGAAGGGGGACCTTTTCTGAGCTGTTTAAACCTGCAGAAGTGAATCTAAAGCAAAGTAATTTTCCACCGTCCTGACCCTGGAGCGGGGTGTCAGAATTGACGTTTGAAGCTCATTGACCAGAAACAAATGTCTTTGACAGATAGTTAAAAGAAGAGAAACATTGTGACTCCATTGTTTCCTTTCGTCTTTTAAAAGAACAAATATGGACAAAATATCTTAAAAAAGAAACTTTGTTGCTATTGTTTTCAAGAAAAGAACAACCAGAAGTTTTTCCCCTAGAGGGAACTGTGAAATTGTAACTAATTCCTGGGAACTTGCAGCTGCCACTGATTAAAACTGTGGGAAAGGATTTGTGACCTTGTAGGACAATGTCTTCAGAAGCACTGTTGGGTGCTTTCTGTAAAATAAATGCCCTATTGGATCAGTTAAGTCAGAAGACGGATTTCATGACTAATGCGGCCAGAACCTTTGAACAGGTAGTGGGAAACTATATGGAGCCCACCCAGGAATCAAAACAGGAGCGTGCCATGACAGAACAACTGAAAGAAGAGGACCTTGCTGAATCTTGGGCGCCAGAGACGGAGAGAGCTGCGGCCCAGCAGGAATATAAACTTTTGGATTTGATAAATGAACTTGGAAAAACCAGACTTGGAAAGATAAAATCTGGTTTGGTTTGGAAATGGGGGGTTGGATAGACCCCCCTTTACAGGGAGATTTGGACTTTTCAAGTCTGGAAAGGGGCCGTCAGATGTTTGGAGCTGTGGGGGCTCTCAATTTTGAAGGGAATCTGGAGCATGTTTGTAAATACTACATCGAGCCTATCCTGGACTATGGAAAAGGGATTGTCTTGCTGAAAAGGGTCAAAAACACTACCAAGCTGGAGTTCCCACGAATAAAAGGGAAATATAAAGAAGAGTTACGGAAGGGACATGGAAGAGACTTGAGGGCCTCGGATATAAGATTGCCAGGTTAATGTGCTAGATTAATAGGATAAAAGGACTGACAAAACCCGGGACCAGGAGGAAGGGACGTTGGATGAAGACTGGATTGCTTTTTTCTTTTATTTTTATCATTAGGACTGTCTTATAAAATTGATGAATGTTAGGAAAATGTTGAAATGAAATTATTTGGCTCTTATAAAAATGTCTAAAGAATTAGGTAAGAATGTTATGGTTTAGGAGAAGTTGGTAAAAATTAAGATTTAAGTTTTTAACTTTAAGGTTTTCTATAAGATAAGATGAAAATAGATCAAGGTAATGTGATGACAGAATACTATGAATTATGGAAAGGATTTGCTGTGATTATTATAAAACAGGATACAGGAAAAGGGAGGAGGAGGAGGTCAAGGAAAGAAGGTATTGAAAGTGGAGAATTGGAGAATGATGGTTTAATTTTTTTCTTTTTCTTTTTCTGTCTTGTTTTTTCTTTTGTGTAATTTTTTTAAAAAACTCTTTTTTTCAATAAATATCATTTTTTTTAAAAATCAATATGCTGGACGCTTGTCTAAGGCTGCTTGTCTAAGGCTGAGGAACTCCTTCGCTCACACGAATGCGCAGCCAGAATGCCCGAGGAGGCAGGCGCGCGCACCTCCGACGATCAGCGATCTGCTGGAGAGCTCACTGCGCCGTGCCGGGAGCGCAGCTTTCTCCACACGAGGAGGATCCCTGCTTACTGGCCACAAGCCCGCGAAGTCTCAGCAGGGACGGCTGGGCGGTTTCTAGCCGGCGGCAGCAGCAGCAGCATTTCCACCAGCCGGGCTGCCAGGCAAAGCGCTCGGCGGCGAAGTAGTAGACGAGCGGGTCGAGGCAGGCGTTGAGGCTGGTGAGGGCCATGGTGAGCCTGCGGGCCACGTAGGTGGCGCGAATGAGCGGGCAGCCGCCCAGCACGCCGGCGCGACCCAACGTGTGCACCACTTGCACCAGGTGATACGGCGCGAAGCAGACCAGGAAGACGCCCAGCACCACCAGCACCGTGCGCAGCGCCTTGCGCCGCACCGCTCGTGAGCCGGGCTGCATCCCCGGAGTGGCCAGCAGCCGCCAGGCAATGAGCGGGTAGCAGATGCCGATGAGGAAGAGCGGCAGCAGGAAGCCCACGGCAGCGGCGAAGAGGCTGACGGAGGAGATGCGCCCCCGCCAGGAGCTCGAGGAGAAGTTCTCCAGGCAAGCGGTGCGGCCGTCGGGGAAGCGGCTGGTCAGCGGGCCGCGGAGCGCCAGGTACAGAACGGCGGCGACTAGCACCGCCCACACCCCGACGGCGGCCGCCACCCGGTAGCGCAGCTGCCGGAGCCGGAGGTGGCGCAGCGGGTGCACAACGGCCACGTAGCGCTCCAGGCAGATGCAGGCCAGGAAGAGGGAGCTGCCGTACAGGTTGGCGAAGAAGAGGCAGCCGGTGACCTTGCAGAGCGCCTCGCCGAAGACCCAGTCGTTGCGCAGCGCGTGGTAGGCAATGCGGAAGGGCAGCGTTAGCACGAAGAGCAGGTCGATGGCGGCCAGGTTCACCAGAAAGACGTTGGCGGGCTCCGTGGCGGACTTGGTGCGGAAGAAGTAGCCCAGAACGAAGAGGTTCCCCACCAGGCCCAAGGCGAAGACCAGGCTGTAGACCACGGGGAAGAGCAGGTACTGGAAGTCGGCGCTCTCCAAGCAGCCGGAGGTGCTGTTGCTGCTGTTCCACGCGGAGCCACCAGAAAGCGGCACTGAGAGGTTCTTCGGCGGCCGCTGGAAAAAAACGAAAGAAAACCGCTTATTTATTTATTTATTTATTCACCCTTCATCCGTATTGCTCAGGGCGGTTCACAAAATAAAAATGAAATATAAAAAAACACAAAATACATAATAAAAATTAGAACAAAAACAAACCAAGAATCTCCCACTCCCTCAACACATTGAAAAGGCCAAACATGCACTCGGCGCCCTGTTCGCGGTGCTTGTTCCGCAGCTATCGCGTGTTTCTCCCTCTCCTAGGCTAACACTTCTCCCACCCACCCTATAGCTACTGTCTACTGAGCAGCTCCGAAGCAAGGAGCCACCCAGAGAGCAACCGCCTCTTGTCCCCTGTCTGTCTAATGTAGCCGTCAATCTGGAAAAACCTTCAGCTGCGGGGAGCCAGCAGAAAGTGCTCTTTCCTTTTGTTTTTGTAGTGCACTGGGGTGATGGTGCCCTGAAATTTTGCCTGCTGCAACCTACTTTTCCCTCTTTTAGATGGCTCTTTGTTTATCGTTTTTCAGCCCCGCTTTGCCTGGTTCTTGGCTCTCCTCCCCCCCCCCCCCCCAATTTTAGATAACTTCCAAGCCTTTCGAAATATTTGACAATCTTGACTCTCCTTTTTAACCTGAACCCCTTTCTTAGGATTCTGCGGTGCTTGGAGATGCTCTATCAATGGCTGCTTGGCCATGATGGCTATGTTCTACCTAAATAGCTTGAGGCAATAATGCTTCCGAATACCAGTTCCCGGAAAGCGCAAGAGAGGAGAATGCTCTTGTGCCTGAATCCGGCTTGCAGGTTTTCTTTTGGGGTATCTGGTTGGCGGCTCTTCTGTCCTAGATTGTCCCTACTTAAAGGAAGCCTCAAATCCTGACATCTCCGCATTTCGCCCAGTTGAGACGGGGGGGGGGGGGAGGCCGTGGTCTTCTTCCTGCAGAGGACGCTCTCTCTCTCTCTCGGGGCTCACAGGCAGTCCCTCCGCGGAGGCTGGTGGAGCTTTTCCTCCCTGGGGCTATGGCTGAGCCCCTTGGAAAGGAGGCGGGGAGGGGGCGAGAGGTGGGCAGGTGGGAGGGAGCGCTGGCCGTCGACGGGGTGGGACTGCCTTTCTTCCCCACTCCCGGCTGTCCAGGGTGCTGATGACCCTCCCGGAGGTTCTCGCTTCCTAGAAAGCCGTCTCCGCCGCCCTCCCCCAAGCCCCAGGAGCAGAGTTGACTCCTTCCTCCCCACGGGACCCAGGAGTCCTGCCGTCGGGGCCAAACGAGTCCTGCCGCCGTCTCCCTGCCTCACCTTGGCTCACAGCCAAGCAACCGACGCCCCCAGTCCCACTGCCTCCTACCTCCAGGACCTCCATGTGGGTCTCTATCCGCCTGCCTGCCCTGCCCTGCGGCTGCGGCTGCTGCTGCTGCTGCTGCTACCCGGCAACTCTAGGCCCCCTTGCGCAACCTCAACCCCTCCAGGCACATTCCGGGAAGGTTCGCCTCGGACCCACTTCCTCCCCCCGCCCTCCGGCGTCTCCGGCTGGGGAAAAACTACAAGCCGCGTCTCTCGCCAGCCCCTTCCCTGTTCCCTGCATGGGGGGAGAAGCCCCATAACTGCTATTGATTCTGCGGTTTATGTTGTGTTTGTACGTCTCTGGAAGGTGAAGAACTTAGTGAAAATAAAACTGCTGCTATCATGTCCTTGTACCAATATATGGTGCCACCGCTTCTGGAATGCTGTGTGCAGTGCCGGTCGGCTTACCTCAGAAAGGATACTGTATTGCATAGTTGGAAAATGGTCAGAAAAGGGCCACCAAAATGATAAAGTGGAGGAGAAGGCTTCCCTATGAAGAAAGGTTGCAGCGTCTGGGACTTTTTAGTTTTTTGAAGTCAGTTTTTTAAATTAAACTTTATACAGTATACATATATTCAAGATTCCAAATTTGTTTTACATTTCTCTTTAAACTTTGACTTCCCGCCGTTCCCTCCATGCTGTTCTTAATCCCATCCCATTTACATAACGCATTCTAATAAACATTTCTGCTAAAACGTATTTCGTATATTATCAATCGTCAATCGCTGCTCATATTTCAAATCCTGCTCGCGATTTCATCTGCTTATTTTTTCAGATATTTCCAAAAGGGCTTCCATTCTTCATGACTAGTCCCTCATGTTGCTTTCTTGATTTTGCTGTTAGTTTCGCCAGCTCCGCATAGGGATTTTTTAGTTTAAAGAGCATTCAAGTAAGAGGCGACAGGACAGAAGTTTATAAAATTATGCATGGCATGGAGACATGGGCATAGCCAGGCTTTTGATGGGGAGGGCAGGCTTCTGCTGGGGGGGGGGGGAGAACCTCGGGTAATGCTTTTCAATAATATTTGAGGAATGGGGGGGGGGGCTCTCCTTGGCTACGCCCAGGGATGGAGAAAGTGGAAAGAGGAAAGTTTTTCTCCCTCTCTCGTGACCCTGGAATACAGGGGCATCCGTCCAATGAAGCTGATTGTTGGGAGATTCAGGACAAATAATCTAAAGTCCTTCTTCACGCAGCCCAAAGTCAAGCGATGGAACTCGCTCCCCCAAAAGTCAGAAATGGGCTTTAAAAGAATGTTGGAGAAAACCATGGAGGCTAAGGCTATTATAGCTGCTAGCCACAATGCCTAAGCTCTGCCTCCACAATTTGAGGCAGCAATGCTTCTGGACCCCAGTTGCTGGGGATCGAGAGTGGGGCAAGTGGCTGGTGCGCTCGAATCTTGCTTGCGGGCTTTCCATGCAGGCCTCTGGATGGGAGGAGAACCGGATGCTGGGCTAGATGGGCCTTTTGGCCTGATGCAGTCGCCGGCCTCTTCTGATGTCCTTATGACTGATGTGTTTAGATGACCCTCGGGATATGGTTACCAGATGTCCCCATTTCCCAGGGACAGTCCCCAGATTTACAAATTTGTCTCCAGACACATCATATGGGGACTTCCAGCAAGGCAAAATAGCAGGCACCACAGCAGCGAGCAGCCCCTGAAGCCAGCCAGAACCAACTGTGCTACCAGGCTGGCTCCAGGCTGCTGAGACTGCCACTGCTGCTGTCACTGCCAAGGGAGAACCGGGACGCCGGGCGCGTCAACTGGGGGAACCGCTGACCCCCCCCCCCCAATCGAGCCAGGAGCGAGAGTGCCCGGCCACCCGCCCAGTGGCACTCCGGGGCCAGGAAAACCCCGGAGCTGACACAGGGAGAAGGAAGAGCGAGAAAGAGGAAGGAGAAAAAAAGAGGGGAACCCCGACCTTGCCGCGCCACTGCCACCGCTGCCACTGAGAAAGAGAGGTAGGAGAGCCCTGGGAGGGCAAGGACACATGGCCGAGCCCAGGTCTGACCTGAGCCTACTCCACGGCGGCTAGCGCTCCAAGAGAGCAGGCTGGGGCCCAGAGGAAGGCCACGCGACAGAGGAGACCACAGAAGATATTACTTCTTAATATATATTTTAAAATATTTTTAATAACTTCTTTTCTCTTTTAAAAAACAAGTGTCCCCGGATTCTTTGAAAAAAATCTGGTAACGTTACCTCAAGATCCCTTTCAACTCTACAGTTTCTATGATGCTATGATTCCTAAAAGAGAGAGGCGCTCCCAGGCACCTGCTCTCCCCCTACACACGTGAGCTGGTCTGCACTTGTGAATGCTGAAGGCGCCTCCCTGCCCGCCACTCTGGGCGCTCCTTAGCAACACACGGCAGATGCCGCTCCCCACGGCCGCTCTTGAGGCGGGAATGCCCGAGTTGCGCAAGGCGCTGTTTGCTGAGACCGGCGCGCCCCAAAGCAGCTGCCGGCGCCGGAGGAGGCAGCTAAAAGCAACACGGGCGCCTCCCTCCAGCTTCGCTGAATCAGCTCCCTCCCCGCCTGCTGAGCTGGCCCTGGAGGGCGAATTCCCCTTTCCGTGCAGCCAGGAGGAGGAACTGAGGTTTCAGTCGGGCTGGGGCAGCCCCCTCTTCCCGCTCGCCGGAGCAGACGCAGCTGTCGAGAAAGAGGAACTCGGAGAGGCAGAGGTTCCCCATCCTCCGTCCCACATAAAGAGGAGTCCTGGGGCACCACGACACGAGGATTTGCCACTGTCTTGTGACAGAAACTTTCGTGGATTATATTCCACTTTATCAGGTGCTTGAATGGTGATCCACAATTTGCAGGAATATTTGTTCGCTTTGTGCACATACCTAAGTGCGTGTATGGGTACAGAGAGCGAGAGCGAGAAAAGAAAGCAGCGGAGAGGAAATGAAATCGAAAAGTACAGTACTGTACTGAACCTAACACTGGAGCTTAAATGCCTGCTTAAAAGCCAAGATTTTGTAGTTGTTAGAATGCCGGACTAGGTTTTGCCTGACACCTACAAGACTGCAGCTTTAGGAACATCCATAGAAACACAGAGCACAAGTTAGACTCATAGAATTGTCGAGTTGGAAGGAACCCCAAGGGTCATCTAGTCCACCCCCTGCAATGCAAGAATATCTACTAAAGCATTCACCAGAGAATGGCCATCTGTTTAAAAGCCTCCAAGGAAGGAGAGTTCACCACGTCTCGAGGGAGACCGTTCCACTGTCGAACAGCTCTTATTGTCAGAAGGCTCTTCCTGATGTTGTCTGAATCTCTTTCTTATAACTAGAAGGCATGGGTTCGAGTCCTGCCCTCCAGAGCAGCAGATAATAAGCTTCTCCATCTTCCCTGCCCTTGAGGTATTTGAAGATGGCTCGCATATCTCATCTCAGTTTCCTCTTTTCCAGGCTAAACATCCCCAGCTCCTTCAACTATTCCTCATAAGGCTTGGTTTCCCAGACCTTTGATCATCTTCTGCACACCTTCTGGCTTGTCAATATCCTTAATATCTTAAACTGTGGCGTCCAGAGCTGGACACGGTATTTCAGATATGGAATTATTACGGGGGGGGGGACCGCGCGCAGCTCCAGCTCCAGCCCGGCGGCCCCCACCCCGCTGCCCGTGGGACTCCAGAAAAAAGATCGCGGCCGGGGAGGGGCATAAGGGTCTTTCTAGGCGGACAACAAATGAAAATCTCCGCGGTGCTGGGACGGCAGCTGCTCCGCCTGCGCCACCCGCAGCAAGGGCAGCCGGGGCCCGCCCTGCCTCCTCTCCTGTAAGGGTCCTCCCTCTCCCCCCTCGCAGCTGCGCAGTCGCCTTCTCCGCCGAGCCGCTGTGAGCCCGGAAGTTCCACCTCGGGATCCCTCTACATTCTTCGTATCTCTTTGGCCTCACTCCCGACGCTCATGCGCCCTTCGTCCGTCGGGGAGATTGCTCTACGGAGAGCGCGACGGGACATACGCGGCCAAGATGGCGGCTGCTCCCAGCGGCGGCGGTTCTTGCCCGGCCGGGAGCAGCAACGGGGCCGGCATGGAGGTGGACGCGGCGGGTAAGCCCGGGAGGCGGCGGGCGGGGCCTGGCTGGGGCGGCGGGAAAGAGCGGCGGCGGCGCCCGCGGGGCCTCCCTCCGTCCTCACGACTCCCTCGGTCTCCGCAGCGGTGATGGCGTCGGGCGTGACGGGGAGCGTGTCGGTGGCGCTGCACCCGCTCGTCATCCTCAACATCAGCGACCACTGGATCCGGATGCGCTCGCAGGAGGGGCGGCCCGTCCAAGGTGAGCGGGGGGGGGAGCTGCACCCGGTGGGCTTTTGCCTGCGAGCCGGGAAGCGGCGGCCTCCCGCGGGAGGGGGGCGCGCGAATGCATCTTCTGCAACCTCAGGCCGCCCGCCTTGCCAAGGCTTCCGGGAAGGGAGCGGAGAGAGCCCCCCCCCATCTGGCAAAACTCGCGTCGTCCTGGAGCACAAGCCGCCCTCGCTGGGGCTGCTGGGAGGAGCCGCCCTGACTCCCCCCTCTGCCTCCCGCAGTAATCGGAGCCCTGATCGGCCGCCAGGAGGGGCGCAACATCGAGGTGATGAACTCCTTCGAGCTGCTCTCGCACACGGTGGGGGAGAACGTGGTCATCGACAAGGAGTATTACTATACCAAGGAGGAACAGTGTGAGTCGGCAATTGGGCCTGCCAGGAGGACGAGGGGGGCTGGCGGGGGCAACTCGCAGGACAGGCATGAGCCAAAGAGGGTCTCTCAGAGCAGCCTGGCTGGTAGCAGGGGGCCGAGGGACCCACAGAGCCCAGCACTCTTTATGCACAGTGGTAAACTAGAGGCACCGCCCCCCCAGGAGCTGGCAATCAGGACCCCGGTGCAGCTGCACTCCTCCCCCTCCCCGGGGTGATTCCTGGCAAATGGTACTCAGAAGAATTCTGCCTCCAATAGTAAAGGTAATACAGATCCGTTGTCATATTCACAAGCAATAGTCTTATCCTCCATAACTTAGTTTAATGCCTTCTTGCAGCCATCGTAGTTGACCAGTGTCACTATATGTTGTGATAGCTGTTTTTCTTCCGCTGTCCTGCAGTTAAACAAGTCTTCAAAGATTTGGAGTTCCTAGGCTGGTACACAACAGGTGGCCCCCCAGACCAGTCTGACATCCATGTCCATAAGCAGGTGAGCCTTGCCCCCACCCCGTTTGCTGCCTGCTGGCTGTGGGATGGGTGGGCAGAGGCCTCTGAGCAGCCCTCCGGTTTCACATTGCCAAGGGACAGAGGCCCAGACTTCTGCCGCTCCTGATAGCACCTTCATTTTTTCCTCAGGTGTGTGAGATCATCGAGAGCCCCCTCTTCCTCAAGCTGAACCCCATGACAAAACACACGGATGTGAGTACCTGCTCCCTTCCATGACTGAAACCTCAGACAGCTGTACCAAGGGACATCTGAATGAGCTGCTGTGCACTCTCTTTCTCTCTCTCTCTCTCAGTTGCCTGTCAGTGTCTTCGAGTCGGTGATTGACATCATCAATGGAGAGGTAATACCCACCACTCTTGCGCCATCTCACTCTTTTTAGAAAGGCATGTATTGCAAGGACTTGGGTAGAAGCGGGCCATCTTTCCTGTATGGGAGGAGAGATCCCCAGTGCAGGAGTCACAGCTAAAGGATCCCTCGTCATCCAACCTCTGCTTAAAAATCTCCAAGGAAGACGAGCCAGCCACCTTTGGAGGGAGCCCCGCTTGCTGCCTGTGCAGGGGGACAGGCCTATCTGCGGCCTTATTGTCTCTTTCCCCCTTTCTATCAAGGCTACAATGCTGTTTGCTGAACTGATGTACACTCTGGCCACAGAGGAGGCCGAGCGCATTGGGGTTGATCATGTGGCACGGATGACAGCGACGGGCAGCGGCGAGAACTCCACAGGCAAGGGGGGCCAATGGGCAGTGGGGCTGTTAGCCAGTTAGTGCTAACTTTGGGCTGGAGCTGCAAGGTCTCCCATGAGAGAGGATGGCGGAAGCTGTTCCGGGTCTGCTTCATGCCTCAGGGGAGAGAGGTGTTAGGGCTATTTTCAGGCGGCTTCCCCCTGACTCTTCCCCCTCCCCCACTTGTCACTGTAGTGGCCGAGCACCTCATTGCCCAGCACAGTGCCATAAAGATGCTTCACAGCCGTGTCAAGCTCATCTTGGAGTATGTTAAAGCCTCGGAAGCAGGTGAGGGCTGTGGGTGAAGCAACAGTGTCCACCTTTGTCTCTGTTCCTCTTCCCTGCAGGTGAGAAGCACCTCAGCCTCCTCTCTAACCTGTTGCTTCTTTTCCCACCCTCACCAGGGGAGGTGCCCTTCAACCACGAGATCTTGCGCGAGGCCTATGCTCTTTGCCACTGCCTGCCTGTGCTGAGCACTGACAAGTTCAAAACAGATTTCTATGATGTGAGTGTCCTGGCGAGGAAAACATGTCTGCTTCTTGCCAAGTGTGGGAAGACATGTCAAACTGGAGCGGGGGAGAGGAATCCCTTGTTAATGGGGGGTAGGGATGGAGCAGGAATGTTGTCATTTGCTTCTACTTCCCCGGCTAAAGTGCTTCCCTCTGGCCTGGGGGGTTCCTGCATCTCACAGAGACCTCCACAAAAGGAAAATGTTGGAAATGCACCTGCCAACTTGAGCTTTTCTGGCATTGCAAGGGGTTAGACTAGATGATCCTCAGTGTCTCTTCCAATGCTAAGGTTATGGCAAAGCTTGCAACAGCCTGATCTGAGGGCAGCTGGAGAAGAGCTCTGGTGCATGGGAAGGTGGGAGGAAGAAGTGCTTCCAGGAGCTCTGCAGGACACAGGTTGTCCCCTCTGTGATCAGCCGGCCTCCTTTTGTCTCCCTCTCAGCAATGCAATGACGTGGGCCTCATGACATACCTTGGCACCATCACCAAGACCTGCAACACCATGAACCAGTTTGTGAACAAGTTTAACATTCTATATGACCGCCAGGGCATTGGCCGGCGAATGCGGGGGCTCTTCTTTTGAGATGTTGGCTCTTTCTAATAAAGCAGTTTTGACGGCAGACACTTTGTGTGTGGTTCATGTCTTTGGCCTCTTTGGGGTGGTAGTGTGTGTAGGAGGTCTTACAACACCCCCCTTGCTTCTCCTCCTCAATGGACATTGCAACCTTGAGCGGGCTGCCCATTCCACCCCCCACCCCCAGGCAGAAAGAGCCCTGGAAGCAGAGAGCTGGTAGGAGTCAGCATTCAGCCATTGATTGGCATTATTTAGATCACAAGATATACAAATTAATTGCTTTATTGGGGGAAAATGCCAGTCTTAATAAAAGCGATAGCAGGAGACACCCTGCAAGCAGTCCCCCAGCCCAGGTCCAAGCCAAGGTGGGAGAGAGCAGGCACCAAGACCTCCTGCAGGCTAGCAGGGCTCAGACAAAAGTGAGGCGGGTCTTTTTCTGGTTCACCTGCCAGACATTGAGCTCCTCATACTCAGAGAGCGCAGCCTGGAACTGGGCAGGAGTGAAGCCCTTGGAGACGCAGCGCTGCTCAGCTGCTGCTAGGTGCACAGAGCGAGGTCCCCCAGCCGGAACCAATTCCCTGATGGCTGCAAAGATCAGTTCAGAGGGGCGCTGAGTCCTGCAGTAGGAGGGGGGGAGGGGGAAGGTCAATCCAGTAGCCCAAGAGAAGTCTGATGCCCCCACTCCACAGCATGAGGTTATGACAATACAATACCTGCTTGTCTGCCCCTTGTCTGCCAGAAGGGAATCTTTTGACATCTCCATGAGGCGCATGGCTTCATTCACATCCTCCTTCTCAACCAAGTCCACACGCCGCAGACGAGCCTAAAGAGGAGCCCCACAATGTCAGCCGGCTCACCCACGGTCCCTCTACCACCACACAGAAGAAACAGTTCCCTTCCTGCTCCAAACCACCAAGCGATGCCCTCCAAGGTCCTGCCGCTGCATTGAAACCCTTTCAGTGCAGGCACCAGAATTGCAGGGGTCAACTCTAAGCGGGCTTCTTAGGATTAAAAAAAGAAAAATAGGAAAGCAAAGTATTCTAAAAAGATGTTTGGCCCACTGCAATTTCTGCTGTATCCACACAAATTTCTAGAAGTGAGAAGGTGGAGCAGGTGGCCTAGGATGGATTAACCTGCTTCCCTCTGAAGTATTGGCCAGAGGACAGCATGGAGACTACAACTACAGTTGCTGGGAGGAAACTAGATATGACAGAACTACAATTAATTATTTTATTTTGGGGTGGGGGGGGAGCTGAACATTGGAAGAATTAGAGCAGACAGATGCAGTGCTGGTGGCCTCTGGCTCAGATGGTTTTAGAAGAGGATGAGACAACCGGGGGGAGCAAAAGGCTACTGGCAGCCACTAGCTGCAATGGCTATATTCCACCTCCACCATCAGAGCTGGGTAGCAGCTGTTGGCAACTGTGAGTGGGGAGAACTGCTGCCCTGAGGCTCTGATGGGCTTCCCAGAAAAGGCAGCCAGCTGGGCTCCCAGACATGGGGCTACGGTGGCTCCTTCTGGCTTGGTCAGCTGCTGCAGGACTCTTGGAACGCTCTGTCACAAGAGACTAGGGCCCTGCGGGACTTGACATCTTTCTGCAGGGCCTGCAAGACAGAGCTGTTCCACCAGGCCTTTGGCCAGGGCACAGCCTGACCCCCTCCTTTGGCAATCCTCACAGAACTCTAGCCCAATGGTTGCCATTAATCTGATTTGAATTGATTTTATAATGAAATGATTTTAGAATGTTGTATCATTTTAATGTTGTTAGCCGATCTGAGCCCGGCTTCGGCTGGGAAGGGCTAGATATAAATAAAATTTTATTATTATTATTATTGTTGTTGTTGTTGCGCTCTACTCACCAGGGCAGTGGCCAGGCGCAGGATCCCCAGCAAGGTGCGGGCCGAAGTGTAGGTGGTGTCCTTGTTGGACAAGGCCTCCTTCCGCATCTCCACATAAGCGGCCGTGATGTAGTCTGCCAGAGCCTCAGGCACCGCTGGCTGCTTCTGCTTGCACATGGCAATGTACCGCCTGGCAGGAGACGCAAGGAGACGAGCCCTGACCCAAGGCCTCCGCTGCATGGGAGCCACCCTCCCTACACCATGCGCAGTGGCCCAGCCACTGTATGGCCCCTGGGGCTGGAAAGCCCTTCCCCCTCACCTCATGAGGCCCATGTCAAGCTCCTGGAACTGGCAGGGGGGCTGGTGGTTGTGCTGGTGCACGTACGTGATGTGCTGGGCAAGACTGTAAAAAACAGGCAACCATTTAGAAAAAGCAGCAAAACCCGGGGGGGGGGGGGGAAAGGGAGGAGAAGGGCCTCATCTGCAGCGCCTTGTGGCCCCTGCTCACCGGAGGTCGTTGTCACGGTCCGGCCGGTCCTGGATGAGCCACAGCAAGTCGAAGCGGGAGAGGAGGGCAGCCGGGAGCTGGATGTTCTGCTCCAGGCTGCGCTTGGGGTTGTAGCGGCCATAGGTGGGGTTGGCAGCCGCCAGGATGGCGCAGCGGGCGTTCAGCGTGGTCAGGATGCCAGCCTTGGCAATGGAGAGGGTCTGCTGCTCCATCACCTCATGGATGGCCGTTCGGTCTGCTTCCAGCATCTTGTCAAACTCATCGATGCAGCAGACGCCTTGGTCAGCCAGCACCAGTGCGCCCCCCTCCAGGGTCAGCTCCCCCGTCAGTGGGTCACGCAGCACAGCAGCTGTCAGCCCTACCCCAGAGGAGCCACGCCCCGTGGTGTACTGGCCTGGAGAACGGGACGGAAGTTGGGCCCATCACTACAGCAGCTCTCCTCCGCCCTCACCCAACGCTCCTGGGCTCAGGGCAGGAAACATCCACCCTCAGAGCTAAGCTTCAAGGACTGGGTGACACAAAATAAGGCCCCCGGCTGCACAAAAAATCCATGGGCCTCATAAGCCTCGGCCCTCCCCCAAAACCTGAGCAAAAGGGGTGTCTTGTCCAACTGACAAAACGAAATCAGTATCATGGCGAGATGCACCTCAGAGGCGAGGCCTTTCTAGAGGCAAGGGGACCACCACAGAGAAAGCCTTGTGCACTCTCCCCCAACACACACACATGGCAGGAAGCTGAAAGCAAGGTGCCCAGGGGGTGGAAGTGGCCTCTGAGACCAAGGGCTGCTCTGGTGTGCCTTCAGGGCCTAAGCAGCATTACCTTTCCATAGACACCTGCCCATCTGGCTGAGAGCCGTGGGAAGGAAGACCCTGGGGAGACCCCTCTGCCCACCCCCTTGTAGCTTCTTCTGAAGCGGAGACCTCAGGTTCCCTGCTCCCCCCACCGTGGCAGCCTGTAGGTCTCCTTAGCGGGAGCTGGGTAACTTCCAGAGGGAGTCAACTAAGCAGCTGCAACATCAGCCAGACAGGCGCTGCTCAGGGACAGAGCATCTGCCTTGCAAGAAGAAGGTCCCATGCTCAGTCCCATGCAGTATCCCAGTCAGTGGACCCTGAAGTGGTACTCACTGCGTGGCGCCAGGCGCGTGATGTATGACAGCAGCTGGGACTTGGCCACACCAGGGTCCCCCATGAGGCAGATGTTGATGTTCCCTACAAGGTCCGGGAGTGGGAAGAAGAGGGCACATTATCCAGGGGTGCCTCTGACCTCTGGAGAAAACATCGCCCCACCCTTGAGAGCAAAGGCAGCACTTTGCAGAAAAGGCCCCAGAGCAGAGATGGCGGCAGAGGGAGAAAGGAGGCGCAGGAGAGCAGCTGCTTGCAGCCATGGGGGCCTTACCCCGAATCTTCATGCCCCGGGGGTTCTGGTCCACGCCCCCCACCAGCAGGAGGAGGAGGGCCTTTTTGACATCCTCATGGCCATAGATCTCGGGGGCGATGGAGGCCGCCAGCTTGTCATAGAAATCCTCCTCTGCAAGGGAATCAGCAGAAGGGAGATGTGAGTGAGGGGCAGGGGCCCCTGCCCTGCACCTTCCAGGCACCCAACCAGACCACACCAGCCCCTTGGGCAATTCAGGATCCCGGGGGCAGGAAGGGGCTGGGAGGCACTGCGTGGGATGGTGACGGACAGATGCCCCACCCCCTGCACAAGGGAGTTTGCCAGTAATCTTGCTTGAGGGACAGAAGCACATCCCTGACAGAAGCCAGCCGGCCTCCAGAGAAACTCTCCAAATCAGGGTGTGAAAGAGGTGGTTACGATTTAGATTCCAGCTGAGGCAGCTGAGGAGGAGATGCCTACAGGAGGGGCCAGCAAGCCAAGACTGGCTTCACTTCGGCCAGGAACAAGGAGGCAGCACTTTGGGCGAGATCTCTGCCATGACCCCAAAGTTCTCTTCCTGGACAGTCATTGCCCAAGGGCCATGCAGAAACTTCCCCGTTTCAATCCCTGCCAACAGCATCGCCAGGTAGGGCTGGGAAAGACTCTCTGCCTTATACCCTGGGTCTAACTCAGTATAAGGCAGCTGCTTCCTCTGTTTCGCTGCCAGCTCTGAGGCACCTCTTCTGAGAAGGGATTTTGCCCGAGAAGGGACCAGTTGGTTAAAGGTATACAGGTCGGAGCCAAACAGTACAAATTGAGACCATTTGCAGATGACTTAGTATTGACGTTACAGGAGCCAGAATCTAGTACCAAAAGGGTTTTAGAACTGATTCAAGAATTTGGTCAGGTTGCAGGGTTTAAAATGAGTAAGTCAAAAACCAAGGTTTTAGAGAAAAATTTAACAGCAATTGAGAGAGAGAGGTTTCAGAATGAGACAGGTTTAACAGTGGTTAAGAAAGTCAAATACTTGGGGATTAACATGACAGCAAAAAATGGGAATTTATTTAAAGACAACTATGAAAAATGCTGGGTTGAAGTGAAAAAAGATTTAGAAATCTGGTCAAATTTGAAGCTTTCACTGCTAGGCCGTATTGCTGCGATAAAAATGAATGTATTGCCCAGAATGTTGTTTTTGTTTCAAACATTGCAAATTGTGGACAAAATGGACTGTTTCAAGAAGTGGCAGAGAGATATTTCTAGATTTGTCTGGCAGGGCAAGAAGCCTAGAATAAAATTTAAAATACTAACAGATGCAAAGGAAAGAGGTGGATTTGCCCTGCCAGACTTGAAACTTTACTATGAATCAGCAGCTTTTTGCTGGTTGAAAGAATGGCTGCTTCTTGAAAACGCAGACATTTTGGATTTAGAAGGTTTTAACAACGTATTTGGATGGCATGCATATTTGTGGTATGATAAGGTCAAAGCGCATAAAGCATTTAAAAACCATATTGTCAGGAAAGCACTGTTTAATGTCTGGATAAGATATAAGGACTTATTGGAAAATAAAACCCCAAGGTGCCTGTCACCGATGGAAGCGAAAGCTCAGAAAAAACTCAATATGGAGGTCAAATGGCCGAAATATTGGGAAATTTTGGAACAAGATGGAGATAGATTGAAATTGCAGAGTTTTGAAAAACTAAAAAACAAAGTGCGAGACTGGCTTCATTATTATCAGATAATGGAGGCATACAATTTGGACAAGAAAATCGGCTTCCAGGTGGAAAAATCAAAATTAGAAACAGAATTGTTAGAACCCAAAACTAAGATTCTGTCAAAGATGTATAACTTGCTGTTGAAATGGAATACTCAGGATGAAACGGTGAAATTTGCTATGATTAAATGGGCACAAGATGTTGGACATAACATAATGATGGCTGACTGGGAATAGTTATGGACCACAGGTATGAAGTTTACGGCATGTAATGCCTTAAGAGAGAATATTATGAAAATGATATACAGGTGGTACATGACCCCAGTCAAGCTTGCAAAAATCTACCATTTGCCCGATAATAAATGTTGGAAATGTAAGGAAACTGAAGGTACATTCTTTCACCTATGGTGGACGTGCCCAAGGATTAAGGCTTTCTGGGAGATGATTTATAATGAATTAAAAAAGGTATTTAAATATACCTTCTTGAAGAAACCAGAGGCCTTTCTTCTGGGCATAGTCGGCCAATCGGTGTTAAAGAAGGACAGAACTTTCTTTATATATGCTACAACAGCAGCAAGAATATTTATTGCAAAGTATTGGAAGACACAAGATCTACCCACTCTAGAAGAATGGCAGATGAAACTGATGGATTATATGGAATTGGCGGAAATGACTGGCAGAATCCGAGACCAGGGAGAAGAGTCGGTGGAAGAAGATTGGAAGAAAATTAAAGACTATTTACAGAAATATTGCAAAATTAATGAATGTTAGAATGATGTTGGATTGAAGTTAAGTGGTTTCTAGCTGTAATGGTATAAAAGAATATGAAAAAATTGGATTCTTAATAGGTAAACTAAGGTTATAATATATTAAGATTAAAGATCAGGATAAAATAAGGAGGGAAAGGAATTGCTAAACTAATAAATTGAAGTGGAATACAAAAAGGGGAGGTATGAGGAGGTCCGGGAAACAAGTAAATGAAAGATAAGTGATGAAAAGATTGAATTGTTTTTAACTATTTTTATTTTGTATTTTTTCTTTTCTCTTTTTCATTTTGTAACATTGTAAAAACCTTAATAAATATTTATTAAAAAAAAAAAAGAGAGAAGGGATTTTGCCCAAAGCATCTTGGAACCAGACTATACAAGGCAGGCCAGAGCACCACTTCCACACCACAACCAGCTTCCTGGAAGCCCTTTCCAAGCCCCATGGGGCCAGAGGGGCAGGGAGGATAAAGCCGCCCCTCACCTGTGATCTGGCGCAGCTCCTCCTCCGTGAGGCCCCCTCCACCCAGCTCCTCCTGCTCGCTCTTGCTCATGCAGACGATGTGGTGGGCCTCCAGGTATGTGTCAGACAGAAGGCCCTACAATGCAGCAAGACATGTGCTCAGTCCAGAGCCCCAGCACCACCCCCAGACCCCTCCCAGCTTGACCTACTGCTCTCCCACCTGCAGGACCTGCCGGAATCCCATCTGCCGCACAGGGAGGAAGATGCCAGTAATGCTGACGTGGTCCCCTGGCTGCACAAGGCGCGTATTCTCCCCTTGCACGCTGACGCTGATGGAACGCGGTAAGTTCCCCACTGGCACCTGGTCGCTCTATGAGGGAGGGAGGGGGAGGTGAGAGCAGGGCCCCCTCCTCGCCCTTCCAGTGCATCCAGACCCTCTGCCCCGGCACCAGACAGGCCATCTGCTCCAATCCCCTGCAATGCAGGGATCATACAGAAAGAATCCCTGGCCGCCCAACCTCTGTTGAAAAACATTCAATGAGGAGAGCCCATCACCTTCCTTGGAGGTTTCTGAACATCCAATCACCCACCCACCTGCCCTAGCCCAGAACAGCACTGCCTACTCTGACCCCAGCACCTGCCCAAGACCTCCCCACCACGCACCCAGAGACTGCAAAGAGTCCCTGCCCCCCACCTGGAGGTGCTTGTAGAGGCAGCAGCTGCACAGCCACCACACTGGCCCCTGCAGGATCTAGCCCACTGTCAAGCCTGCTCTGCGGCAGAGATGGCAGGAAAGCAGCTCCTCCCTTGCTTGTGTCTTGTTAAGCAAATTGCTTTGGGGTGCTTGATGTTTCCAGTGTGGCATCCAGTCTTGGGTTATGTCTGAATGTCACTTGCTGTGCCCCAAGGATGTGGACATGGAGTGGCTCAGCCTCCACAAGTGGTGAGTGCCTCCTTGAGGGAAGGGACAGGCCCACCTGCTGTGAAGGAGGCAGCCAATCACAGGGCTGCTCCAAAAGACGCCCTTCCTTGGGGCCCAAGGACTAGAACCACTTTGGGCCAGTTGACAGGTGCACATTGACTGGGAAATGTGCAGAATTCCTTCCTTATAACTAGATTATGTATACACTCTCCAGGGGGTCCAGTGAATGTGCATAATGACCAGTTCTGCATGTTAACCACCCAACTAACATTGCCTTTTACTCTTTTATCGTAAGCCACTACGACAATACTTTGGGAATTGAGGAGGAAGACAGAAACACTTAAAGTAAAATTGTGCCTTTCCCCGTCATACTAACCCAACAACCTTTGCTTTGAGATGCTGGGGACCTTTTGCCTGTGAAACATGCTCTCTGCAACCACTGGCCCACGCTGCTTCCACTGGTGGCTGAGCAGCTAGATATTGGCTCTCCACCCCACCCCTGGAACGCCGTGGGTGGTTAGTGGGGAAATGGCTACAGCAGCAGAGGGGCCCATTGTTTTGACAGAAACACACAGAGGCTCACATGTTCCTGGATCTTCAGCTCCTGATACTTGATGAACTTGGAGCCACGGCTCTGCAGGTAGAGTCGGCCACCAGCTTGGTTGGTCTGGCACTCCCGGCTGGGGCACATCAGCAGAGGGGTGAAGTTGGGGGCCTGTATCTGGGAGGAGGCAAGAGGAGAAGGAAGGGGGGTCAGGTACAAGGAGCCTCGGCTGGGGTATCACCCCCTTGTGCATTTCCCTTTCCCACTGGAAGACTGTCTCCTCACCGGCTGATAGGTCTCTGCACCACACTGGTCACAGCTGTAGGTTGCTACCACCATGCGAGGCTTCACCTCAGAGACGCGGGTGACAATGCCCCGGATGGCCACAAGCTTCCCAATGGCATCAGCCTTCACCTCCCGGATCACCTGGGCCTTGGTGCTGGATGGCGCCTTGAAGTACAGCTCACTATGAAACGGGGCAGAGGGAGACAGAGTGAGACCACGGTGGGCCATGAGGCCTTGCAGCAACATCTGGAGGTAGAGAAAAGGACACCCCCATCCTCTGCCCTCCTCAGCTTCCATTTCTACCGGAAGAAGAGAAACTCAGCAAATGCCCCCCTCTGCTTGCAGGGGCGGCTGCAGAGGCAGCAGGATTCCCGGCCAGGCCTGGCAAAAGGGGGCGGCACTCACAAGCGGCGCATGAGCTCTGGTGGGAACTGGTTCTGGGGGTCGTGGGGCTGGCCGGGCTCCCGCCCGCGCCCCTCCAGCAGCAGCCGGTGCTCGATGTAGACGTCCAGCGCATCCTTGTGGGCGACCTGCTGGGCGAGAGGAGAGAGGCAAGGCGGCGCTCACCAGGGGAACTCCCCGCGGCAGGAAGGCCGCAGCCTGGCGAAGGGAGCGGGGCCGAGGCTCACCTCCCGCTGCCGGTACCGGGGCAGCAGCTCCGCGACGGCATCGGCGAAGACCTTCTCGTAGCGCTTCGCGTTCTCGCACACCGAGTCCACCAGCGCCGGGTCCTCCTCGGCCACGTCGTCCAGATCCACGCGCAGCGCCACCTGATCCCGCTGCGCCACCCGCCGCTGCCGGGAAGGAGCCAGAGAGAGAAGGGCGTGAGCGCGGCGGCGGCGAGGGGCGAGGAGGGGCCCCCGCCCCGCACTCTGCACACGCTCCGCCGCCCGCCCGCCCGCCCGCCCGCCCGCCCGCCGCCTTGCCAGCTGCTCCACGTAAGGGAACTCCTTCCCCGCCTCGCTCTGCCGGTAGAAGCCCTCCAGGAACGCCGAAGCCCTCGCTGCGGAGAGAGAGAGAGACACGGTCAGCTCGGCTCCGCCCGCCCGCGCCCTCCCGCCCGCCGCCGCCCCTGCGCTCACCGGCCTCCTCCGCGTAGTCGCAACCTCCGCCTTTTCCCGCCATCTTGGCCGCTTCGCCTCCTTCTCCTTTTTCCCGCCACGGAACTGAGTGACGCGGGAAGTGGCGCCAATTCCGCCAATGGCCGCCCTCCTCACCTCCTCCCGGTCAGGAAGCCCAATCCCCGCACGGGAAGGAACGCCCGCCTCCCCCCTCCATATCACCCAATCAGTCCCCCCGTTCAGAAGTCCCGCCCACCGACTTTCCCCTTCCTCTCCTTCTTTACGGCAAGCTGTCACTTGACGGCCGCCCGCTTCCGAAAAGAGCGGAGGTCCCGGATGTAGGGGGCGGGCGAGAAAGGGATCTGTGTGCCCCGCCCGGATCCGGAAGCTCTTTCCCCCGGGCTCTCCGGGGCATGTGCAGAGTGCCCGGCTCGCCCCCCCCCCCGCGACGATGCTTCCTCAGGTCTTCGTGCTCTCCGCCAAGGGCGACCGCCTCCTCTACAAGGACTGTATCCTCCGCGCGCTCCGGCCAGGCAGGGAAGCAGCGCCCGGCAGCTTCGGGGGGAGGGGAGGGCCGAGGGGCCCCCGGGCGCAGGGGCGGGCTCTGATTCGGGAGCTCTGATCCCCCCCTTTTTCCTTGACCCCCCCCCTCAGTCCGCGGCGACGGCGACTCCGAGCTGGTCGACACCTTTTGCCAGAAGATCGCCGCTCTGCCGGGGGACCAGGCGCCCGTTTTCATGGTAGAGAAGCGGGCGGGCGGGTGGGGGCTGTGTCGTGCAAGGAGAAGCGGGTCGCCGCTGACTGACACCCCTCTCCTCCTTCATTCTCTCCAGCAGGCGCGCCAGGGACTCCACTTCGCGCACGTGCGCCACGCCGGGCTGTACTTCGTGGTGACGGTGCTGCCCAACGCCTCTCCTTTCGCAGCTGTCGAGTTCCTCAACCGGTGAGGCTGCTGCCTGCGGTGCAGGAGGTTGGGCAGGGCGGGGCGCTGTGGGGACCCCCCCCCGTTGACACCTGTACTCCCTCCTGCCTCCAGGCTGGTGACTCTCCTGCGGGACTATTGCGGCTCTCTGAGTGAGAAGACGGTCAGCCTCAACTTTGCGCTCATCTATGAGCTCCTGGATGAGCTCCTGGTAGGTGGGGTGGGGGTGCACCAGGCCCCTTTTGACAGCAAGCCAGCTGCCTCATGCAAAGAAATGGCACCTGCCAGGAAGGCCAACCAGTGCAAAAAGCTCCAATATCAAACAAGGCCATGACAAATTCATAGCAGAGTTTCCACACAGAACACAGGATGAAATCCACCGCGTAAGCGGAAAAAGACACCAGAGGTGCCAACAGGCTCACACCCAGCTTCAAGGATCAAAATGTGTGGCACCTCATCAGGACAGTTGGGTAGGGGGGCACCATAGTCCCAAGCCAGAATAGGACCATTGCAGAGAAGGGTCCATTCATGCAAACCATTTTAAAAGGGCGGAGCCTGGCATTGGATCTGGTTCTGTCTGAAGTTGGGGTGAGGAGGCTACCACTTGAACCCCCCCATGGCCATTAATGGCTTTTCATCTTAAGTGATTTCCTTTGATCAAATCTGTGCATGGCTAGTAATCCTGCTGCATAGATGCTTCCAGGTGTTTTCTCGCTTGGGGCACAAAGGGGAAGGGTAGGAGGGAACTGGTTGCACCCACAACTCTCCCCTCCCCTCAGGATTATGGCTACATCCAGACAACAGCGCCCGACGTGCTGAAGAACTTCATCCAGATGGAGCCAGTGCTCAGCCAGCCCTTCAGTCTTCTTGACCTCAGTACGGTGGGCCTGGTGAGTGGGGCTGGTAGTGCGAGACCCAGAAATGGGCTCCATGGGAGTGAATGGCAACCTGGCATTGAGGTCACCTAATGCCTTTTAGCTTCTAAAGACCTGCTCCTCATGAGAAGCCCCAGCTGCTAGATGAGGGAGACTTGCTTGCACAGCACAAGGCTGTGTATGTGGCCATGTGTTTCTGTCCAATTGTCAGGATCCCTTGGGCTGGATTTGTCATGCTTGGCCTGAAAATGCTAAGAAATGGCTCTGCTCTGGGTGCCTCTCTGCCGCTGCAGCCAAAGCCGCCTCCTGCTAGATGGGCAAAGTGAGGCTGCAAGGAAAAAGTAGGAAAGAGAGGGTGGTGGGTTCAGTGTTGAAACAAAGCCTATACATAACACCTCTTCTAACACATTGGGTACGCCAGTCCCACTGCTAATTCCTCAAGCAGTATTGTCTACACTGACTGCCAGTGATAATCTAGAATTTGGCACAGGGGCTTCTCCCAGCCACTGTCAAAATGGCTGACAGTGGTTGAAGGAGCTAAGGATCCAAGGATCCAGCCCACTGGCTGAAAAATGGTCCCAACCCCAATAAACAACGGGCATTGCGTAAGCGCTCTGGGTAAAGTATATTGGTGACCTCTGCTTTTCAAGTATTTATTATGTTACAGTAAAGTTGGGGAGCCATTGCTCTTTTCCTCTTTGTGTTCTGTAGCATCTTATTATGTGGATGTTGTGGCATTCTCCAAGATCTCACACACCTGTCGCTGAGAGTCAGCAATAAGCTGCTTTGCTGTTCACAGAGTTGAGGACTCTTTCAGCTTCACAGGACTCAGATTAACATCCGTTTCCAATAATTATTATTTCTTGTGGATCCAGTTTGGAGCAGATACACAGCAAAGCAAAGTGGCTCCCAGTTGCGCAGCTGCCCGTCCTGTCCTGTCCCTGCGGGGGGAACAGGTAAGATGCCCTGTATCTTGAGTCACTCAGCAAAAGCTCCCCAAAGGTGCTGGCAGGGCTGGAGTTGTGCTGACTGCCAACAAACATTTATGATGCAACAAATGCCTGTCTCCCACCTGTAATCTGAAACCACCACTGTCATAATGCCATGGTATCAGCCTACGATTCTATGGCATTAACACACCCAACACACCAAGTTCAGTTCTGGTTGTTGCACTTAGAATCCTAGAACTGTAGTTTGAATGTACCCCACGATCATCTAGGTCAACCTCCTGCAAGATAAATATTGCAGAGCTGGGAAACATTAGGAAAAGATCAACCAAAATTATCAAGCAGGTGGAGCGACTCCCCCGTGAGGAAAGTTGCTGTTTGGGGCTTGGTAGCTCAGAAAAAAAGCCAGAAGTGCAGAGAAAGGGGCTAAGAGGTTTTCTTGCTCTGGTGGTATCAGAACCCAAATGGCTCCCAGAAACTGGTGGAAGATTCATTCAGGCAAGCAGGGCACCTTCACCCGGCCAGAACCCTCCCCTGGCCCCCAACACAGAGAGCATGAGAGGGGGACTTGTTGTCATGCTTTGCCTGCCTGTGGGCTTCGGAGAAGCATTTGCCTGGTCACTGTGGGAACAGAATTGCAAAACTGTAGGGTTGGAAGGGATCCCCAAGGGCCCTACAATGCAAGAGCCCCAGCAGAGCTGTCCTGTCTCTTCCTCCAGAGTTCGCGGCCAGAGGTCTTCCTGGACGTAGTGGAGCGTCTCACAGTCATCATTGCAGCCAACGTAAGTCGAAAGCAGCGCCAGAGATTCCCTCAGGGAAGAGATTCCCTTCCCTGAACCCACAGCACTGCCCAGGTGGAGGCCCTGAGCCCTGTGCCTCTTCCCTCCAGGGAACCCCCATGAAGACTGACATCCAAGGAGAAATCCGCCTCAAGAGTTTCTTTCCTGGCTGCTCCGGTGAGTAAATGCCCTCACAGACATGTCCTGACCAGGGAGGGCAACCGCCAATTCGGATAGCTTCTGCTTGCGCCTCCTTTTCTCTGCCCATCATAAAGTAAAGTGCCTGGCTGGTTTTCAGAGGACAATCCAGGACCTCCTGCTTGTCTGGACACCACTTGCAGGGGCAGGTTTGTCCCAGGGGGCACTGGAGGCTCCTGCAAAGGATGGTGCAAAGTGACCAAGGAATCCATGCCATGTTTGGGGGGGGGGGTTGTGCCTAGAAATAGGGAGTTCTGCTGCAGGGAGATGTGACCCTGGCCCTACTGTGAAGGTTCATTTCTTGCAGGGAATAGGGGTTCCTCCCTCCCACTTTCCCACTAGGCAGGCCTTGTGCAAGTTAAATGTACCCACTGCCCCATCACCTTTGGCAGGGCGACCTCATTGCAAATAAGCTGAAGGATAAAAACACAGCAGCCGTGAGGAAGAGAAGCGGCTACTGCTTAGAGACACGAGGTAGCGAGGGCTCTCCTCCTCCCTGGGGGGAAATGCCCCTTGAGGAACCAGGAGAGCTCATGGAGGCTGTGCCCTTTTCTCCCCTGCAGAGATGCGGGTTGGCCTCACTGAAGAGTTCTGTGTGGGCAAGACTGAGCTGCGAGGTGAGTGTGCCCCTGCCCGCCACAGAACCTCAGGACCTGCCCCCGCTAAAGCCTCTCTTGCTTTGCCCCTAGGCTATGGCACCGCAGTGCGCGTGGACGAGTGCTCCTTCCACAGCTCCGTCAAGCTGGACGAATTTGAGCGCAGCCGCATCCTCCGCGTGAACCCCAGCCAAGGAGAGGTAAAGGCAAGTGGGCGGGGGGCTGGCCCATGGGGATTGGGAGAAGCCCACCTGCTGAGCCCTGCCCTTCTTTGAGCAGCTGACTCTGATGCAGTACCAGCTGGCAGACGACACCGCTGCGGCCTTGCCCTTCCATCTTTTCCCCACCATCAACCACGACCCCAGCGGCCGGTGAGTGGGGCCTGGCTGCCACCTCAAGCAGCCCTCAAAGTGCCCTGGGCAAGGGAGGAGAAGGGGGCGACCCCCAGCCCTGCCTCACCCTGCACCTTTTCCGCCCCTGCAGAGTGCAGATCTACCTCAAGCTTCGCTGTGACTTGTCACCAAAAAGGTAGAGTCCTTCCCTGTAGTTCAAGGGGGGGGGGGCAAACTAGGAAGGGGGCACCCACTTCACCCTGTTCTGCCCCACTTACGGATCCCATCTCTTTCAGCCACGCAGTGAACATCCACCTCCACCTGCCTGTGCCTAAGGCCACTCTAAGGTAAGGTGAGGGGGGCGGCTGCTGCAAGGCCACTTCCAACATGGCAGGTGTTCTTGTGCCCCTGCTTGGTGCTCCCCTCCCCCTCTCACGGCTGTTCCCCCACCCCCAGCCTCTCCCAGGAGCTGAGCAGTCCAGAGCAGTCCGCCACCTTCCAGCCCTCCACAAAGTCCATCGAGTGGGTCATTCCCAGAGTCCAAGGTGGCTCCCAGCTCTCAGCCCTTTTCAAGGTAAGGGGTTAACTGATGGCCGCAGCAGTTGGTGCAGCAATGGAGGGAAGCCCCACAATGGTGGCCCTCCAGCTGCTGCTCCATCTCTGCTGCCACACTCACCCGCCCCATCATGTGCGTCTGTTTTGCAGCTGGAGGTGCCAGGGCTGAGCCGGGCGCGGCTGCTGGAGCTGGGTCCCGCCAACCTCTCCTTTGAGGTGCCAGCACACACGTCTTCTGGTCTGCAGATCCGCTTCCTGCGCTTTGTGGGGCCGCACCCAAGCCTCCCTCACCGCTGGGTGCGCTACGTGACCCACAGCGATTCCTACGTCATCCGCCTCAGCGCAGGGTAGATGCATTAGGGCCCAACCGTGCAACATCCCTCGCCGGCCCCCGTCAAAGCAGCCTCTTTGCAGACACCAGAAGTTTTCCATAAACAGTTTTATTTCTCAGCCAACAGCTCCACAAAACCCAATAAAAAAGGAACAGCAGAACAGAAATAGCAGAATGGAAAGTGTCCCACAAGTGAGAGGAGCTGAGGCAAAACCTCAAATGCTACACAACAAAAACTGTCCCTGAGAAATGAGGGCAAGGAGAGCCCCCCAAGGCACCAAAACCAGATCGTCGATTAGACAAACAGCACTGTCAACAAGCAACTGAAGCCTCCAACCCCAGGAGGGGCAGCGCAGCATAGAGCCCCCTGAGAAACTGCGAGGGGGGGAGCCTACCTCAGGAATCCTGCGGGAAGAGGGAAGGCAGGTGTTAAGGGGAGCCATCTTGCTCTGCCCCACTCATCTCTCCTTTAAGAAGCCATTAGATAAGATCCTGCAGGCAAGGAGAGGCCTCAGCTCTGACTCCTGCGGACAAAAGCCAGGTGGGCCAGCTACCCATTCACTGCCTGCTGCACAAAGTGGAGTCACTCCAGCAAAGCCAAACGCAGCCCTTCCTCCCGCCCCCAAGAGGGAAACCAGAAAGTAGCTGAGGGGGTGCAAGGAGGAGCAGGTGCTGCAGGTCAGGCTGGCTGGGGCTCTCAGGGGACCTGGGGGCAGGCAGCTCTCCCCCCCCCCCATTGCCAGGGGCTTCTTTTCACCTTGCCCAAGGCGACCTCCTCCTCACTGGTCTCTGGCTCTTCCACCACCGCCTCTCCCACTTCCATCAGGGTCAGCCTGTGAGGCAAAAACAGAGGCATGTCTTGGCACAGCAAAGGGACGTTTGCTGCCTGGCCATGTTGGGGGGATTAAAGCTTATTCTGGGGGTGGGAGAGGCAGTCTGGATGGCTCCAACCTGGTGCCTGCCCTGTCTCTGCCTTTCCACAGCTGCCCTGCAAAGACCGTCTGGTCACAGGAATCTCTCCCTGGATGCACAGACGCCAAGCATCTTGGCTTTATTGTAATAATGATTATTCATATTCATGAATATAACCACAAACCCATAAAACAGCGTATACAAAATCTTGTATCACTTGTTGTTCTCTGATGGAAAACATTACTTCCACTTATTTAAATTGGCAGAGGCCTCGTGGTGAAACCCTATTGCCCAATCTCCAGCTTGCAGCAACTCAAGGGCCCAAACTTACCGCCCCAGCTGCCAGCCTAGGCTGCCACGGTTCTTGGGCTGTGGCTGGCTGCGAGAGGCTTTGTGGCCCTGCGGTGGCTGGCTGAAAAGGCAGAAGAGAAGCAAGTCAAGCCTCCTGCAGGGAGGGTGCTAGCGAGCCCTAGCCCACCCACAGCCCAGCTCACCTCTGCACAAATTCCGACTCAGAGCCAGAGTCCTCCTGGCCCAGCAGCTGGGCAGCCAAGTGGCCTTTTTTCCGCAAGGTGGTGGATGTCAGCAAGGGGCTCTGTAGGCGGCTTCCAGAAGTGGAGGAGAAGCTGGCATCACTATGCCCAAGGGACTCTGCCAAGGCAGGAGAAACATGGCCATTTCCGCTTCCAAGTCTGCAGCAGTACAGCCACCACCACCCTGCCCCCCTCCATTCCGTCTCCCACCATCCAGGTGCCGCCTCTTGGCAGGTGGTCCAGGCTTCTGCTGAGCAGGTACATCTGGTGAGGGGGCTGCCTCCTCCTGGGGGCTCAGGGAGCGCTGATAGACCAGGAGCGAGGCCCAGAGGTGCTCCTCTCCACGTCGGAAGGACAGGTGCGCCTGGCTGATCTTCTTGAGATAGGACAGCCTGCCAGAGGGAGGAGCTGCATTAGGCTTAACAGCAGAGAATGGAGTCGAGGGGCACAGGGGCCTCCCAGCCTCCCCTCTTCCATCGCAAGTCACTCACAGCAAGGCTTTGTCGGGAGGCACCAGCCGCGGAGAAAACTCGCTCAGCAGCTCCAAGAAGGGCAGGTGGACAAGGTCCAGCCTGGAGTCGGAGGCCACCGGCTCCTGGAAGGCAAACTTTATCCCATCCCTACGGCAAATGAAAGTGCAGCAGGGATGCCTCCTGGGCCTGGGGAGCCAGCCTCTTGGCTTGCCCTTCCCACACCCAGGAACTGGGCAAGGCTGTGCTTCAGGGCAGAAGCAGCCACTTTGCGCCCAGGTCCATTGCAGGCAGAACCCTGGAAAGCCACTGCCATTTGTTGCAGAGAGCACTGAGCCCCTGGACCAGCCATCTCTGGCTTCCCAAGGCCCACCCTTCCACCTGCTCAGCTGGCTTCCTGTCAGGCATTGGCTGCTCTTGGACCAGATCCTGCCCTCCCACTACTTCCCACACCCTGCAAGACAGGAAGAGAAGGCCTTGGCAGCAGCATCCTCACTTATGCAGAGTGACAAGGGCGGAGCGGTTCTGCAGCTGGTGCAGCCCGAAGAGCAGAGAGAAGCGCCGTGCCAAATCCCGGATCTCCAGGAAGGCGGCAGAGTGGACGCCTACAGGTCCCTGTTCCAGAAGCAGCTGAGTCAGCAACTAGGAGGAAGAGCAAGGGAGTGTCACCCAAGGCCTCTCCCCAACCTCTTGGCTCAAGGTCCTTCCCCCATTACCTGCTGCAGAGTGAGGAGCAGCGTGTGAGCCCATTCAGTCCGGTCAATCTGGCGGGTCTCATTCAGTGTCGCCTTGATGATGTCCCCGTAGTCATTGTAGGCCTGGTGGGGGCAGAACACTAAAGTCACTCCATTCCCAAAGCATAGGCTTAAGCCATAGAGAAACACACAGAAAGTTCTATTCCCTATTATGGGGTGGGTAAGGAAGGGCAATAGTCCTAGCAGGCAGCACTCCTTGGCTAGGGTCCAACTGGAAATGGGCTTCCAAACATCCTCTTGTGCCCAAGAGCCATGACTTGTGCATTTTAAGTTTTGCTTCTGTGAACAATACACTGGCTGGCTATTTTGGTTAACTGCAGAGTCAGGCAGCTGGACAGCAGCTGGCAACCCGCTGGAGACACCTCAGGCCCGGCAAGCACAGCACTCATGGGCCATTGAGATGAGTCTGACGGGGCTCTGAAGGCTGCAAAGGGGCTGGGCTGTAGCACAGGCAGAGGGAACCTTTCCCAGCCATGTGCCTATCCCTCAATCCCCTGACATCACATTGTCAGGTGACCAAAAATATTTCTTTTCTTGCAGACACGCAAAGAGGTTTGTGCCAATCAGGATGGTGAATTTCTGCTCAGATTGTACTGGGGAGCTTCCCTGGGAATGTGCTGCTCTAGAGTAAGAGACAACTGCTTTGCTGGAGTAAGTGCATTGCAGAGATGAATGGACAGACAGGCAGGCACATGTAGGCCATGGTAGGCATGGTTGATAGTTGAGCAGCTAAGCAGGACTAATTGTGTTGGTGCTATTTGCCTAGCTAAAAGTGCTTCACGTGGGACATGCTAGGATGCCAGAAAGACCGGGTCAAAGACAGCTATTATTACAGTCCTCTGCTGACCATCACATAGAACAGAGAATCCCAGGGTTTGTCCCCAGGTGGATGCTGCACAAAGGTAGCCAGAATCGAACCCCTGCCAACAGAACACCCCTAGCCAGGCCCGACCAGCCTGGTGAGTAGTGGTGAGACTTTGGGTGAGGGAATAGGGTCTTTTAAATCTGCTGCTGCCTGATCATCCATGAGTTCAGTGCGCTTCTGGCTACGTGCCTAATGCTTTGCACTTGCACCGAGCCTGTGATCTTTTGAACTGTAACACATATTCCCCATCCCCAGGGTGGGAGCCTGGGAGGAAGAAGGTCCCCATCCTCTACCACCAGGCAGCTGCTGTGCATTACAGCTCCAGGTAGTGCCAAAAGCAACAGTCGTTCCCCCCACCGCAGCCCACCAGAGCTGCACATGGAAGACCAGATATGGTGGGTCTCTTGGAGCCTTGTTGGGGAAGGAACAGCTAATCTGGCACCCAACCAGCTGTCCAGCAACATCGCTGAGGAAGAGGAAGGGGACCCATGTCAGAGCCAAGAGCCTGGGCACATCCGCCCACCCCCCACCAACCTTGGAGTAATGCTTGAAGATGTCTGAGGCAGCACTCAGCTCCAGGACTCCGTAGATGATGAGCTTGCAGAATCCGGCCAGCAGCTTGCGGCGCTGGTGCAGTTCCTCAATCTGGAGCATCTCATCCTGGCTGCCTGAGGCCAACAAGAGGAAGAGTGGGGGAGGCTGCTCTGCCCAGGGACCCCCTGCCCTCCTGCAGCCAGTGGCACCATGGGCCCAGCCCAATACCTTCAACCTGGTCGTGGTTGAAAACGTGGTCCACAAGGAAGCCAGCCAGCTGCGACTGCAAAGCAACATCTGGCTCGTACACCAGCTCGTGGAGCAGGCGGTGGCCCCCATACGGCAGCTGAGGGCCGAAAATCATGAGCAGGTCAGTCAGCACCACAAAGGCCTGGCAGGGAAACCAGAGAGTGAAAGTGAGGGGGCAGGAAGGGACATCGCAGGATTCAGGAGCAAGTCCTAGAAAATGGGGGAGGGGGCAGGAAAAGGGCAGCAAGCAGGGACACACTGCCTCTTTTCTGTAACCCCCCCCCCCCCCGGAATCAACAGGGCAGGCAAAGGGGAGGAGTAGCCTCTTCCTTGTCCCAGCAGCAACAGACAAGGAAGCTCCCACCCACTGCATTGCAGTTGTGGCTGAGGCAAGAAATCAATGCCTCCCCTCCTCCATGACTCCTGAGGCTGCTGCCTCCCAACCCCCCAAACACCATTGCACACAGAAACTCAAATCAGCTGCACAAGGCCAAGCCATGCAACAAATGAAACCATGAGTCACTCCTCCAGCTGCTTCCTTCTTGTACCGTATTTTTCCCTCTATAACACGCAGATTTTTTCTCCTAAAAAGTAAGGGGAAATGTCTGCGCGTGTTATTGAGCGAATGTGTGGTCCCTGGAGCCGACAGGCGCGAGTGAAGGCAAAAATCAGACAAATATCAATCCTCCGGAGAAGGGAAGCCTTGAAAGAGGAAGCTGCTGCTTTCCTGCATTCTGCCTCAGGGTCTTACTGCCCACCCGCTTCTGTTTGTTACTGTGTTTGCTCAAACGGAACAAAGAGCAGAGAAAACCCCTCCCCTCCAGGCAAGCAGAGGGGAAAGCAGGGCGTCCTTCCTTCTAATTCCTCTCCGTGCTCTGGTGCTGCAACATGCAGGTGGGGGGGAGAGAGAGAGAGAGCTGGCTTGGGTGGGTGCGTGGGGGGAACTTTTGCCTTCCTTTCCTCCCTCCGGTAAAACCCCTCTCCTGCATTCTTAGCCAGCTGCTTCTCCGCACACCCCTCTCGGTGCTCCTTGTCCCTTCTATGTTTTTCCTTCCCTCCCCACTTAAAACGTGGTTACAAAGCACGGATCCACATGGATCCTCAGGATCTTTGCATTGGGTCACCCCAAATTCACCATCAGATCACATAGCAATGATCTGATGCAAAAACAGGGCTGCAGTGGTGCAAAAACGTGGTTACAAAGCACGGATCCACATGGATCCTCAGGATCTTTGCATTGGGTCACCCCAAATTCACCATCAGATCACATAGCATGTCCATGGCTACAGCCTGCACCAAAAAAATCACGTACCCACTGTTGCCTGGGGCTGCAATGGTGCAAAAACGTGGTTACAAAGCACAGATCCACATGGATTCTCAGGATCTTTGCATTGGGCTACCCCAAACTCACCGTCAAATCACATGTCTGGCCGCAGCATGAAGCACAAAAATGAGACATCCACTGTTTCATTCAGAATTTTTTTTTCTTGTTTTCCTCCTCTAAAAACTATGTGTGTGTTATGGTCAGGTGCGTGTTATCGAGCGAAAAATACGGTAGTTTCCTGCCCTTTAGCAGGTTTCTGGAGCACCAGCTCCGTCTCCTGCGCATCAATGAAGTTATTGTTCCCAGTAACTGGTGTTCTAACTGTAATGTTGTCTCCCTCCCTCTCAGGATCTAGTTTAAAGATCTCCTGATCAGGTTTGTGAGACTCTTAGCAAACACATTCTTGCCAACTGCTGTGAGGTGCAGCCCATCTCTTGCCAGAAGTCTTTCCTCAAGAAGTGGAGACCATGATCCAAGATGCCAAACCTTCCTGACATCACCTGCGCAGCCAGTGGTTGACCTCCAGTATTACCCTCTTTTTGGGTCACAACCTTCAACAGGGTAGATGAAAAGACCACCTTTGCCCCAAGGTCCTTCAGCTTCCTGCCCGGAGTATCAGAGTCCTTTGCTATATGCTGAAGGTTGTGTGGGAGTACTGCTTGTACCCACATGGATGAGAAGGAAGGGGTTGTGGCCAGTGGGCTTTGCAAGATTTGGCAACTTCTCTCTCTCGTGTTGTGAAGGGAGAATGTGAACAAGAGATGAGCAAGCATCCCTGTGGCCAACAGCAGAAGAAGCCCAGCTCTTTTGAGTGTTTCATGAAGTAGGCAAGAGCCAAAATCCCAACTCCCTCGGGGAACACAGGAACCCTGTCTCCTGCTCTTACCTGCTCCTGAACACCGGGGTCCATGTCCACAAGATAGTTCTGACAGAGGGAGCAGAAGGAAGCCACTTTTTGCTTCAGGCTGAGCAGCTGCTCCTGGAAGGAGGAGTGGTGTCATGAGCGTGTGGTGGTGCAAAGGGAGACCCACCCTCTCTAAAAGCCCTGCTCACCTGTCTGGGAAGGGGGTCAGAGGCTGCGGTGGCGGCACAGAGATGGGACAGCTCCCAATAGAGTGAGAAGTATGAACAGGATATGGCAGAGATGACCACCTGCAACAAAGGAAGTCAGGCAGATAGGGAAGTAGCCAAAGCAAGATCCAGAATTTTTGGGGTGGGAAGGAGCCTTCCACTCTGCAGCTGCAAGACTGCACCCACCCCCCAAAATGGGGGAAGGGAGCAGGATGTGGTAGCAACAATGAGACGACACACAGGCATGCAACTGTGGGCACATGCTCATGTTCATCTCCACTTTTCCAGGGCACTCGTCAGTTCAAGCCCCTCTCTCCCTGCAACCCTGCAGTACCTGCTTGGGGATCTCCTCTGTGTCCACCGTGTGGCGCAGGAGTCGGATGCAGGGATCAAAGAAATTCCACGGGGTCAGGTCATGAGCACTGCAGACAAAAAAGCAAAGGACATTCCTTGCCTCTTCCTTCCATGCAACAGAAGCAGCATGGGGCTGCTCCAGAGCAGCTGAGGGAGGGTCTGAAAGCCTTGAGCTGGGACGCTAGCCAGGATGGGGCCTGCAAAACAACAGGACGGCCTGGTTCTCTCCCTCCTCCCTGTGCTCACCTGTGCAGGATGGCAATGCGTTTGAGAGTGGTAGCCACACAGTACACATCTTCATTCTCCAGACAGCCGGGGGACTGAACAGGAACCAAGAGAAAGAAAACCTAATTGACCATGCCCGTTTCTCCTCCTCCGTGATCATTGCAGTCTTTTGGGCTTCCATGGACTGCAATGGCAGAGATGCCCTGTCTATCTGTGAAGCAGGAAAGCAACCCAGTACCTCAACACTCTTACAGTCTCCTATGTGGAAGAGGGAGAAATGAAGGAAAAGCATTGCTCCATACATGCACTGCCTAACCCAGCCACCAACCCCATTCCCAGGCACCTCCGCTGCACCCACCCATCTGTGGTCTGGCCACTACCTTCCCACTGACCATTCCAAGCTGCCACAGCCACCAGTGCTCTGTACCTGGAACAGTTCAGTCTCCTCATGCTGGAATTTATCCGCCAGATGGTCCACCAGACGACTGCGGGCAAAATCTGCACGGCTGTAGAAAGCCAGTTCTGGAGAGCAGAGCATGTGCAGAGTCCTGGAAGTAGCCTCCAGCACTTCGCAGTCTGTGTGCTTTTCCATCACCTCCCACAGCTGGGCCAGCAGCAGCTCTAAATGCTTGGGGAAGTGCAGCAGCCTGGTTGAATGGCAGCTCTGGACTAGGGGGAGAAGGCAAGCCCAGCCCCACACCTAAGCCCTGGTCTGGCAAAGGGAAGGGGGCAGGCGCAGGGCTCCCTCACCTTTTCTAGACGGCCGCTGCTGTAAAGAGTCAGGTCAAAGTAGCGCGGGACCTCCAGCAGATAAACCACTTTTTCGGCATCAGCTGAGAACTGGCCAAAGGGAGCGGAGAGAAGGGACATTCAGGCTCCCGCATAGCCAAGAGGAGCCATGAACAGGAGGGCACTGCCCAGGGCAAGGGAAACCATCTTGTCTGCATTTGTTGAAGCCAAGAATGTCAAGTGCCATGAACCCAGACCCCAACAGGGAGGGACACGTCACCCCAGAATGCTTCCATGCCCCCTCCCAGTAACACAGAGGGAGGCCCCCATCCCTCACAGGGCTCACCTTAGCCAGCAGTAGGGGCAGCAGGGGGATGAGGTGCTGAGTGAGTCTGAGGCGATCCTCCACTTGCACCTTGCGCTCCCGAGCAGAAAGCACCTTGTAGAGAAGAAAGGATGGGAAGCATAGCCCAGTGGAGGGCAGGAGATGAGCTAGGAACACCTCAGGCGGCCACCCTGACCCTTCCTTTACCTTCTTTCCAGAGATCCGGCCAACAGGTGGCTGCCCCTCTGTGGCCTGTCGCACACTGGCTGCCAAGAACATGATGAGGCTGTTCTCCTCTCGGTCTCCGAGGCCTGTGGAGCAAGGCGGCAGCTGAGCCAGGGAGCGAGGCAGCTCACCCAAGCAGTTCTGCAGGCCCTTTGCTGGCCAGCGCAATGCAGTTGTTCCACATTGTACACCTCATACACTGTCCGTGTCTGGACTGCCCTTTAAACCCACCTCAACGTTGGTGAACTGCAACTTCCATCATCCCTGGTCATTTGCCATGCCTGCTAGGGCTGATGGGAGTTGTAGTTCACCACCTTGTATGTTCCCCACTCCAACTTTAGCCTACCCTGTGAGAAGTCTCAAAGGAGAGGCTTCATTTCACCAGCAGCCATTATGTCTCCATCTCAACTTGTGTGAAGGTAAAAAATAGGCAACTAGACTGAACACTGCTCCTGCATCTCTTCGCAGCCAGAGAAACTGCTTAAAACTGCCAACATGCAAACCACTCCACCTCCTCCCCTGGCACCTTTGGAAGCAGCCAAAGGCGATGCTAAAAATGACAAGCAGGTGCCCGATCCAAGGTAACCCCTCCCCTTCCATGATTCTACTCAGACCTTGCAGTTGTGAGCTGATCACTGAAGAGCTGGGTGGGTCCTGGACCACACCAGATTGAAAGTTTTCACCTTAGACACTTTACTGGCAGACGTGTCCAGCAAGAGCCAACCTCCACCCCCATCACGCATGCAAGCTGGGCAGAGGTGTCAATGCTCTTCACTGCTTCCAGGTGTCCCTTCACCCCCCACCTGTTCCTCACCTTCCGCAGGGGGATCCTCCAGCAGAAGCCCAGTCAACAGCTGCCAGTCCTTCAGCAAGGCAGCCGCACAGTCCCACAGGCTGTCCACCAGGTAGCTGGCATGGTCATGGAACTGTGTGGGGAGAGCAATGTCATGCCCCTGCCTGGGAAGGCCTCTCCTGCCCCCACCTCCCTGCTGCCTCACCTCACTCTCAATGAAAAAGGCCAGCAGCAGCTGGAAGGCGGCTCGGGTGCGCTGCTTCCCTGCCGTCCCCCTGGCACACATGGTGGGAACCAACAACCTAGGGGCCAAACCGCTATTGTTAAGAAAGGGGAGATGGAATCAAGGATTCTGCAGGAAGGCTTGTAAGAGGCAGCAGAGCAGGATCAAATCTTGTTTGTTTAATAAAATTTACAAACCGCTTGATTGCAGCAAAACATATGATTTACAAGATACATGAAAAAACAAGCTGGTCTTCTGCTTGAGATGCTGCAGTTCCGGGGGGGGGGGGGGTAGAGAGAGGACACACTCACTTGTTATACAAGAATTCGCCAGCGGCTGCTGCAAGGGGACGGCTAGAAGCATACACAAGTGGAAAGACGCTTGCACAATCCGAGTCTGTGAGCACATCATCCATGTTCCTGAATGGAGATCAAGCATCCACTCATCAGTGGGCCAAGGCTGGAGCTCAGTGGCAGAGCACATGCCCTGCATGCAAAGGTCCCAGGCAGGCTGAGAAACACCTTGTCCCAGCCCTGGAGGCGGCTTGCTTGTCAGCGCAGACAACACTGCATTGAACGGACCAAGGAAGATTCCTGTGTGCACACTATGGACATTGGGGGGGGGTCCACGGGGCTCAGGCCCTAGCAACACCCCCACCCTGACAACACTTACTGAAAGATGAGGGTGAGCAGCCTGACAGCTTCCACTGCCACTTGGGGCTCCTTGTCCAGGACCATGGACACCATTCGCTCCTGCAGGGAAGAGCGCAGGCATTGGGTGGGAGAACAGCGCACCTCCCCACCATGTCTTCACAGATGCAAGGAGCCCACAGCAGAATGTACAGGAACATACTCCCCCTGTCAGAGGAAGGCCAAGAAGGTGTGGAAGACATCCAGCTGACAGCATTCTTGGGTCAAGACCCTCACCTTGAAGCGACTGGTGAAGAGCTCCATGCGAGCAGCCCTCTCCTGGCTGTGATACAGTCCTTGTAGAGCAAGAAGGCACTTGAGCCGGACCTCCCCCTGCTGCAAGACAGACAAGAGGAGATTAGGAGCAAGAGACTAGAAGCTGCCAGGCCAACTCCTTGGGCTTCTTCAAGAGAGATCAGCATGGCCAGACCCTAAGGTGGACATTTTCCCAGAAGAACCTCAACGTTCACAGGCATGTTTCTACTTTCACAGAATCAACTGAGAATATTACCTGCACTACCCACACTGATGAACAAGTAACTAGTATAACCACAGATTCTTATAGTCTCCTAAACAAGCCTGCAATCTTGCAGTTAAAATTTGTTTCAATGGGTTTTAAGGAGCCTTGACTTCAAAGGACTACAAGACAGCTGTCCTAAGTCAAGTAACTTCTACCTGAAAGCTTCCTATGGCAAACAGCAAGTTAAGTCTTTTCCTCTGAACTATATTCACTCATAACTGACTTTGACTTAAAAAGTCCCTGGGCTCAAATCTCATCTCAGCCTTATACACTGTAATACAGTTACTGCCTCACATTTGTGTGCATGAAAGGGTTAACCTGAGGCTCTCAATCTTCCTGCTTCCTGATCCCAACTCAAGAATGCTGCATGTGAATGAAGAATCTCTCTATAAGGAGGTTTCATTGCCTGCATTTTTGTTAGTCGAAAGATTGCATGAACTTTTGGTAATGAAACCAAGTACATTTCTTTTTAAGTCGTTTGGAACCTTTTGTCAGTGTTTGTAAAAAGCAAAAAAAAAGGAAGGAAAGGGTTCTGACCTCCCTTTGTCTCCTTAGCCTGGTCCTTGGACCCTTGTCGGCACAAAAGAGTCCACGAGAAAAGTCCTTGCAGAGTTTTATTCTTAAAAGTCTTTGTGCGAAAGCGACTGACCAACTATTATTTTTTTTATAGGATATTTATTGAAATTTTCAAAGTGTTACAAAATAAAATAAAAGCAGAAGAAAATACAAAATACAGAATAAAAATAGTTAACAAAGTAGGGGGGGGGGAAACAAACCCCTTCCAACCATACGAATACAAATTCAAAAATAAGAAAAAGAGACAGAAAAAAATACAAAAATACACCACAAACAATTAAGAACATTTAAAAACAAATTCATTATTCTCGAATCCTCAACTGTCATTACCTTCTTTCTTTGACCTCCTCCTCCTCCCTTTCTTTGTATCCTAGTTATTAATTATCCCAGCAAATCCTTTCCATATTTCATAATATTCTGTCATTACATTACCCTAAACTGTTTTAATCTTATCTTTCTATAAGAAAATAAACCTTAAAGCTTAAAACTTATATCTTCTCCTTACCAACTTCTCATAACCATAATATTCTTTCATAATTCTTTAAACATCTTTACTAAAGCCGAGTAATTTCATTCCAACATTTTTCTGACATTCATCAATTTTATAAAACAGTTCTAATGGTAGAAAAAAGAAATGCAAACAGATCCAATCTTCATCCAACGTCCCTTCCTCCTGGTTCCGGGTTTTGTCAGTCCTTATTGTCCCATCGATCTAGCCCATTAACCTGGCAACCTTATATCCGAGGCCCTCAAGTCTCTTCCATGTCCCTTCCGCAGCTCTTCTTCATATTTATAACTGTATTTTCCCTTGTCTCCTGCTCGTGGTAACTCCAGCTTGGCAATATTTTTAACCCTTCTCGACACATCAGCCCCTTTTCCATATTCAGCACTGAATTCCATATGGTATTTAAAAACATGTTTCAAAGACCCTCCAAAATTAAGAGCCCCCACAATCCCAAACATCTCACGGCCCATTGCCAGATTTGAAAAGTCCAAACATCCCAGCATAGGGGGGTCAATCCAGCCCCCCATTTCCAAGCCAAACCAAACTTTTTCTTTCCAAATCTGGCTTTTTCCAAGTTCATTTGTCAAATCCGAAAACTCATATTCCTGTTGGGCCTGTTCTTTCAAAACACACTCCTGATTTAATTCCTGGGTGGGCTCCACATATTTTCCCACTGTCTGTTCAAAATTTCCCACTGCCTGTTCAAAATTTCTAGTCGAAGTCGCCATCAAATTCACCTTCTCATGTACCTGTTCCAGTAGGGCATTTGTTTTATAGAAAGCACACAACAAAGCTTCTGAATACATTGTCCTGCAAGGTCAAATGCCAATTCCCACGATTGTAATCTGTAACAGCTGCCGGCTCCCTGGAGTTGGTTACAGTTTCACAGTCTCCCTCTAGGGGGAAAACTTCTATTTGTTCTTGCAACGAAGTTTCCCTTTTTGAGATACTTTGTCAATATTTGTTCCTTTAAAATGCGAAGGGAAACAGTGGAATCACTATGTTTCTCTTCTTTTAGCTATCTGTCAAAAACGTTTGTCTCTGGTCAATGAACTTCAAATGTCAGTCCTGACACCCCGCTCCAGGATCAGGACGGAGGAAAGTTGCTTTACTTTAAACTCACTTTAAACAGTCCGAAAAAGATCCCCCTTCTTCTCCTGCTGTCGAAGGGGGGTTCCACAATTTTAAATGATGAAATCCAATCCTTTAAAGGCGATTTTCTAAGCTCTAGTTTACGTTGTCTTTGCTTTATTCTGTCTACAAAGGAACGGAAGGCTGACTTCCTGTTTAGACCTTCCCGTTCCGTACCAAATTGAAATAGATTTTTAAGATCCAATTCCTTTCTGCACGCAAGACCTTATTTAATGTCCAGTTGTTCAAAGTCTAAGTACTCACGGGTGCTTATTTTAGAGTCCAAATTGTCCCAGGAAAAAGGCAGCGCTCTCCGGCAACGGCTATGCAGCTTCGCTCCACGGAAATAGCAGTTGACTCACAGCACCGCGCCACTTCCCCCTCTTCACTTAGGAGCCCGTTAGTGGGTTCCTTAGCGAGTTGGGGGGGCGCTAAAGGTGCCCGCCGAGTCCCATGGTCACAGGCTTCATCCGCCTGTGATTTTTAAAAGGGTCCCCGCTTCGCCGTAGTGGAGAAGACCCGTTTCCCGCGGAGCTAGTCCCTCCAGTTCAGAGTCTGCCATTGCCGATGGCGCCACCCCGGAAGTCCACGACTGACCAACTACACACATCAACACTAACTAACCAACCAACCAACCCAAACACCAGCCAACCCAAACTAACATTTCTCACTCTATATATACAACCCAGTGCAGGCTGCTGACTCATGCTGACCCAGCTTTATTCGCATTAAAGAAACAGCGGCCATTTTAGCCGTGACACCTTTTTCATCTTCATTTCACTACCAGCAGATTTTGACGTCGACTGTAACTTCTATAACTCCTTAGCAAAATATTCACCTGTTTGCAAAGCTAAGTGTCTGTGATTTATTATACCCAAAGTATTTTTGTGAAGAACATTTGTTTAAAGATGCAAATCTAACCAAGTTTTAATGTGCAATCACAATTGTACTTAACTTTGTTGAGAGAGTAAGAATCTCTCTTCCAAACCTTTCCCTCCAAAAACATATCCACTAGAAAAGCAGCTATTCTGACAATCACCGTGATGAACCAAAGGTGAAATGTTCCAACAACGACCAATTGTAGCAACAACTACAACGGCTAGTTGTTGCAAGAACAAGCTCATGTTTATATTCACTTGCTTTGATATATGCGAATTGTCTGGCTTCGATGCTATGCTTATCTGTAAGCCTTGGGATGCTGGGCTCAGGGCCCAGGAAGAGAGGAGCTCTGGACAGCTGCTACCTCTGGCCTCGCTGACCAGGGGAAACTAACATATGCTACTTTGTGCATAAAGGATACATACATGTTTCCTCAGCTGCAAACAAATCATGACGACCTCTCGCTTTTGTGGTGTCCATCCCTTCTGTACAGGTAGTGGGGCTCTGCATGCTGTGGTGTAAGTTTATACCTCTAAATAAGGCAGTAGAACTGCCCATTCTGGTGTTTTTGACATCCTCCTTGGGTATACTTACATCAAACCCCTCGCTCAGCACCTCTTTGTGCTTGCGGTTCAGTACCCCCCTCCCTCCAATTCTCGGTAAGAGAATAATATAGTTTATCTTGCAGCGTTGCTATTATTACTGAAATAATGCATTTGAAATGTCTCCAAGATCAGAAACAAGAGAAATGCTGCCTAACCTTTCAAAATGAAACAGCAGCATTTCCTCCCACCCCAGCACAGAGGTGGCTGGATGTGTGAATGCAGTTTCTTCCTGTTAGAGATCACACAGAGGCATCCCTGCCTGCCCAGGTGTATGCGTGTGCCCTGGCCCTTGGCAGGTTGGCCATATGGAAATCTGACTCTCAGGCTAAGAAAGGTTCTCCACCGCAGTCCCATGGAAGCCCTGAACATGTTTACAGCTGTTTGCCTGTGAGCAGATGGGTACCTCCTGCTGGATGCAACACCCACCTTCTTCCACCTACCTACCTTGTCATGTAGCGTCCAGCCAATGTACTTGAGATAGCTGTCAGTCAGGAAGGAGTTGCTGTAATGCTCTATCCACTGGCCCATCTCTTCAATGCAAATGGCACGAATTTCAGGCATAAGGTCCCTTGACAAGCAAATAATAAGAAAGTGTTAAGATGGACAGCGTGGCTCACTGGTCCCTGCTCTAGCTGAACTTGCCCTCACCCCAACTCACCGATAGCGGTGAATGAAGACCCCCTTGAAGATAGCGTTCATCAAATTCTCAAGCTCTTCCTGTTTCTCCTGGAGCTGGCAACACACAAAGCAGGACACAAGTGGTTTAAGTCTCCAGCCAGGCACTTGCGTGCACTGCCACCTGCATCTGACATGTTAGAGGGACTCTCACAGGGAGCAGACTGTCTGCCCTGCTTGAAGCACAGTCACATCTTCTGTCTCTGGCATGTAAAAATGACACTGAGTCAAAATTGCCTCCTAATGAGTTAGAATAACTCTCTAGAGGCCTGGAGTAAAAACCAGCCCACAGATGATCAGTTCAGCAGCTGTAGTGCTCTAATATTTAATCTAGGGGTTCCGTGACAGGAAGATTGAACCCTTTCCCTCCTGTCTATGAGAAATGAACCCAGCCAATGCTTATATTGATACATTAGAACCCCAGAGTTCCATGATCCCAAGCACAGTCACCTGGATGCCCTGAAGCCTTTATCAAGAGAGCACGAGGAAAAGCTGGGACAGGAGAAGGGATCCAGGAGATACCCATAAGAAATGTTAACTCGCCCAAGAATCTAGGGAAGTCACAGTGGAGAGCCTTTGTGTAACAGAAGCTGCTCCCTTAAGTCCACCGAGGGATTTGCGGAGCTCTGGTGTGTGAACATGGGGATACCTTCCCAAAAGACGTGTTGTGAAGGACCTGCTTGGGTCCTGGTGGTTTCTGTGCTGAATCTGCATGTTTCTGTTCTGAAATTTCACCTGAATAAATACTAGATCAACATGGTGAGCCCCAAAATGCTACCAAGAAACTAAAAATCCAAAGATGTATTTTGCCTAAAATTTGCACTTTAGACCTGTGGCATGCCAGACATTCATGAATGACAACTCCAAAGAATTCTCAAAGATTATAGATAGAGGCTCTGAGATTAAATCTGCAAGCTCCATTAGAACCCTTTGGTGCTGCTCATCAGTCCCTGGAGATTTGAAGGCATTTAACGTTGCTAGGTGTTCCCTTACCATCTCTTTTCCTATCTTGGGCTGCAACTCCTCCCTCACTTCACTCATCATGCTATCACTAGGTTGGGCATTGCTTTTCTTTTGGGTGAAGACAGAAAGAGATGTTGAGCAGTTCTGCTGTCAGTGAAGGAACTTCTCTGACATCTGCCTTCTCGCTCATACAATAGCACTTCTCCATCTTCTCCACACAGAGGACCTGCCACTTGCTTGTTCCTCTTGCTTTGAACACAGCCAAAAAACCACACCCTTTTTAACCTCTCTTGCAAACCTGAGTTCATTCTGAGCTTTAGCCCATCTGACATTCACCCTGCAACTGTTGGCTACTCGTATATATATATATTCCTCCTCCATGATTTCCTTTCTTCTCTTCTCAAATTTCAACCCATCTGTAAGCTCATTCTGCATCCAATTCTTGTTGGAATCGTCTGCATTTAAGCTTTTAATATTTGACCTTTAAGAAACTCTGATCTTGAGCTCCTTTCTCTTTGAGTTATTTCCAACCATGGCATGTCACAGTAGTTCCTTCAACTTTTTGAAATCAGCCTTCGAGTGCACATCTGAGCGCAATTTCCCTTGCCTCTACATTCTGAAACCCAAGAGGACATGATCACTTCCCCCCAAGGTTTCCAGGACTTCTACTTCGTTGATCAGTTCATCCCTCTTGGTAAGGACCAAGTGAGGAATGTGTTGGACACTACATTCTTGGCAGCTTGAATTCCAGCAGATATTGGGGAAGTTGAAGTCTCCCATGACTACTATAGCTCTCCTTTTCAAATGTTTGAACATCTGCTCTGGGAAGACATCAGCCAAGTCTTCAGTCTGGCTTGGAAGTCTTCAGCAGACACCCAGAATAAGGTCACTGTAGTTTCCCTCTCCTGTAATTTTTACCCATATATTCTCAATCTGCTTTCCATGTTCCAGGTTATGAATCTCTTCACAAGTATACACATCCTTTACCTTCCTCTCTTCCTGTTGGGTCTCCACCTTTTCACTGATTAATTTATACCCATCAATTTCTATATTCATATATATATATATATATATATTCATTTTTGCCCATGTCTGCAGGAGTTTAGCCCTACTATTTGCCTGACAAATACCATCATCCTGGGTCAGTATGCTGCCAGCACTCCACACATCAGCACTGGTGATCACACACTTGAGGTGGTAGATTTTGTCTACTTTGGTTCCACCGTTAGTAACACTGAGCTGGACAAACGAATTGGCAAGGCAGCTATGGCAATGATTCACCTCTTCAAAAGGGCATGGGAGAATGTGACGCTAACATTCAAGATTCAGGCAGGTAGCCATGCTGGTCTGATGCAGTAGAAATATATAAAAATATAAATATAAATAATGTCCAGTAGCACCTTAGAGACCTACTAACAAACTTAGTTGGTCTCTAAGGTGCTACTGGACAATTTTTTATATTTTTTTTATATAATGCCTGATCACCTCATCTATCTCCTGAGAAATCTCTATGTGCAACAAGAAGCTACAGTTAGAACTGGATATGGAACAACTCAATGGTTCAAAATTGGGAAAGGAGTACGACAAGGCTGTATATTTGTCTCCCTGCTTATTTAACTTATATGCAGAATTCATCATGTGAAGGCTGGGCTGGATGAATCCCAAGCCGGAATTAAGATTGCCGGAAGAAGTATCAACAACCTCAGATATGCAGATGACACAACCTTGATGGCAGAAAGTGAGGAGGAATTAAAGAACCTTTTAATGAGGGTGAAAGAGAAGAGCGCAAAATATGGTCTGAAGCTCAACATCAAAAAAACGAAGATCATGGCCACTGGGCCCATCACCTCCTGGCAAATAGAAGGGGAAGAAATGGAGGCAGTGAGAGATTTTACTTTCTTGGGCTCCATGATCACTGCTGATGGTGACAGCAGTCACAAAATTAAAAGACGCCTGCTTCTTAGAAGAAAAGCAATGACAAACCTAGACAGCATCTTGAAAAGCAGAGACATCACCTTGCCAACAAAGGTCCGTATAGTTAAAGCTATGGTCTTCCCAGTAGTGATGTATGGAAGTGAGAGCTGGACCATAAAGAAGGCTGATCGCCAAAGAATTGATGCTTTTGAGTTATGGTGCTGGAGGAGACTCTTGAGAGTCCCATGGACTGCAAGAAGATCAAACCTCTCCATTCTTAAGGAAATCAGCCCTGAGTGCTCACTGGAAGGACAGATCGTGAAACTGAGGCTCCAGTACTTTGGCCACCTCATGAGAAGAGAAGACTCCCTGGAAAAGACCCTGATGTTGGGAAAGATGGAGGGCACAAGGAGAAGGGGACAACAGAGGACGAGATGGCTGGACAGTGTTCTCGAAGCTACCAGCATGAGTCTGACCAAACTGTGGGAGGCAGTGGAAGACAGGAGTGCCTGGCGTGCTCTGGTCCAGGGGGTCACGAAGAGTCGGACACGACTAAACAACAACAACAAACATTCAATACCAAGATGAAGGTCTACCAGGCTTGTGTGTTGCGCACAATGCTTTATGGAAGCAAGTCATGGGCAACCGCCAGGAGCGAGGCCTCAACACTTTCCACATACGCTGCATCATAAATGTTTTGGGTATCAAATGGCAGGACAGAATTCCAACCAAAAATGTGCTCTCTCAAGCCCACATTCCCAGCAAGTTCTCACTCCAGTCTCAGCGAGGCCTATGTTTGCTTGGTCTTGTCCACAAATTGAAGATGGTAGGCTCCCCAAGGATGTGCTCTATGGGGAGCTGGCTTCAGGCACCAGACCCATTGGCCGACCAACTCTGCGCTACAAAGATGCCTGCAAACGTGACATAAAGGCTGGAAACATCAACCCCACCGTGTGGGAATCCTTTGCAGATGACTGCAATGCCTGGAGACAGACAGGTCCTGCATCCATAAAAGTGACCAGAAGAGGGATGACCGGTCAAAGGAGCAGAGAGAGAAGAAATGCCATAGTGCATCCACAGCAGCACAACCAGATGCCTTCATCTGCCCCAGCTGCAACAAAACACATCTCATTCGCATTGGTCTCTACAGCTAGAACTGGTGCTGTAACCTTCCAACAGTTTACCCCACCTCCAAATATGCCCTTTTCCACTGTCTCCCGAGACAAGTCTCATTCCACGAGGTTTCAGTAATTTCCATGAGGTCATATTTGCCTGCTCTCCCGCCCCACCCCATGCCACCTTGTGCTGCAGCCCTGCCACCTTCACCTCTCTGTGTTGCTCCAGCAGCCCTTCCAGCTTCCCCAGAGCCCGGCAGCTCGATCCCTTGGCCTGCTCAGCCTCATACTGCCGCTGACTGTTGTCCTTCTGCAGGCTGACACTCAGAGCTACACGCACCAAACCTGTCATTAGTTTCATGGCTACAGGAAAAGATGAAGCATAGCATGGCATTTCTCAGCTCCTCTCAGAAAGGGATGCATCTGCCCACCCAAACCCAGACTACTCTCCTACCTGCCAAGGTGCTTGTGTGGCGGAAGCACGCACCTGGGAGTCAGACATGCCAGTAAGCAGGGCGACAAGGCTACCCATCAAATACTCATCATAGAGAACAGCATGTTGTGTTCGGTGCACAAGAACTCCCAACAGCTCACAGAACCCCTGCCGAAACCGCCGCCAGACTGGGGTGTTCAGCAACAGTGGGTACTCTGCTGAGCCCTAGGAAAAGATTTGTCTGAGTCCACCATTTGTCTCTGCCACCCTCCCTCCAAGGCGACTGTTTGGATTTAACCTCCCCAGAAACATCCCCTTCCTTAGTTCTCACCTCATCAAATGATTCTGTCAGCTGCTGGATGATCTCCGAGTTCTGAAGGCCTCTCAGCATCTCCAGGGTCACTACACCTGCAGGGCCGTGGAGGGAAAGAGAAGGGAGAGAGCGCCAGTCCAGCCTCACATCACTGCAGAGCAAGCATGCAACTGGAAGGAGGACGGAGCACAGGAGAGCTTTTGCAAGAGTACGCAGAAGCACAACACTCCACTCTAAACTCACCTTTGCAACCACAGGAGTGGACAATGAAGTTGAACAGCTCCAGAAACCCAGATTCCCTGTCTTTCCTGTAACTCTCAAGCCAGTCATCAACTATAGACTGTGGCAGTTGACAGAGGATGGCAGTAGGCAAAGGGAGCAGGGCAAGGACACGCACATAGAAACAAGAGAGAGATGCGAGACCCACAAGAGCACAAGCATACTAGAGGATTTGCGTTTCCCCTAAGACACATTCCTCTGCCTCCCCCCCCCCCCGCATCTCCCTGCTCCTTATCTTTCTCCAGCCAACCCTGCCACTCTCACCTGCCCCAAGTCTCCTTTCCAAAACCCACCCCTTGCTCCACTGCAGCCCACCAAGCCAGCTATCCCACTCCAGCACATAGGACAGGGGGGGAGGCACATCTTTCCTCTCCTTCCAAAGCTCCCTGGGGACGGCTGCTGGCGCATCCCAGGGAGCTCAAGCAGCAGCTTCGGGTTGAGCCGGAGGGGGCGCCTTCTCCGTGCTGGGCCCTCCCTCCCTCCCCGCTCTCTGCCCCGACTGCAGCCCCGAGCAGGGCCTTCTCCGCGCGGCTCCCTCGGCTGCCCCTCACCTGCGCGGCGCTCCCGCCCGCCTTCACCGCCGGGAAGAGGCCGCCGCCGCTGGGCTCGGCGCGGGCCGGCCGAGGGTCCTCGGGGGCCTGAGGGGACGGAGAGAGAGGGCGAGGAAGCCGGGAGCCCCAGCCCGGCCTGGCGGCGCCCCACCCAGCCGGGGCCTCCCTCCGGCCCTCCCTACCTGCGCCTGGCCGCCAGGCCTTTCCTGGAAGGCGCTGTCGCCGGAGTCCTCCGAGGCGTCGCTGCCCGTCGCCCTGCGGACCAAGAGGGAGCTCAGCCCGGCCCGGCCCGGCCCCACGCCGCCCGCCCGCCCCCGCCCGCCCTCGCCCGCCCGCCCGGCCCTCGGGGACTCACGGCGCGGGGGCCGAGCGGCGCGGCCGGAGGGCCCTGGCCGGAGAAGCCATGGCGGGACCGAGGCGGCGGCGGCCTCCTCCTGCTCCGGGCTCCCTCAGCGCAGCTGCGCGGGAAACGCGCCTCGGCCCCGCCCCGCTCGCCTGCCTGCCTGCCCGACACGCGGCTCCCCGCGGCACTGCGCAGGCGCCGCTCTCCGGGCGGCCACAAGGGGCGCCCCTGGCTCGCGGCCGCCGGCGGCGGAGGGAGGAGGGAGGGAGGGAGGAGGAGGCGCCTCCGCTTGGCCGCCCGCCCGGGGAACGGGGACGCGGAGGGAGGTTCCTGGAGGGAAGGAAGGAAGGGGCCCTTGCTATGGCCAGCTGGCCCTTGTCCCTGATACGGGGGGGGGGGCATGTCTTCTTCACCTTCTTCTTCACTACAATATAGCCATTGATTTCCAATTGCCAATGTCAAAAGGGACTCAAATCTAGCACATTCCTAGAAAACCAACGTGCCCATTTGCTCCGTTTCTCTAGGACTCCATGACACCTCCCCTGTCCTCCAGAATCCCTCGAGCAAGGTGTCAAGACCCTAATCCTGTCAAATCGCTCTGCCAAGCCCTTCCTCCGGGCGATGCCAGGTGGCAGACTATGCATACATGGACCATTGTCTTCTCGGGATGTGCTTATCTGCGCATATCTCCAGCTCTGCATATTCCCCCCTCCCTCCTCCATATGTGAAGCCGGTGTAACCCAACCTCTTCCTAATGTATTCGTGATGTAATCCGTGTAACCCAACCTCTTCTTAATGTATTCATGATGTAACTGGGATGTATTGTGCACTGCATTCTGGGACATGGAGGAAATTTCAAAAGTTCATGTCACCCCTTTCTCGCTGTTCAATCTCGCCTTGAACCTGTTGCGCAATAAACTCGGATCTCCTGCAACTTGCTCCTGTCTCCGGCTGAGCTCATCTTCTTCCGCAGGGACCCGCGGACTTAGTCCGACGAGCTGGGTGGCAGAGTAACCCCGCACCCAGATTTTACCGTAACATCCCCAACAAATGGTTGCTGTGTTTTGTGTTGAATATATGCCAGGTGGTCATTTATGGACCTCATTTGCACATAACAAAATATGCATTTTATCAAAGTAATTGTTGAACTGAAATACAATGACGTGGAAGTATATTAATAGTGAAATCATTCTCTCTCTGGCGGGACCTCCGGCTGGCAAAGCGCTAGAGCCCAGCAGTGTCTCCGTCCCCCCTCCGTCCCCGGAAAGGCCTGCTCTCGAGGAGGCCCACAGAGCTCGTCTGCTGGCCAGCTTGGCCCTCGGCCCCTTCGGCCGGCCCTCCTCAGCCCTTCGCCACCTTGTCTGCAGGCTTCCACCCCTGAAGGGGATCCAAGTCCCTCCCACAGCTGCTCTCCATCCAGAGGACGCGATCCTTGGGGCCAGGCAACAAAACCCCGCGTCCGCTTGGCCAGCAGCTCCACTGCATGGCTGACTTGCTCGGTGGGCGCTTCCGCCAAACCCCGAGGTCCACTTGACTCTTGTCAAGGCAGCTTTACCCGCTTGGAAGCCTGTCCTGTCCTGGTCGCCCCACCTCAAAAAGGAGAGAGCCGGGGAAGTTTCAGGGAAGGGCCAGCAAAAGCATGAAGGGGATGGAGTGAGTCCCCTGGGAGGAAAATGGGCTGCAACCTTGGAGGCTCAGGAGTTTGTGGAAGAAGAAAAAATAAGGCAGACATGATCGTGTTACACAAAAACATGCACAGACTGGAGCAAGGAGTAGGCAGAAGTACACCTGCCAATTTCCTGTTACTTTGCCTTCATTTTCCTGATAGATTTGTATTTTCTTCCAGATTCCTTTTTTAAGCTCCGAAACTAAACAGAATTAGCGTAAGAATCTCTTTTGGAGCTTTTAATATACTGCCTCTCTACACTTAATCCCGTGTGTCTCTCCTGGTCCTGGTCCTGTCTCACATTGTTGTTCAACCTAGAAGCTCTGCTTCAGGCATCTCCAAGAGAACCCAGAAAACTCCTGTTTCCCCTCAGTTCAGCGCTGGCTCTGCCTTTCTGGAGAACCACACAATTCCTCCTGCTCGTCTTAGTTTCCTGCACCTCCTTCATGCAAATGCCAGTCCATTGTGATTTCTGGGGTGATGGTGCACACTTAGCCACTGGTGTTCTAGTATTAGGGATTGGTGACTGTTTCTGGTGCTTTGCCAGCGAAACCGTCCTGCTGTTTTCGTCTTGTAGCACTAATGCCAGTTACCCAGCAGGTGCTTTTATGACATCTTCAAGGAATTGAGAGACAGCCACAGCCTCATTTCACCCTGGAGTGTGTTGTGAAGCCTCTTGCTGACCATGTTCTAAGCCCAGCTCTCCTGAATCAGAGGCCAAAGCGCCTTCTGTCCAGGGCCAGCAACCAGGAGGGGCCAACCAGGTGCCCCCAGGGAGCACACAAAGGCAACTGCCCTCCCTGCAGTTTGGCCTCTGCCTCCTAAACCGTCTTTTAAACACCCTGGTCGTTGCCATTATGCAAGCACCTTTGCTGTACTGCTTTTCCCAGATGCTAATACAGTGGTACCTTGGGTTAAGTACTTAATTCATTCCAAAGGCCCGTTCTTAACCTGAAGCTGTTCCTAACCTGAAGCATCACTTTAGCTAATGGGGCCTCCCGCTGCTGCCGTGCCGCCAGAGCACGATTTCTTTTCTCATCCTGAAGCAAAGTTCTTAACCCGAGGTACTATTTCTGGGTTAGCAGAGTCTGTAACCTGAAGCGCCTGTAACCCAAGGTACCACTGCATGTGATTGTGTTACAGATGTTTGTTTCAAAATGGGTTTTATTTGTATTTTGATAAATTTTAGGTTGATTTATATTTTATCTTTTGATTTTATTATTTTTAATGAAAATTTTATATACACTGCTTCCCAATTTTGTTCTTGATAAAGCAGTATCTACATTTGTCAAATAATTAAATGGAACCAACAGTTTTTATTTTCTTTATCATAGTGAACAGCTATTAAATTCACCATGATACCAAGAGCAGCAATGGGGTGGCATATCCCTTTAAAAGTGTGCTTTCAACATGCAAACCAAACTACAACAAGTACCCCATTTTCAAATGTATGCAGGTAAGAAATTGCTGGCCCAATTAAGTCATACAGTTTTGTGAGGAAAACTGATCTCAGATGCTGATAAACTGTAAGGAATACGTGGGTTTTATTTATAAAATAGAAATCTATAGAATGACCACACTTAAAATACTGTTTTCAGTTTTAATCATAATATTTTTTTTTTATTTTTTAATAAATACTTTTATTGAATTGCAGTAACAAAAACCAAACAACATCACAAGCAAAAAAGGAAAAATAACACATTACACAAAAGATAAAATAAAATAAAAAGAACACACCAAAAAATGCATAAAAACATAGACTTCCCTCCACCCATGTTTGACTTCTTTTATTCACTGTGTTATTAATATTACATTGTTTTTATTCCACTTCCATCCATTTCCTCAATATTTCTACCCTGTAAACTTTATTCATTGCATATTGATATATTTGTCCCAGAACAATGTTTTTTCATATACTCCTTTGCACAATCCCATTCTTCAATTAATTTTTGATCTGTTTGTCCTCTTATTGCTGCCGTAAGGCTAGCCGAAACTATATATTCACAAAATTTGACTTGCCACTCTCAAACAGATGGGATTTTTCCCCCTTCCAATTTTTTGCTATAAGTCTTATGGCAGCAGCTGTTGCGTATAAGAATACTTTTCTATTGGTTGCAGGAATGTCATTTGTTGTTATTCCCAAGAGGAACGCTACAGGTTTTTACAGTTATTGCACGGTACTTTAAGCATTTTTAAAGTTCCTCTTGTATGGTGGTCCAAATTTTTAAAATATGTACACATTCCTACCACATATGATACATTGTTCCGATGTCTTTTTTGCATCTCCAACACACACTGGTTTTTGATTTATATATTCTAGCCAGTTTAACTGGGGTTAAATACCATTGGTATTTCATTTTCATTAAGTTTTCTCTAATTATGGAGCATGCTGTAAATTTAATGTTGTGTCTCCATAAATTCTCCCATTGTTCCAACTGGATTGTATGACCTATATCTCTGGCCCATCTGATCATAACCTCCAATAGTAGTAATAATAATAATAATAGTGATAATTTTATTATTTATACCTTGCCCATCTTGCTGGGTTTCCCAGCCTCTCCCTCGCCTCATAAAAGGATTTTTTTGAAAAAAAGGAACGCTTCACAAATTTGCGTGTCATCCTTGCGCAGGGGCCCTGCTAATCTTCTCTGTATCGTTCCAATTTTAGTATACGTGCTGCCAAAGTGAGCACGTAAAAGGATATTGTTGGGCTGGAAAAGGTTCAGAAAGGGTAACCCAAATGATTAAGTGGGGGGAATAGCGTGACACCCCTATGAACAAAGGCTGCAGCGTTTGGAACTTACCGGTATAGAAAAAAGGCAAGTGAGAAGCACCGTGGAATCATAAGAGTTGGAAGGGACCCCAAGGGTCATCTAGTTCAGCCCCCTGCAATGCAGGAAACTCAACTAACCTCTGCTTAAAAGCCTCCAAGGAAGGAGAGTCCTCCACCTTCTGAAGGAATCCATTTCACTGTCAAACAGCTCTTACTGTCAGAAAGTTCTTCCTGGTGTTGAGTTGTAATCTCCTGTCTTGTAACTTGAAGCCATGGGTTCGAGCCCTACCCTGCAGAGGGAGCCGCCAGAAGACCCTCTGAGGCATCTGATCAAAATCTGCTTTGAGCTTAAAAAATTATATTTGTAAATATATTTTTCTCTCATGCCAGGGAGAGACCAGCTGAATACTCTGGCAGCTGTTCAAGGGCCCCACTGCTATAAATAGCAGTATTTCAGGGTTGTAAAAGTATTTCAGGGTTGTAAAGGAAATTACAGGCTGAGAGCAAAAAGGTCACACTGACCAGAATACAATCAAGCTGCAAAAACACAATTAAGAGCTGGTAAATAGTGAAATTTATTGTTTAACAGAAGACTCGAGCCATAAGGTTAAAGGTTAAATTGAAGAGGTTGCTTTTAGGAACAGCAGCTGGTTAGGGAAAAGGCTTCTCTCCAAACTGTTTTGAAGCTTCAGAGAACTTAGAGAACTTAGAGAACTTAGCTTTTACTAAATTCCTTCTAATTTAAAAAGGCCTTTCCTTCTAAAAATCTATCTATGTTATGTATGAAATATATTGGCTTAAATGTAATTATGCAAAGGATTTAGAAAGTAAGAAATGTTAGATTCTTATGTTAGATTCTTATTATGGTGGGTGAGAAGGTGAACTCAAGATCTCTTTAAGATAAAAAAATTAAAAACCATGCACCATCTGCTTTAGCCATCTGGTTTGCAGTGAATAGGGCAACAGGGGCCAAAGGTTATCTGGTAATTGAGGTGCCTGGTCGAGGTAAATGTAAGATATATGGCTACTTGTCTGCCATTTATGGATACAAGGAAATATAGCTCTTTGTCTCCCATAAAAGGAAATAGGAAATGGGTGTATCTTTTATGATTGGTTCTAGCAAACAACCAATAGGAATTTCAACCAGGCTGATTGGATAGAGGCAGCCAAAGGAGGAGCAAGGGGGCTGGGCTGAGGAAATATAAGTGCTGGCCATCAGGGCTGGAGTAGGCAGAGCTTTGGTATCCATATACCACTGTGTCTCTCATTTATTTGTCTGACAAATAAATTATTATTTTAATTTCTCTATTGCTGCGTTGAATATTTCATTCCAGCTAAGCGTTAACCACAAGCAGGGTGCTACATTTTATGGTGCCTCTGTGACTCGGATAAGTGGTCTGCTGGAACGCAGCCCCTTCGCCCTAGCGGGCAGGGTACAAGAGGGAGGACCACTGACCGCTTACCCAGCGCGCACTGGAACATTTTTCCAGGGGAACGCAGAAGTCTCGTCTGTCTGATACCCTGCTCACTGGCGGCGACGGACCGGGGGTAACCAGAGAAATAAACAGGGAACCAGCTAAGGGTAAGTGCACAAAGGGGTTGTGGCCCTCCAATTAATTGGGAGGAAGAGAAGTCTTGATCAAACTTCTGCGTCTCAGTAAGGGGAACTGAGTACGCTAGGTGGTTGGGTACATCAGATGGTGGTCTGGTGGAGGAAAAGGGAAAGATTGGGAGGTAGAGTGTGGTGAAGTATCCAGCGCATTGTATGTGTGAGAAAGTACAATCTGTAGCTGACCTGAGTGTGGAGTGGGTAGTACTTCGGTTCCCGGTAAGGCGACTTCATCCGGGCAAGGAACCTCACGAAGCGCGTGTGTGAGTGACTGAGTGGATACTTCACAGGGCCATACAATGGGAGTTGGAGGTTCAAAGGGGGAAGTACACCTCTTGAATGTATGTTAAATAATTTTAAGAAAGCCTTCTCAGGAGCATATGGAGTCAAAATGACGCCAGAGCGCTTGAGAACGTTATGTGAATTAGACTGGCCAAAACAAAATACTGGATGGCCACCTCAGGGAAGTTTTGATATAAATTTAGCAAGCAAACTTTGGTCTAACATCACCAAAGAAACTGGAGGGTGCCCAGAACAATTTTCATATATAGATTCTTGGCTGAGCACATTAAATAATAATCCTCCATGGATAAGGGAATGCAAAGTCCAACAATGCAAATTATTGGCAGTAAAAGCCGAAGCTAGAAAAGGAATCTTGCCAAATAAACTCAAACCCATTTTTGAGGGACCAGAGGAAGAGGTGCTTCCACCTCCACCCTATGCTCCACATCGAGGGAGCCTAATCCAAACACTCCACCAGTTGTAACCCCAAGGCAAGAAAGTGGAAGGAATAATGGGGCTGGAGTCACAGAGCTTGATTCCTTGATAGATTATGATAAATATCTTCAGGAGGCATTGGAGTCCTATAATAAAGCCCAAGCAGAAGTGGTTATTCCACCTGTGAGTCCCAGTAGAACTCCATCTACAGTCTCCTTTAGTGGAACAACTGATTGCCCACCCCAAACCCCTGTACATCCAAGTCCTAGAGAACTATTACAGGAGTTACAGGGAGACTTTGATCGGTCAGTAAGCAATACAGCCAGGCGTATAAAGCTGTTAAAAGAACGCCTTGGGACAAATACTATCCCCTATGATTTGAGGCCCCTAAAGCAAAGCGAAGAGAAAGGTCACGTAGTAGCCCCTCTCAGAAGAGTATTTGATGCACTTGAGGAGCCTGTGCTGGTTAACGGGCAACTCGGACCACGGCCACCTCGAACTTCGACCCTCCAGTACATTCCATTCACAACTACGGATCTGATGAATTGGAAAACACACACCCCGTCTTTCGCAGAAAAACCTCAGGCTATGATGGACTTGGTGACTTCAATAGTAAATACTCATAGTCCTACTTGGACAGATTGCCGCCAGCTCCTGAATACTCTGTTCACCACTGAGGAAAGAAGAGACATAATTGAAAAGGCACAGATATATTTGCGTGAGCAGGCCAGAGGGGGAAATATTTTTAATATTGACCGTCATCTCCAGGACAATTTTCCCTTGGAGGATCCTAATTGGGATCCAAACAATGCAATTCACCTGGCCAGGCTTACCACCTACCGCCAGACGCTTGTGCAAGGTATCCGCAGGGCATGCCAGAAGCCCACTAATATGACTAAAGTCTCAGAAGTAGAACAGAAACCAAATGAGAGTCCGGGAGACTTTTTAGAGAGGCTGCAGGAAGCCTATCGTATATGGACTCCTTTTGACCCTGAAGCCCCTGAAAACAGCAGAATGATTACTGCTACTTTTGTGGCTCAGTGCGCTTCTGACATTCGTAAGAAAATTCAGAAGTCAGAAGGATGGGAAGGGATGCTGATGAGCCAAATTATGGCCATTGCACGCCGAGTTTATCGGAATAGGGATGAGGCTGAGAAACAAGAGAAGAAGAAGTGGCAGAAGGAAAAGATGGTGATGCTAGCCACAGCAGTGAAGCAAGACTACCGCCCTTTAAATGGAGGGAGAGGGCGGGGAAGGAATCCACCACTGGGAAGGAATCAATGTGCGAATTGCAAGAAGGAGGGTCATTGGAAGCGGGAGTGTCCTGAACCCCTGAGGTTGGAAGAAGTACGCCCAGGCCCAGGCCCAGGCTCCGGCCCAAGAAACCAGGGACGGGGACGGGGAATGATCCGAGATGGAAGATATCAGAGACCTGGACAAGGACGGAGTAGAGACAATTTCATTGGACTGGCAGAGGAGGATTTTACCCAAGACTAGGAACGACCGGACTCCATAAAGTTAGGCTTCCAGGAGCCCACGGTCACGATTCAATTAGGGAGCCATTTAATAGACTTTATGATAGATACTGGCGCTGAATACTCAGTACTCCCAGAACTATTGCAGAAAAAGGCATCCAAAAGTGTAGTCATTAAAAGTGCCACTGGTCAGTCAGCTAAGAGGTCTTTCCTCCAACCTTTAGAATGCCAGATTGGGGGACATCATTTAACCCATCAGTTTTTGTATATACCTGAGTGTCCAATGCCTCTCTTAGGTAGAGATATGCTGTCCAAATTGCAGGCCCAAATCACCTTCACTCCTCGAGGTCCAGAAATGAAACTGCCATCAAAGGCAGCAGGAATAATTTCCCTCTCAGTACCTAAGGAACAATCATGGCGCCTAATGTCAGCCCTGCAAGTCCAACCCACATTGGATACAGAATTAAACAAGCTCCTCCGAACCCTACAAGTGCCACCAGGAGTATGGGCCGAAAATAGCCCACCAGGAATGGCTAAGAATATAGCTCCAATTGTAGTAACCCTAAAACCTATGGCTACCCCTGTATCTGTAAAGCAATATCCTTTACCCCGGCGAGCAGCAGAGGGCATCCAGAAACATTTGGACCGCCTATTAAAATATGGTCTGCTTAAGCCCTGCCAATCAGAATGGAACACACCCCTTTTGCCTGTTCGGAAGCCTGGGACAGATGAATACAGGCCAGTACAGGACTTGAGGCTCGTAAACCAGGCTATCGAGACCTTGCACCCAAATGTACCAAACCCATATACCTTGCTGAGTTTGATCCCACCAGAAGCAACATTTTTACTGTATTGGACTTGAAAGATGCATTCTTCTGTTGCCGGCTGGCACCACAGAGCCAACCTATATTTGCCTTCCAGTGGGAAGACCCTTTGACAGGAACAAAAGGCCAGCTAACCTGGACAAGATTGCCCCAGGGATTCAAAAATTCCCCAACTTTATTTGGCACTGCCTTGGCGAAGGATCTAACAAGTTACCCCTCAATACCCGGAAAAAGGTGGTTCTGCAATATGTAGATGACCTTATACTAGCGGCAAAGGATTTTGATACCTGTAAAGAAGGGACAGAGGAACTGCTCCACTTGCTCTGGGAAGCTGGCTACCGAGTTTCCCAGAAAAAGGCACAGTTATGTTTAGAAAAGGTCAAATATTTGGGCTTTGACATCTCACACCAACAACGAGCATTGAGACCAGAGAGGAAAGAAGCTATTTGCCTTATCAAGGAACCTACCACAAGGAAACAACTCAGAGGATTCCTGGGAACAGCAGGGTTTTGTAGACTATGGATACCTGATTTCAGCAGTCTGGCCAAGCCCTTACATGAAAGCACTCGAGGTGCAGAAAAGGACCCATTCGTATGGGGACCTGAGCAGCAACAAGCCTTTTTAGTTATCAAACAACGACTTATGGAGGCCCCAGCCCTTGGACTGCCTAATTCGGAAAAACCCTTTCAGCTGTATGTACATGAACAGAATGGGATTGCAGCAGCAGTCCTGACCCAGAGATTAGGAAGTTGGAACCGTCCAGTAGCTTATTTGTCAAAACAATTGGACTCAGTAGCAAAAGGATGGCCTCCATGCCTAAGGGCAGTAGCGGCCACTGCAAGCCTTGTCAAAGAAGCTGATAAATTTACCTTTGGCCAGACGATGTATGTGAATGTACCTCATGCTGTTCTGACACTCATGGAATATAAGGGTAGTTATTGGCTAACGAATCCAAGGATGGCTAGATACCAAGGCCTATTGTGTGAAAATCCCAGGATTCATCTACGAGTAGTGAATATGCTCAATCCAGCAACTTTGCTGCCCCTACCAGAGGTAGATGATGAAGAATCACATGATTGTCTCCAAATAATGGATGAAGTGTATTCCAGTAGACCCGATCTGAAAGATGAACCATTGAAAAATCCAGATGTTGTATATTATACTGATGGTAGCAGTTACCTGCATGAAGGTGCCAGACGAGCAGGATATGCTGTGGTCACCAATGAGGAAGTTGTGGAAGCTGAAGCTTTGCCTGCTGGCACCTCAGCACAAAAGGCTGAACTTATAGGTTTAACTAGAGCTCTGCAATTGGCAGCCGGATGTAAGGCAAACATCTATACTGATTCTAAATATGCCTTCTTAACCCTGCATGCACATGGAGCTCTATGGAAAGAAAGAGGTCTAATCGGAGCCCATGGGAAGGCCTTGAAATATGGACCTGAAGTAGAAATCCTGTTGGAAGCAGTATGGGCTCCAGAACAGATTGCTGTAATGCACTGCAAAGGTCATGGACGTGGAAGGGATCCAATAACCAGAGGAAATCATGCTGCTGACAAAGCAGCCCGAGAGGCAGCCCAGAAGCCTGTGGGAGGATTTATAGCAGCCCTCATACCAGAGGTAGTTCCAGAAGAAATTAAACCTCACTATACCCCAGAAGAGAGGAAGTGGGCTGAACAGGAAGGAGCGGTTGTGAAGGACGGTTGGATGATCCTGCCGGACAATAGGATTTATGTACCTCATCACCTAGCAGGCACAATTGTAAGAAATTATCATGAATCTACTCACCTTGGCGGTACTGCAACCAGAGAGAGTCTCAGTCGGAAGTTGTATATTATTAACCTATCACAATTAGCAACTTGCATTTCACAGAAATGTGTTCTTTGTGCTAAAAACAATCCCAGGCAGGGACCGGTACAACCTCCTGGAATCCAACATGTGGGATACGTCCCCATGGAAAGCCTAATTGTGGACTTCACAGAGCTGGTCCCTTCTAAGGGATTCAAGTACCTCCTTGTGTTTGTAGATACCCTTACCGGATGGGTTGAAGCTTTTCCCACCAGGACTGAAAAGGCACGAGAGGTAACTAAGAGACTCCTCACTGAATTGATCCCGAGGTTTGGATTACCTAGATGCATTGGAAGTGATAATGGGCCAGCGTTCATTGATCAAGTAGTACAAGAAGTATGTCGAGTCCTACAAGTGAAATGGAGACTGCATGCAGCATATAGGCCTCAAAGTTCGGGGAAAACTGAAAGAATGAATCGGACTCTGAAAACCCAATTGGCAAAATTAACCCAGGAAACAGGATTGGGATGGGTAGATGTGTTACCCATAACACTGTTTCGTGTTCGGTGTGCACCCACAAAAAGACTTAAGTTGTCACCTTTTGAGCTCCTGTATGGGAGGCCACCCTCCTTTGTTCAGGATATTCCAGCTGACCTCAAACAAATAGGAGACCATGTGACACAGGGACAAGTGCAATCTCTCTCCCGTGTTTTTGTTTCTCTTAACAGGTGGGCCCTCGAGCGCACGCCGTGCAGCATTGCCGAGCCGATTCATCAGTTCCAGGCTGGCGATAGCGTATGGGTGAAAGAGTGGAAACGTGATCCACTTGCACCTAAGTGGCGTGGGCCTTACACCGTCTTGCTCTCTACTCCAACAGCGGTGAAGGTAGCTGAGGTGACCCCCTGGATTCATCACTCCCGTTTGAAGAAGTCCGAAGGCAGTTGGACGTGCAAAGGTGACCCCTCTAATCCTTTTAAACTGACTCTCTCCAAAAACCCCTGTATCTAGCCCTACGGGGAACGGGCTAGGTCACGGGCAACATTAGACGACCGGCCTGCTGCAGCCACAACCTGGAAGCTGGCTGACCTGCGCACGCCTGAAGCTTGAGGAGCGTCTGAACCAGCGATTGTGAACAGGAAGATTCTCTTATACAATTGATTGACTGCCCCCCCCTGTGGAACAATTATCAGGGATATTACTCATTGGGGATCCTCGGGATATATGTTTTGGTCTTGGTGGTTCCCCATTTCTGTCATTGGGGAATTATATTGGGCCTAATATTTTTTGTTATCACAATAAGGTAATCTTTTGTGGAAGAAATGCATATACTAGACATCAACATGATTTTATTATTAATCCTGATCCCTTGGGAAGGGGAAGGGTCCTTGAATCTGACCAAATTTGCTAAATATGGATTCCGCCATGACCACAATATGTGGGTAGGCTTAGCTGAGATGGTAGCCAATGTTACAAATAGGACCAATTGCCTTGTTTGCTCTCTTGGACCAGATGATTCAGAGGAGGTATGCCCTTATTACCGATACCATTAAATGCCATTGGTATGGTAAGCGAAATGCCACACCAAACAGAAGTACAGAATTTCCCCGGATGGAACTCAACTAAACCAATACGAGTTATACCTGTGCAAGGGGAATTCTGTGTACATAAATCATCAGGTGCAGCTGATTCTACCATGATAGGCTCTTCTCATTGCCACTATACTTGGGATTATATTAAGAATAGTCAAACCTGGGCAAACGGTACTACCTATCGAACTCGGAATACCTTGCCCTGTGCACCTCCTTTTATTCATGCATGGAAACTGGTGTGGAACATAACTGTGACAGAAAAAGGCAATCTAACATACTGCACTGTGAACTCTATGCCCCTTTTGATATTTCGCCTTATGCACTCCACGTACCAAAAACCTCAGACCCGATGGTTGTGGTGGATATGTGGAGAATGGGCATACAAGAAACTCCCTTCCAAATGGAGTGGGACTTGCTTCCTGGGATGGGTATTACCACCAATGTGGATTATGCCCACTAGTTCGGCAAAGCGTACACGAAGAAACGCTGATATTTCTCATATAGCAGGAGGAAGTACCCAAAGTTGGAGTGATACTGATGATTGGCCACCAGAGCGCATTATAGCCTATTATGAGCCTGCCTCCTGGAATCCTGATGAGCTCATACAAGGGGCACGGGATCCTATTTATAATCTAAACAGAATAATTCGATTGCAAGCAGTAGTGGAACTTGTAACCAATGCAACGGCCCAGAGTTTGAGACTTATTGCACAACAGTTGGATGAAAGTAGAGCCGCCATTTTGCAGCTGAAAATGGGAATGGATTATGTACTTGCCAGGCAGGGAGGCCTATGTGGAGTCTTGAACTTGACAGGGAATGCCTGTTGCTTTAACATTTCTGATAATGGTGAGGCAATCCGTGTGTTGGCCACAAAGATGGAGAGTATAGCACATGTCCCAGTACAAATATGGGAAGGATGGGATATGGGATGGCTCACCAATTGGTTACCTAATGTTGCGGGACTCAAAGGGATACTATTGTCTTGCTTGTTTTTCTTGACGGTAGTAGTAATGGTTTTATGTACGGTGCCATGTATCATTTCATGTTTTAGAAGTACAATTAGCAAGATGATTTCAAATGAAACTTTACCTCATATTATGGCCCTATACAGAGCTTTACCTCAGGAATATGACGAAGGTCAAGCTATCAAGGACACTTGGGATGAAGGTCCTTGAGCTTGAAAGGGGGGAATGAGGCATCTGATCAAAATCTGCTTTGAGCTTAAAAAATATATTTACAAATATAATTTTTCTCTCATGCCAGGGAGAGACCAGCTGAATACTCTGGCAGCTGTTCAAGGGCCCCACTGCTATAAATAGCAGTATTTCAGGGTTGTAAAAAGTATTTCAGGGTTGTAAAAGGAAATTACAGGCTGAGAGCAAAAAGGTCACACTGACCAGAATACAATCAAGCTGCAAAAACACAATTAAGAGCTGGTAAATAGTGAAATTTATTGTTTAACAGAAGACTCGAGCCATAAGGTTAAAGGTTAAATTGAAAAGGTTGCTTTTAGGAACAGCAGCTGGTTAGGGAAAAAGGCTTCTCTCCAAACTGTTTTGAAGCTTCAGAGAACTTAGAGAACTCAGCTTTTACTAAATTCCTTCTAATTTAAAAAGGCCTTTCCTTCTAAAAATCTATCTATGTTATGTATGAAATATATTGGCTTAAATGTAATTATGCAAAGGATTTAGAAAGTAAGAAATGTTAGATTCTTATGTTAGATTCTTATTATGGTGGGTGAGAAGGTGAACTCAAGATCTCTTTAAGATAAAAAAATTAAAAACCATGCACCATCTGCTTTAGCCATCTGGTTTGCAGTGAATAGGGCAACAGGGGCCAAAGGTTATCTGGTAATTGAGGTGCCTGGTCGAGGTAAATGTAAGATATATGGCTACTTGTCTGCCATTTATGGATACAAGGAAATATAGCTCTTTGTCTCCCATAAAAGGAAATAGGAAATGGGTGTATCTTTTATGATTGGTTCTAGCAAACAACCAATAGGAATTTCAACCAGGCTGATTGGATAGAGGCAGCCAAAGGAGGAGCAAGGGGGCTGGGCTGAGGAAATATAAGTGCTGGCCATCAGGGCTGGAGTAGGCAGAGCTTTGGTATCCATATACCACTGTGTCTCTCATTTATTTGTCTGACAAATAAATTATTATTTTAATTTCTCTATTGCTGCGTTGAATATTTCATTCCAGCTAAGCGTTAACCACAAGCAGGGTGCTACACCTCAGTGGACCTCAGTGTCTGGGCTAAACGATGGGGGCATGCCTGGAGTTGCTCAGCAGCCACCCACTCAATCACCCTGCCCAAGAATGGAAGATTTTAAACTGGGTGATAGTTGGCCATATTAGCTGAATCAAAAGATGGTTTTTAAGAAGCTGTTTAATAACCGCCTCTTTCAGTGGGTCTGGGAAGGCTTGCTCACAGAGGGAAGCATTCACCACCCCACAGAGCCCATCACCCAGCCCTTGCCGGCTCATTTTTATGAGCCCAGATGGGCAAGAATCAAAGAGGCAGGTGGTCGATTTCAGTTGTTCAAGAGCCTGTCCACATCCTGGGAGGTAACAGATTGGAATTGATCCCATGCAACTTGACTAGACGGAATCTTGGGTCCTTACCAGGCTCCAATGGCGAAGGTGGCTTTGAGATTGCGAACCACCTGAAAGAGTCTCCTGCTGCTGTTTTCTGCAGATGCAATAGAGGCGGTGAAGAAGGTCCTCTTCACCGTCACTATCGCCACTTGGTAGGCTCGACGTTGAGCTCTAACCCATGTCCGGTCCGATTCAGAATGAGTTTTCTGCCACTGGTTCTCTAGCCGTCTCAACGACTTGTTTCATTGCCCTCAGCTTTGGTGAAAACCATGGGGCTGTCTGGGCCTCATGCAATCAGAGAGGGCGCTCGGAGCCAAACAGTCAATAGCCCTGGTTAACCCCGCATTCCAGCGGGCTACCAGGAAATCAGCTGAAAGGCCATCAACATGGGATAAAACATCCCCTACCTCTGGAAACCATTTGGATCCATTCAGTGGCGGGGACGGACCATCCAAATCAGTCCCACCTCCCTGCAAAGGGGAAGGGTTGTGGAGAAGTCCAGTTGCACCAGGAAGTGATCTGACCATGACACTTCTTTTGTTTCGCTTTTACTTAGTGTCAGATCACCCACATCCATAGAGATGAACACCAGGTCTCTTTAAAACCAACCAGTCATCTACGACTTCCCATCTTCCCCTTCCGTGGTTCCTTTAATTTTCCCACCTACCCCACATATTCTCATATATCTATTTAACTCCCTTATTCCTTTATTATTCCTTTGTTATATGTTACACTATTGAATTTACCTTAATCCTACTAACTTGTTCACATGTTTACAGTTGTTTTCCAGATACTACACAAAAAAATTCCATTCCTCTTTGTATACTTGTTCTTGTTTTCTTATTTTACTTGTTAGACCAGCTAACTGCATATTCCATCACTTTTAATTGCCAACCCTCCTTATTTGGGACCTCACTCACCTGCCATTTCTGAGCTAACAAAATCCTAGCTGCTGTAGTAGCATACATAAATATGTAAAGGTAGAGGGACCCCTGACCATTAGGTCCAGTCGTGGCCGACTCTGGCATTGCGGCACTCAACTCGCTTTATTGGCCGAGGAGCCGGCGTACAGCTTCCAGGTCATGTGGCCAGCATGACTAAGCCGCTTCTGGTGAACCAGAGCAGTGCACGGAAACGCCGTTTACCTTCCCGCCAGAGTGGTACCTATTTACTTGCACTTTGATGTGCTTTTGAACTGCTAGGTTGGCAGGAGCAGGGACCGAGCAACGGGAGCTCACCCCGTCGTGGGGATTCGAACCACCGACCTTTTGATCAGCAAGTCCTAGGCTCTGTGGTTTAACCCACAGCACCACAAGCGTCCCTAATATGTACCATTCCCAAAAGAAATGGGTATTTGGGAAAAGGTTTTTAAACATTTTTTTTCATCTCATCATATATCATTATCGTTATATAGCATTGTATATCATTTCCTGATACTTTTAAACTATTTTACATATCTACCACATGTGGACATCCTTCTTGAATTGTGGTGCCCAGAACTGGACACAGTATTCCAGATGCGGTCAGACCAAGGCAGTTTCAAGTTTTGCACTTATCATTTTTTCTACAAGACATCTGTTATGAAAATTGAAGTTAACTAGTGTGTGTGTAGTTAGCCTTGCCTAGGACACAAAATAGCATGGCACGGGCATTGTGGCTGCTACACACGGACAACAGGAACCTGTTTTCCCAGACCCTAATTGGCAGGAGATTGCTGAAATCATTTGGGGAAGTATGCAATAAGCAACAGTTATGTGTCAATTACACCAAGACCAATTTAAACGTATTTGGCAACTGAGCAGTTAAGCACAAATGGCAATCAAGCAGGCATCTGTTGGAGCAATTTGATAGATTTAATTAACCGGAGATTTCTTTTGCCCAAAATGGTCTTTGGAATGGTTGGAGTTTGGCACAGTCAGTGTTTGCATTTCCCAGAGTGAAGGGTGGGGATATTGTGGTGCCGCCTCTGAGAGTTTTTGAAGTTGAGGTTATTCCTCAGTTGACACGTGGGGCAGAAATCTGGGGCATTTCAGAGCCAAGACTGTTGGACGCATCACAAAGATGAGAAGCAAGTAATTTTCTGGCCAGGGGCTCCTCTGTGCCGTAGGAAGCCAGCTGCAGTCTCAGGAGCGACCAGCCGTGGGGCAACTTTAGCTATGTGGGTCCAGCCAGCTCTTCAGGGAGAAGATATTGAGAAAGGGAGTCGGTCCTGCTGTCCATGAGTTTGTCAGTGACTGGGGATGACTGTAGCAACAGCAGCAAGCCTTTTCTTGCTTTCCTGAAATTCTGAAGAAACAACATTTTATTACCTCACATTTTATTATCCTTGATGAAGAGTTGCTTATCTCAGTTTGAGGCATTGTCCAGTCAGCCTTCAAATGCTCAAGAAAGCCTGAGGTGTTTTACTGTGATTTCAGCTGGTAAATTGGTAGATTATCCTGACATGTGAACAACTGCACCGTATATTCTAATTGCTGTTGATCTTTAACTCTGAAAGTGTGTCCTAAAACTCTTTCCTATATTTTTTTTTAAATTTCAGCAGGGAAACTGAGGCATGAATTGAGCTACTAGATAATTCCATTAACATTTCAACTTACAAACCCTTTTTTCATCTTCACGTTGTTAACGTGTTCTATCTCATTTTAAAGATAATTTTCTAGTTTCATTATCTGGCAACAGTTTTCCAAATGGCATTTTACATTTGATTAAAACAACATGTGACTCAGGATTTCTCTCTCTTTTTTTCTAAACTTCAGTTAGATACCACTCCAAGAAATTAGAGAATAGGTTAATGACCCCTTTTTGTACCGATAGATTTGCTTTCTTACTTGCTGAACTGAGAAGAAATGTTGCATTAGGATCATACAAGCTTAGAATAATGGCCTCACGGTCCCAATGGAGGAAGATTGGTGGGCCAAGGCTGCCCCACAGGCTGGAGATACTCTAGATCGAGAGATCCTTTTGGGAGCCAAAAGTCTCTTAACTTGCCTCAGAGGACAAGTACAACCCCATGGCAGGTTGAAGCTTGTCTCATACATAAAGTGTACATGAATTTGGCACATAATTTAAAACAAGCGGCACCAAGACACGGAATAATGTCCCAATGGAAACTGATTGTCCTCCAAAAGCAGAAAGCGGTCCCGGAGTGCTGGTCTCAGCTGGCATCTCTGACATTGTTGAAACTGGGAAACTGAAAAGGAAATTGGTTGGCCAAATGATACAATACAATATTTATTGGTATGAAATTCTCTTCTTCTTGAGAAAGAGAACTTCCTTGACATTTGTCTTCCCTGTAAACGATAATAAACGTTGGGTTGAAAAGTCACAAATCATTAGGTGTTGCTAAAGCAAAGGGTCTGTTTCTCCACATTACAACTTCCACGTAGACCTGATGCTCCCCTTCAACCCGTGACTGCAGAGTGAAGTGTCATATACACAGGGTTTTGCTTTGGAAACATTTACGTGGCTTGAATTGTCACGTCACATCGGTTATGTTACATTGGCCACAGGTTCTTTGCCAGAAAAGCTTTTCCCCACAGTTTCCAACAAACGTTGCCATATGTTCAGCACTTGTCCATGAAGCGTTAGCTCTTTGTCCTTTTGCCACAGATGTTTTTTTTTTTTAAAAAATGATATTTATTAAGGTTTCCAATAAAAAGAACACATCAATAAAAAATTAAACATAAAAACATAAAAAAGAAATACATAATTCAAAAATACACAATACATAATCCAAAAAAAGGAAAAAAAGAAAACAAAAAACAAAAGACAAAAAAAGAAAACAGTTAAAAACAATACCACCTTTTCATCTCCATTTTTAAATTTACTTATTTTCTGGACCTCCTCATACCTCCCTCTTTTGTATTCCAGTTCAAATTGTTTGTCCAGCAATTTCTTTCCCTCTTTTTAATCCCCATCTTTAATCTGAATATAATATAACATTAAAATTTTACCTCTTAAAAACCAAATTTCCATTTCCTTAAACTTTTTAATCCTAATCCTTAATCGTAATCTATATATAACTTTAAATCCTGTACAGCTGGAAGCCACTTATTTTCAATCCAACATCACTCTAACATTCTTTAATTTTGCAATGTTTCTGCAGATAGTCTTTGAATTTCTTCCAATCTTCCTCCACCGACTCTTCTCCCTGGTCACGGATTCTGCCAGTCATTTCCGCCAGTTCCATATAGTCCATCAGTTTCATCTGCCATTCCTCCAGTGTGGGAAGCTCTTGTGTCTTCCAATACTTTGCGATGAGTATTCTTGCTGCTGTTGTTGCGTACATAAAGAAAGTTCTATCCTTTTTTAACACCCTTTGGCCGACTATGCCCAGGAGAAAGGCCTCTGGTTTCTTGGGGAAGGTATATTTGAATACCTTTTTTAATTCATTATATATCATTTCCCAGAAAGCCTTGATCTTTGGGCACGTCCACCAAAGGTGAAAAATGTACCTTCAGTTTCTTTACATTTCCAACATTTATTATCGGGCAAATGATAGATTTTTGCAAGCTTGACTGGAGTTATGTACCACCTGTATATCATTTTCATAATATTCTCTCTTAGGGCATTACATGCCGTGAATTTCATACCTGTGGTCCATAACTGTTCCCAGTCAGCGAACATAATGTTGTGTCCAACGTCTTGTGCCCATTTAATCATAGCCGATTTTACCGTTTCATCCTGAGTATTCCATTTCAGCAGCAAGTTATACATTCTTGACAAAGTCTTAGTTTTGGGTTCTAACAGTTCTGTTTCTAATTTTGATTTTTCCACCTGGAAGCCAATTTTCTTGTCCAAATTGTATACCTCCATTATCTGATAATAATGAAGCCAGTCTCGCACTTTATTTTTTAGTTTTTCAAAACTCTGCAATTTCAGTCTATCTCCATCTTGTTCCAAAATTTCCCAATATTTCGGCCATTTGACCTCCATATTGAGCTTTTTCAAGGCTTTCGCTTCCATTGGTGACAGCCACCTTGGGGTTTTGTTTTCTAATAGATCCTTGTATCTTATCCAAACATTAAACAGCGCTTTCCTGACAATATGATTTTTAAATGCTTTATGTGCTTTGACCTTATCATACCACAGATATGCATGCCATCCAAATACATTGTTAAAACCTTCTAGATCCAAAATGTCAGTGTTTTCAAGAAGCAGCCATTCTTTCAACCAGCAAAAAGCTGCTGATTCATAATAAAGTTTGAGGTCTGGCAGGGCAAATCCACCTCTTTCCTTTGCATCCGTTAATATTTTAAATTTTATTCTGGGCTTCTTGCCCTGCCAGACAAATCTAGAAATATCTTTCTGCCACCTCTTGAAACAATCCATTTTGTCCACAATTTGCAAAGTTTGAAACAAAAACAACATTCTAGGCAATACATTCATTTTTATCGCAGCAATACGGCCCAGCAGTGAAAGCTTCAAATTTGACCAAATTTCTAAATCTTTTTTCACTTCAGCCCAACATTTTTCATAATTATCTTTAAATAAATTCCCATTTTTTGCTGCCATGTTAATCCCCAGGTATTTCACTTTCTTAACCACAGTCAAACCTTTCTCATTCTGAAACCTCTCTCTTTCAATCGGTGTTAAATTTTTCTCTAAAACCTTAGTTTTTAACTTGTTCAATTTAAATCCTGCCACTTGACCAAATTCTTGAATCAGTTCTAAAACCCTTTTAGTACTAGATTCTGGCTCCTGTAACGTCAATACTAAGTCGTCTGCAAATGCTCTCAGTTTGTACTGTTTGGCTCCGACCTGTTTGGCTCCGACCTGTTTGGTTTTTTTTAATTGTTCAAGCACTTTTAGAGAAAATATTTCTCCAAGTTACAGATAAATTATTGAAGTTGCAAAACTGGTCACATCCTTTAAAAAACACAATTTCAAAAAAGTCTTTAAATTACCCGTGGAATACCATCGTAGGCACACCCCAGCCTCACTCGGCTGACACCGGTCTCAGGGCCAGCCTTGTACGGAGCCTGAGGTCTGCTGGCTCTTTGCCACCGGGACCAAGTGCTCAGCTCCAATGCTGGAAGCTTCAGCAAGAGGAGCACATGGCTGATTTTTTTAAGCACCTCAAAAGATTTGGTCTACCTGAGAGTTCTTCTCAGAGCAGAGATTTCTTAGTTTCCCCAGTGGGAAATGAGAACCAGTGTGGTATATTAGTTAGAGTGTCAGACTAGGAGCGTCAGACTGGGAGACCAGGGTTTGAATCCCCAGTTGGCCATTGCTTTCTGTGACCTTGGGGGCTTCTCAGCCTAAACAACCTCATGGGGTTGCGGGGATTAAATGAGAAAGGGGAGAACCAGGTACATATATCACCTTGAGCTTCTTGGAGAAACGAGGTGGGAGAGCAAGACAATGAATAAATGGATGCTGGACTAGATGAGCCATTGGCCTGATCCAGCAGGTTTGTCTTATGTACTTATCCAAGCTTCCATCCGCTGTGATCTCAAGGCAGGAGGCTTTGGTGTGAGATGTTGTCTTCAAAATCATTTCAGAATCCACATGTGTTATGTCCTCTGGACCAGACCTTCCTGATGGCAGGCAGCTCAAAAGAGGATGAAATGACCTAGAGTGGAGCAAGACCAGCAGAGGCTCTCAGGTACCCCACATGTGGCCAGCAGCTGGGCTGAAAAAGAGGAAGGGCCAGCCAGAGGCCTGACTGTGGCTCAGCAGAGAGAGAGAGAGATCCGTCCCTCACAAACAGCCACTTTCTGTGAGCAAGCAGAGCTGAAATTTCACCATCATCAGAAATGCTGTTTGTGTGCCCTGCTGCTGCCTTCTTCCCCCACCCGCCCTGGCAGCACCCAGGAAAGTCCAGTGGAGTATCTGGGTGCAGCAGGAGCCGCCTCTCCCACCTGCAGGAGCCCCCTAGCTCTGTAGATGGAGAAACTCGATTCAGTTTCCACTGAAAGGGGAAGCAAACCTTGCAAGAATTCAAACACAGCTATCCTTTAAGATCTGCCCCCCCAAATTTTGGAATGCAGTTCTCCAGCCAAGTAATGTGTACTAAAATGCACATACAGTAATCAAGTGTACATAAAAGTGCATGCATTGGTGAAAACAACATACAAAAATCCATTATTGGGGGGGGGGCACTTTGCAAAGAAGTGTCTTATCAGGCAAAATCGCCTACAAACATGGGAATATTGAGAGAAAACACACTGAGGGTAAGAACTGTTGGACAGTGGAACAGACTCTCTTGGAAGGTGCTGGGCTCCATCATTGGGGGGTTTTAAGCAGAGACTCGATCACCAACTATTGGGGAGGCTTTAGTTGTGATTCCTGCATTGCAGGGATTTTGTCATGGGCCAGGAATCAGCTTCACCTGTTGAGCAGCAGCCTGAAGGAGCAGAAGGCAGAGTGACGCCACCTGCCACTGATCAGCCTTCTTGCTCCTGATGAGAACCAGCTGGCTCCAGCTTTCTTCAGTAGGGTTTCCAGCCTCAGTCAGTTGCTGGAAACAATATTTGTCGTTCCTGGCCAGACCTTGCTGCTTCTTGCCTCTTGTGACCTTGGACTCTCTGCTTTCTTGACCCCGGACTGTCTGACTACATGAACTGAGATACTTCTGACCTTAGGACTGGACTGAACCTTGCATATAGACTCTGCCTCCAGACAAGCACCCCCTGAGACTCGGCTGGTCGGCTGGCCTCTCCTGCCACTGAGCTCTGCCATGGTTGAGCAGCACGGGACTATGACAGGGTTGGACTAGATGACCCTTGGGACCCCACCCAACTCTATAATTCTGAGAGTCCCTGCTGCTGCTATGACTACTATTAGAACCACTCCAGTCTACTCTCCCTTTAGAGCCAGCGAAGCCCATGGGCCATCAGAGCTGGGGGCAGCAAGGTTGTGGCTAAGGTGAGTTTTGAACAGGGGGTGGCCAGTCCTGGCCCACACCTTGAACCCGTGGCCAGATCCTTACAAGGAACAGGATTTCTTTGGGTCAGCTGTTTCGCAATTCAAACGGCAACCACTTGATGGTTAAAGATTTCCTCACATTGGTTAACGCACACACAGCCAACCCAATCTGCTCCTGGCCTTGTGAGCATCATCCTGGGGGTGCGTGGGCCAGTCAGCCTGTCCACCCCAGCAGGGGCTGAGCAGGAGCCAAGAACTGCGGGGTTGGCACATCCCTTCCCCAGCAGGATAGCCCCAGCAGCTCTTCCTCCCTCGCTCTTGCTCACTTGGGGCCAGATTGCTCCAGCATTTCCTCCCCATCCGACTTTCATAACTGTGTCGCGCGAGTCACCCTGAAGTGGGGCAATATCTCTGGCCAAAGGGGCAGGAAGGCTCCCAAACTCCCGAGCCCCTTCATTTGGGAGGGAGGTGCCAGGAGGGGGTTTCTGCTGCCCCTCCACAAGGCACAAGACCAAGAGTAGCTTGGAAACAAGGAGTTGAGCCCAGGTGGAGGTGGAGGGCCAGAGCAAGCCCAGCCCAGGACCAAGGCCAGTGTCAGGGCAGCCAAGAGTATGGGGGGGGGCCCTCCATCAACAGGTGGGAACAACTGTACCTTCTCCTGGAGAACTGCCAGGGGAGGAGGGTGGCCAGGATCTGAGCAAACTCAGTACCTGCAATAAGGTCTAGGAGAATCTCTGTTGGGGGACAGAGCACTGAGAGGGTGGCAAAGGCAATCTTTCCCCACCCCCAAGCTTGCCAACCTCACTGCCAGTAGCCACAGGCTAGCACATGCCCCCCCACCCCACCCCAGGTGCTCCTTATCCAAGGGCAGTGGAAGGTCTGAAGATGTTGGGATTCTGTGGCAGGAATGAGCCTGTCCAGTTAACCTGATGGCAACTGGAGGGTGTGTGTGTGTGTGTGTGACGTCGTCCCTTGCTTGAGCCCCTCCTTGCCCCTCACTCCAGGTAAGCGGGTGAGCCACAGTCCTGGGGAGGAGTGATCTTTTCCACACTTTTCTCCCTGGCAGTCACTGGTGAACATGCAGAACTAGATGTAACAAGATTCCCCGGACAGGAAAACCATCAGCTCAGGGTGTGGCCCTTCATAATAATCTGCTTGCCGTTGGCCTCTGTTGCCACTCAGTGCTGAGGCAGCCTGAATGGGGCAACATAAAGGAGATTCTGGCTGGATCAGTCACTGTGAGGTGAGCCGGGAAATGCCAGCGTTGCTTCCTCTGCCATGGCCTGGAGAACAGTGGAGCCAACAGCAGAGCCCACCTTTGCTTCTGAGCTCTGTCCTGAGAGAAGGCAGCTCCTGGGCCCCTTGCTCCAGACCCTGCCATGTGCCTCCCCAAGTGAGGCTTTCTCCATGGGCTGCAGTTCCTTGTACAGATGCCCAGTCCACAAATTGGTCAGAGGACTTGCTGTCTTGAGATGTTTGTTGGGCAAAGGGATGGCACCGCTGCATCAGAAGGAGAGGAAGAGCAGGGAAGGCTGGAGACTTCCGGGTCAGCGCCATCGGTGAATGGCGGAGTTCCTCCGACTGGAGGAACGGTCTCCGTGGAAGCAGGGGCTTCCCGCCGCGGCGAAGGCGGGGGCCCATTAGAAATCCCAGGCGGGAGAAGCCTGGGAACGTGGGGTTCGGCAGAGCACCAAAGCGCCTCCCCTACTCACGAGGAAACCCTTTTTCGGGGCTCCGGAGTGAAGCGGGTGGAGCAGCGCGGTGCCGCGAACTGATTGCTACTTCCATGGAGGGAAGCCGCGCAGCCATCGCCGGAGAGCGCTGACTTTTTCCTTATGACATTTGGACTCTAAATCAAGTACCCGTGAGTAAAAACGGAGAATTGGACTAAGAAATCTTTAAAATTACGAAATTAGGTACGAAGCGGGAATGGTGTAAACAGGAAGTCTGCCTCCCGTCCTTGTATACAGCTTGAAGCAAAGATTTGGTAACCTAATAGCCTGAAAAGTTCTTTTAAAGTTGGAAATTTCCTGCACCCATAACCAACAAAACCCCCTTGGAAGCAGGAGAAGGGGGGGGGGGATTTGACAGCTTAATCCTGCTGGAAGTGAGAAAAGGAATGTAAGTTTCCACCGTCCCAAACCTGGGGACGGGGTGTCGGGACAGAAATTGTTTGAGACGTCCATTGATTGAAAGTGGAGTACTTTTGACAGATACTTAAAAAGGAAAAGAAACAAATTAACTTCAACGCTACCTTCTGCATTTTTGCTCTTTAAGGAAACAAAGTATTTGAAATTGAAAGGACTTGAAATTGAAAGTAGCTTTCTTTGTTGGATACTTTAAAAAAAAAAATGGATACAATCAGAAATTGTGTCCTCTAGAGGGAGTCTGCCAGTTTGCGGTCGCAGTTTGCATATGTAAGATTTGGATCGTGGGAACAGCCGTTTGACCTTGTTTTGGAAGAGAAATGTTTTGGCAGGAAAGTTTGGTGTCTGCCCTTGGTAGGACTAATGTTTTGCTGGAGCAGCTGCACGAGAAAGTGAGTCTGATGAATGAAAAACTGGATTTTATGAATGCTGTGGCCAGCCAATATGATTCAACAGGGAATAAGGATGAACCTGGTTTGACAAGGCAAGTCCAAGGGCAGATGGAGGAGGAAGAGGCAGTAGCTATCTCCTACACAATACAAATGGAAAGACCCAAAGTTTTGCAGGAACAAAAGCTACTGCGCTGGAAGATTGATTTTGGAGAGTGCTGGGAAGCATTTGAAGTTAAGGAAGTCTTTAACTCTAGTGTGACTGTGAAACAGGTGAACAACCATCTTCTGGATACATATTTTTTGGATTACAAAGAAGAAGATTGGGAGTGGGACTCGGGGGAAGGGGACAATATAATGAAGGAAAATGGAAATTATTACTGGATGGAACCCCCCGGAGACCCACTCCCTCAGAAACCAACAATAGACAAAGAACTGTGTAAGCACAAACAAGAACAAAAAAATTTGCAGAAGGGGCCTAGAAGAGATTTAAGGGCCTCGGACATCAGAACACCAGATTGATGGACTATGTAACGGATAGAAAGGACTGACATGACTGAAACCAGGAAGATGGGACGCTGGATGAAAACTATAGAAATTTTTATGTTAATTTTGGAATTAGATTAATATCAATGAAATTTGTCTAATATTAATGAAATTTGAGGGAATATGCTGGAAAGGAATTAAATTGGCTTTAGTAGAAATGTGTTTAAGGAGAAATGTAGGAATGTGATGTGATTTTGAAATTTTAAGATTTTTAAGATAAGATAAGGTTAAAGAATAAGGCAAATTGAATAACAGATTATATTAAAAGAGGGAAAGGCCATGTTGATTAACAAACAAGATAGATTGTGAAGATTAATTATTTAAATTAAAATTGAGAAATATGGGAAGAATTTGCTGAAATAATGAATTAAACTAGAATACGAAAAGGGAGGCGTGAGGAGGTTCAAGAACCAAGCAAATGAAAAGTTGGAATTTGAGATTTATAATTTCTTTTTTCTTTTTCTTTATTATCTTTTCTCTTTTTCTTTTGGGTTAGGGTTGGGGGATTTTTTATGTATTGATGAAACTTTGAATAAATATCATTAAAAAAAAAAAAAAAAGAAGAGCAGGGAAGGCTGGCCTGCCATGTGCTCCCGAGTGGCACCAAGGCTCTGTCTGGACTCCCTGTAGAAAGAGAGCGACTTCCAGTTTCAGTGGGAAGGCCCATTAGCAGGAAGAGGGTTCCCTCTGCTTTTCCTGTGAGTGAAACTGCAACCCTGGAAGAATTGGTAGATGTATCAGCTCGTGACTCAGGGGAGTCACATCCGTCTCATGAGTAGAAATGCATATGGATAGTTGTTCCTTGCCACACAATCTTTCATGGAGGGTTTTGACGTAAGGAAGCTCTTCTTAGTCACTGCCATGACGGTCACTGGGGCAAATGGCCGGATCCTGGAAGCCAGCAGGCCCCATCACAGCTCCCCTGCCTGCTTGGTCCCAGCACTGGCTGAGAGAGCAAGGGACAAATGCTCAGGAAGAGCCAGCTCTGGAGGTTCCAGCCAGGCTGTTTCATGTGTGGCAGCAAAAATAAGTTGGTGTGTGAATATGCATCAGTTGTTTAAGAAGCCTATTAACATAAGAAGCTTTGAGCCTCTCCTGCATGTGGGTTGCCCAAGAATACTGGAGAGAGGGTGGGAGGGAAAGGGACCCTTTCCGAGGTGCCTTTGGAGGGTCTCCTTCCTTGAGTGCTTTGTTGCCACAGGCCTGTCATCAGTCCTGTGCTGGGATGGGCGTATTGGAGGGAGGAGGTGGTGCGTTCCTGCTTTTGTCAGAAATGGCCTTGACTTCTCTGGTAACAAGTTCAGGGAAGAGCTGACCTGCACACAGGCAGCTGCAGCCATCCGCCACCTCCCACCCAGCAGAACTGCAGCTGGCAAAGTGTCTGACATGCAGGGAGTGCGGGATGCAGCAAGGAATTAGCGTTAAGGAAGGAGTGCAGCTTAATGAGGTTGCACCACCGAGCTGTTCCTCAGTGGGAAATGCTGGCTTCATGGCTGCATGAGTTAAGAGATGCCCTAGTTGTAGAGAGGCCCGTGTACCTGCCCCAGAGGGCTGGCCACTTGAGTGCCGAGGCCTTCCTAGAAAGACTAGGGGAAAGGTTACTGGTGACTGTTTCAGGCCCCTTTCTTCTGACCTGGAAATGACTCCCTGCTGCATGCACCCTTTCTGTCATCAGCCTTCCTGGAGTGAAGAGCCACCCAGAGTCACTCCTGCCTGCCCCTCCCATGGCAGGCGCACTCTGTCAGGGAAGGTTGCAGCACTGTTGGTGTGGCTTGTGAGCCTCGCCCACCTTTGGACAAAAAGGAGGAGTCTCCAGTGTGCTGCATATAAGGTGCTTCCAAGCCCCTTGAGAGACTCATCCTATCCCTGGGAGCTTCTCTAGAGGACCCAAAGAGCAGCAGAACAAGAGAGAGCATGGCTGGTGAGTACAAGCTGCCCTGGGCAAGGCCCCAGTATGGGCTGCCTGCAGGGCTGGGCAGGTGCGAATAAGGAAGGCTTGGCCAGCATTTCATGGACCTGTTGGGCATGCCAGCAAATCAAGGCTTTGCCTTTGCCTTTGCCCTCTCCTCTACCCCTCCACAGCACCAGCTAATAGAATACAAGCCAGCTGGGTTCTCCTGCCTCTTCCTCTGCAGGGGAGCCTTTGCATCTCTCTGGTGGGCTGGCCTTCCTCTAGCCATGCACCCCACCTTGCTCGGACGGACCCAGCACACCTGCCCCCCTGCCCGGAGGGGCTAGGCACAGCCCTGCCCATTTCCCCCAGCCCTGTTGCTGCTTGGAGCACAGCCTGGAGGGGCTGGTGAGGGTGGTCTGCTTTCTAGAGTGGATAAAGACCTGTAGGGCTCATCCTGGGCCGGCAGCAAAGCAGAGCCAGCTCATCAAGGACATGGATGGAAAGGGGACCACCCTGAGCAGGGCAGGGCTGGAGCAGAGAGGCTGATCGCCTGACGGGGGAAAGTTAACCTCTATCCTGACCCCAATGAATATGCATATACCACTACATCACAAAAAGAACCCGTGCTTACAACATCTATATGCAGTTAAAAGCACATGGAAATCTAAACACAGGAATCCTCCACTAACTACAGTATTATGGTGTCTGTTCCAACCTTTGGAACTCCCTCTCTAGTGATCGCTCGGTCCGTAGAGTATGAGGCTCTTACTCTCAGGGTCATGGGTTCAGCCCCACCTTGGGCAACAGATTCCTGCAATGCAGAGGGTAGACTAGATGACCCTGGGGTGCCTTCCAACTCTACGGTTCTATGAGACTTTGAAAGGTGGTGTCTTAATTGTCTGCATGAGCTGGGCAGCGCGGAAAAATTTTCAGCAGGCGTCCATTGGACTTCCAGTGACAGCGCGTTCCGCAAGGCGGGCCGGCTCTCTCCGAGGAGCCTCGCCAGCTCGGGGGACCAACGAGGCTCCGGCAGTTCCGTTATGGGGCGTCCGCCGCCAAACAGCAGCTTCCCAAAGGCAAATCTTTAGTCCCCGGCTGCCTCCTGGGCTGGGACCTGGGGCTGCCCTCTCCCCACCGGGACACGCTCCGCGCGCTGTCCGCCCCGTTTGAAGAGCCGTAATTACAGCGAGAGGCGGGGGCAGGGCAAGCCGGCGCTTGCGGAACGCGGCTGGGCTCTGGGCTTCGGGGGGGGGGGCAGCTTCCTCGGTCCGCAGCCCAGCCCAAGCGCTCCGCACCCCGGGCCAAGGAGCGGCGGGACCTGGAGTCTTCCCAGGGCGATGCAGGACGCGCGAGGGACGGTTGCGCAGAGAGAGAGCGCGCAGGCTTGGCCGCATCCAGAATGTGGCCGGGCTGCCATGGCGAGAGTCTGGGCGAGTGCCCCCCCCCCTCCTTCCCCGATGAACTGCTTGCCCGCCCGGTCCCGTCCCAGGCGCTAAGAGAGCAAGTGCTGAGCCCTCAGATTCGTGAGTGGTTTTTGCTTAGTCACAATCCATCCCTTGACTAAATACTTTGGCACCGGAGACGACGGTTTCTGTTCTGTATACGCAACCCAACACGCGTGAATCCGCAGAAAGCGACCGAGCTCAGCTGGCGCCAGGCCGGGACAGGCGGGCTGGTGCCCTTGCGCTGCCCTGCTCCGCAGCGGCTGCTCTTGCCGAAGTGCCGCAGCGCCACGTGGAGGGTCTGCCCTGCCCACAACTCCGCAGCTGCCACAGATCTCCTCCTCCTCCTCCTCCTCCTCCTCTCGCACGGGAGATCTACAGGATTTGCATTGGTGTCAAATGCGATGAAGTCGAGCATCAAGAGCTCCGTTTCACGCGCGTTTCTCCAGCCGGTCTGAGGGAAAGGGGCGCTAGGAAAGGCGGTCCCTTGGCTCTTGGTCTTCAGGGAAAGGAGCGCCCTGTGACTGAAGGGTGCCTTCTGGGTCGCTGCGAGGGCATGACCTGTTTCGGAAAGGCGCAGGCGAGCCTCTCTGCCTCAACCTTCGTGGTCTTGTCCCCGTTTTTGCAGCTGTGCCGAAGATTGACTGGAAGCGGAAAGCCAATGGCAGCGCGCACCACACCGAGCAGTACCCCGGCACCGAGCTGGTGGTGCGACGGGCACAACTTTTCTATATCTCTCTGGCCTTCGGCGGAGCAGCGCCAGCTCCAGGCAGCCTCACGTTCACCGTCGAAACAGGTAAGCCGCCACCGAAATGCAGAGTCCAGCTGGGTGACTCCTTGGCTCTCCATGTCGAGGGGGCCACTTGGCGTAAAGGCCCCCACCCCGGAGGGCGGGCTGCCCAAGATGTGACCTCCACTATGCCCAAAGCTCACCGCCTTCCTCCTGCTGCCAGGATCGACCTCTGCCCTGCACGAGAAGACCCGCGTGGCTTTTGGCATCTCCAGCGCCGCACCCAGCGGCGGCTCCTGGGGCGCCGTCCAGGACTCTCCGGCGGCTTCGGGCTCCCTGAACATCGCCATTTCCAGCCCTGCGAGTGCCGCCATCGGGCGCTACCGGCTGGGGATCAAAACGAACGCCGGCGCCTCCCACCTCGGCACCTTCGTGCTGCTCTTTAACCCCTGGGCGACAGGTATTTAGTTATTTATTAAATCTGTATGCCGCCCTTCATCCGTAGATCTCAAGGTGGTTCACAACATAAAAATATAAGAAACACGAAATACTTAATAAAAACAAGAGCGAAAACAAATCCAAAACACACGGCCCCCCAGCGACTGATGCCCCCGAACCCACCGCACCGCCCCCCCCGACGACTGCCCCCCTCGGCCCCCGGCCTTTTCTTGTGGGGACCCGAGACTCCTCCTCCTTCTCCTCCTGGCTAGGTGCTTCCAGCTGCACGAAGCGGCCTCGGGGTGGCGCCGGGGGGCTTCCTGCCCCCAAGGCGCACAGGGACAGGACGGGCCACCTGCAGCTACGGGGAGGAGGGCTGGGGGCGTCCCAAGGAGGTATTGGGGATTCCTAGTTCTTCCCCACCCAAATGGCCCCTCAGCACCGGCCGGTTCTTTCGCTCGCAGGAGACGACGTCTTCATGGGCAACGACGCGGAGCGCAAGGAATACGTCCTCTCCGAGTTCGGCGTCGTCTTCCGGGGCAGCGTGAACCACATCTCCAGCTTCGGGTGGAACTTTGGCCAGGTAGGGGGAAGCCTTTGGGCGGGGGCTGGAGACCGGGGTGGGGAGGGGTTAGGAGAGACGCTACCGGCCCCTTCCAGAAATGCCCAGAGCAACTGGAGCTCAGCTTACGCGCACACGCGCGCGCTCCAAATCCCGTCCCCCCCCCCCACTTTCTCAAAAGAAGAGAGAGAAAATGGGTCCTGGATGTGAAACCAAAGGACCTTTCCAGCTCCTCCTCAATTCCAGGTGTGTCTCCTCCCCGCGACCAGAGCGCACTTCCTAGGCTGGCTGGACGGTCCCTGGGGGTCTTCGGGTTGCCATATTTTGAAGAGCAAAAAACAGGACACATTTGTCGACTTCTGCTTTTAGCTATGGATCAGTGGCCTAGCGTGGGGGGTGCAGGGGGGGGCCGGCCGCACCGGGCGCAACATCTGGGGGTTAGGGGGCGCAAATTACTTGCCTTGCCCCGGGTGCTCACAACCCACGCTACGCCACTGCTATGGATCACCATGATAGGGCTGCCATACGTCTCGGTTTTCCCCCAGACACGTCCGTGAATCGGGCTGTCAAAACGGTGTCTGGGAGGATTTTTCGCCAAATTGGCGAAATGTCCAGAAAACTCCGGAAGTATGGCAACTTAGGGCACTTTTTGAGGAAAATGCTGTAAAAATCCCCCAAAAGACCCAAAACTTAGTTTTTTGGGGGGAGATGATGGCTCTACCCATGAAAAAGAGGACATATGGCAATCCCGGGAAGGGGGGAGAGGGAGAAGGAGGAGCCCCTGGCCTGGGTCGTCTTAACAAGCTGAACATTCTCTGGGACAGTCTGGGTTACTCCCAAGCCTCTTCCCAAGGGAGGGAGAGGGGCAGGAAACCTTCGGAGCCACTGTGGGCCCCTCTCGCCCACCCAGGCCTTGTGAGAGATTAGCAGCCAAACCTCACAAGCACATATTTATATTTATTATTTATTTTATTAAGTTTGTATGTCAGCCTTCTTCCAAAGATCACAGTTCACAACATAAAAATACAGAAAAATACAAAATGAAAACACAAAATAAATAAGAAAAGCAAAAGCAAAACAAGCCAGTAATTCCCCCAACACATGAGAAGGCGCTAAATCCACAGAACTGTATTGATGAGAGGCTGACTCAGACCATAGAAATGCAATTGGTAGAGAGGGCTCTGTGTGATATCATTTCCCCTCCTCTCCTGCAGAGGAAGGAACAAATAGTACCTGCTCTCTTCCTTCAACCAGTTCATAGTTGGAGTCGCTCAAAATGCAGGGGAAGCTCCAGGTTATGTGTGTAGCACTGGGTGATGCTGCCACAGGATGAAGAACCATTTCATTTGTCTTCCTCTCTGTGTTCAGTTTCAAGAGGGCATTTTGGACATCTGCCTTGACATCCTAGACCGGAGCTTGAGCTACCGCAAGGACCCAACTGCTGACGTGCGCAGACGAAATGACCCCAAATACGTTGGGCGGGTGCTCAGCGCCATGGTAAGGAAAGCCCAGCACGAGCCAGCCTCCCACCCACCCCATGGATAGGAGCGAGCGTCCCTGAGAGGAGCCACGAGGGGGCTCTCACCTGCCTGCCTACAATTTTATGATTCTATTAACTTTGCAAAAGGATGTGGAGGTGGGATCATGGGTGGAAAGGGGAAGGCAGGCAGGCAGCCCGCTACTCCCTTCCTGCTGCTCCCTGGTCCAATCCAGCCTGTGCAAAAAAGGGGGAGCAGCTCATTGGCCTCTCTCGACTCCCCCCTCCCCCGCTGCAGGTCAACAGCACTGACGACAGAGGAGTCCTGCAAGGAAACTGGAGTGGGAATTACAGTGGTGGGGAGAATCCAAGCAGCTGGAATGGAAGCGTGGACATCTTGAGAAAATGGAAGGACTCGGGATTTAGACCTGTCCAGTATGGGCAGTGCTGGGTCTTTGCTGGAGTGCTGACTACAGGTAGGTCTGCCTGAAATACTGGCATGCACCACCAAGCCGCTGGGGTGAGGAATTAGCTCAAGCACCAGCTGTGGGTTTTCATGGCAGGCTCTGCTGCCTCTGGTCAGCAGCCAAACCACAGGTGACAGGCATGCAGCAAGCATTTCGTCTGGGCAAAACGGATGGCTGAGTGCAATGGGTGCCAATGCCTTTTGCTGCAAGCAGCTTCTCTGCTGCTGCTGCCCCCACCACCCCCAGAACATTAGAGTCCCCAGGGAACCATTGCTGGATGGATTTTGTGGGAAGGATAGGATATACGATTTCCCCCTTTCTCCCTCTTAATAAAAGAATCACATGTAAAATAGTACTTACATAAAGTCTTGCACTTGATTCCAGCAGTTACAAACAGGCAAATTCTGCTTCTAGATTACAATGCATAGTTGAGGTCAAAAATGGAATCTCCACTGGGGGAGAGACCAGACAGACATCCATCTGCCTCAGAAGCATGGCGGAAAAGATAATGAGTTCTGAAGCAGGAGGAAGTAGAAAAAATTAAATCCCTTTGTCTTTTTCCTGCTAGAGAACTCAAGGGAAGTGCTGTCAAACAGAGCTCTGTGTCTGCAAATTACATTGCTTTTCTTTGCAATCTGTCTAACCAGAAATTTGCAGCACTGTGGTTGTTAGTCTCTAGAGTTAAGGGTAAAGGTAAAGGGACCCCTGACCATTAGGTCCAGTCACGGACGACTCTGGGGTTGCAGCGCTCATCTCGCTTTATTGGCCAAGGGAGCCGGCGTACAGCTTCCGGGTCATGTGGCCAGCATGACTAAGTCGCTTCACTGTGACCTTCAGATCAGCAAGCCCTAGGCTCTGTGGTTTAACCCACAGCGCCACCCGCGTCCCTAGTCTCTAGAGTTACTCAACCTCAATAATGCATTGTTATTTTGACAACAAACCTCCACAGCCAAGGGGTCACAGAAAATTCTCTAGAATATTCCAAGGGGATATTCTAAGGATATTCCAAGGGGGTCACAGGTGAAAATCACATAAATGGGGGGGGGGCATAGCACGAGGCTAGGGGGCCACAGAGGGAAGTGAGAAGTGAAGAAAAATAGGCACATGTAGAATCCTGATTAGCTAGCTATCTGCTTGGTCAATGGCAAGTGGGTAAGGGGGAGGCCCACCAGGGCCTAGCACTCCTTTTTGCCACATGTGTTTTCTTGGAGCAGTCCTGGGATGTTTCTGATAGGAGAGGGCGATTGCTGATGCTCCTATTTTGACCAGTAGAGCTACCGATCCAGAACCCCCAGGTCAGGTGGGGTGGCAATGGGTAGGGCTGGGCGAACCAGAGCTGCTTGTAGCTGCCACCAGTGCTGGGCCCAGTGGCAGCCTGGGCCTGACTCTGCAAAGCACAGGGCCCAGTCCACCCAGCACTGGATCAGGTAGATCAGGGTCTTCAGATGTTGCCAAGGGGCACAAGGTCTGTTGGCAGCGTCTGCTCAGCTTTGCAAGGCGCAGGGCCTAGCTGAACGGGGTCATTTGGTGCAGCTGACTTGCATCTAGTAAAGAACGATCTACTCAGAAGAAAGCTGCACTGAGTTCAGTGGGCCTTACTCTCAGGTAAGGGGGGGGCGCTATAGTGTTTTATATAGGCAGCCAGGGCTCCTCCGGATGACAATATCTTTTTGCACCCAGTCAGTGAGGACCACTTGCTTTTTAAATTTCTCCCATACATGCAGAACTCCCTGTGTGCCTTTTGGACTATATCTGTTGGTATCCCCCTCTGTGTCAAATAACTGAGGTCAAACAAGTGTTTACTTTTTATAAGGAGGTTCTGGACTCTCCTTCCTTGGAGGTTTCTAAGCAGAGGTTGGATGGCCATCTGTCAGGGATGCTTGAGCTGAGATTCCTGCATTGCAGGGGGTTGCACAAGAAAGATCCCTTGGGGTCCCTTCCAGCTCCATGATTCCATGCTTTTCTGCTTCAACATTTCATTCTGTCCCTATCATTTGATGTAATTGTGGCAAGTGAAATGTCCAGTCCAGGGGTCACCATCCCACACAGGCCTAGGAGCGGGACAGAAGGATGTGCTGCACCAGTAAATCCGGAAGTAAGGAGAAGGAGCCATAGCTGGATCCAGAGAGCCCTTTGCTCCACGGCTCCCCTTCTTCCTCATGGCTCAGAGCGACCTGCACTTGTGCTTCTGGTCTGAGCTTTGATTCAGACTTGTGGCCCTTTCTGCCTGGGATCCTGGGCATGGAACTAGGCTGGGTATGTTTGTGTGTGTTGTGACTGGGGAGAAAAGCGTCACCCTCTCTGGATCTGCAAACTCCCCTGGTGGGGCTCTTTCCGGGCTGGTGGTCTCGGTAGTCTGATACGCTCTGTTGGGTCCCCCTGGCATTTTCAGATGTGTGAGGAGGCAGAAAAAGTGCTGGCCCTGACAAAGAGGACAATGGGGCATGGGGCAGCCATCTATCTAGTGATGAAGTTTCAACTTTGCACCTGCCTCTCGCACCCAGCACCTTAGACCGTCCTCGTCACAGGAGACTCCTGAGTGGGAATGGCAGCCACTGCTCTACTTCCTTCCAGTGACCGCTCCCCTTTCCATGCTTGTTCTTGCGCCAGCCCACAGGGTCAATGGCAACATCTCCCAAGGAGTGCTCACAGGCCACAGAGCCAAGAGCACCTGCCTGAGAAGTTGATGTTTCAACCAAGAGTATTCTGCAGCCATTGCCTCTGCCCCTGAGGAACAGCCTCACAAAGTTCATATTTTCTCTCTCATTCCCTCTCAGTCCTCCGATGCCTGGGAATTGCAGCACGCATGATCTCCAATTTCAATTCTGCCCACGACACCGACGGAAGCCTGACTGTGGATAAGTACCTTGACAGCTTTGGGAACCCTCTGAACATTGGCTCCGACAGTGTCTGGTAACTCAGCCTGACTCTTCCCCCCACCTCACCAGCATCAGTTGCATTTCTGCACAGAGAGGCAGGGCCCTGGGTGGGTGGGTGAAAGGGATCTCTTGGTCCTTTCCTTGGCAGGAGGAAGTTGCCGTGGTGGAAGCCACAATCTGCCCTCATCTCACTGCAAACCTTCACATCAGGCTTGTTTATTCTCTGGCCCAGGTACTTCCATGTCTGGAATGAAGGTTGGTTTGTCCGGCCGGACATTGGCTCCCAGTTCAATGGGTGGCAAATTCTGGATGCAACTCCCCAGGAGAGGAGCACAGGTGAGAACTGGGGGGGGGGGGCTGATTTGTGCTTTGCCTTCTTGCCACACTGTTCCCCATGGCAGAAATGTCCAGGTTTGGTGAGGGGCTAAGTGGCGGGCAGCAGAATCAAAGAACTGCAGTGTTGGAAGCGACCCCAAGGCTCTGTGTTGTTCCAGTTCAATTCACTATTTGGGACCAATTCTGATCTGCTAAATCCCAAGCTCTGTCCCCTACCCCTTGACTATATAATGGGAAATCTAAAATCAGCAATAATTCCCCACCTGCATTTTTGCAGAGGTGGATGACATTTGCAGGCAAAGGATCTCCTCCAGAGTGGAATCCAAAGCCTGCCAACCTCCATGTGGATTTGTCCAGGGGAGTTTCATCCAAGGGACCTGTGGGAATGTTCAGGGTGGCAGGAGAGGATATATTTTGTATTAATAATCTTCCTAACATGCGCTAGCAAGTTCCTTATGTAGCAGAGTTACGTTCCCCTTCTCATGCACAGCAGAAACTGGTTGCAGGCTCATTAGAACCTCTTACTATTATGCAATTCAATCTGCCTCAGAGTGAATTGTATGTTCCTGGTAAGATCCCCTTTTAAATCCCTCTTAAAAGAATAAAGACACCACAATCCTCTTCATAGTCAACAAAAAGTAAGTTTACTCACTTTCAGGCAGTGCACAGTATCAGTCCTGAAGGCTTAAAGACTTAAAGTTACAAATAGCAACATGTGGATTTACCCCATATCCCTGTGCTGCTGTTGGCTGAAAGCCAACAGAGCAGTCCTAGCTGGAAGCAGACAAAAGGAGAAAGGAAAAAAGGGAGGGAGTGCTCTATGACTCGTCCTTTTGTTACCTGGACAGGTGAGGTCATGCCCACCTCTGGTCACATGCAAGAGGAAGGATGCTCCAGGCCAGGAGGAACAGGAAGTTTCAACTGGCTGGACCAAACATTCCCTTGCATGTCCACTCTAGCATTACAAGGAATGTTGTACATCCCACAAGACCTTTAAGGGCTATTTTTCTCATGGGAGCAAAAGAAGGTTGCTTGTTTATTTTGTGGCAGAATTGGAATAAGAGGCATCCCCTCCTGAGAGGAGGATGTCTCTGTGAAGGGCAGTGGCCCCTCCTCAGGGGCTGCCGTTGGCATTTGGGGCAGGTGGGGAGAAGCCCCCTTCCTCTCCCAGTCTTATGCGGGCAACTGGGAACCTGAGACTGGGAGCCGCCCTTGGCTAAGAAACCTGCCAAAGTTCAGACAAAGAGGTCCAGGGGCTCTCGTTTTAGGGAAGCTTGCCTTTGTTGTCTAAAAAGGGGGGGGGGAGTCACAATTTTTCTTCCCCCAGTGTTTCTGGAAGAGTCAATGCTATAGGAACAGTGATTCTCAAGGTTTCCCACCAGCTATTCTCTTTTTAAATATAATTTGGTATCATTCACTATTAAATGTTGATAGTTTTGTTTTATATGTACCGATTTTAGGGAGCCTGGCAAAGGGGCGAACAAAACCTTTTGCTGCAATGTCATCCTGGTGGGGGATTTGTGGGAGCAGTCAATGACAGAAGGAAAATGAATGAAAAATGGAATTAATTTTTAAAGAAATTTAAGCAGGGGGACCTTTTGCCCATCATATTATGAAACCTGCTGGAGTGCCGTGCACAATAATATGTATTTTTTGAAAGGAAAGATTTTGTGGAGGGCAGAACACCAAGGTGGATTGTAGGGACCAACCAGCAGCAACATTTGGAATTTGCACCAGCTGCCATTCTGCTATCGGGCCAAGTTCAAGGCCTTGGTACTTACACATATGGTCCCTATACAGCTTGGGACCAGGTTCCTTGCAAGAGAGACCATCTTATCCCTTTGCTGCCCACAGGGCTGGATTTAGGTTTGATGAGGCCCTAAGTTCCAGAAGGGAATGGGGCCCTTTATATGCCCAGCTGTCCTTTGTCAACAACAAATTGTCCATTCACATCAAAATAATTTTGAATTACCAATATACATAAAATTGATTAATTTTAATAGCTCCATACACAACACAAAACACTGTTGCTGTATGTAGGTTTTATTTTATTTGTTTTTTATCTTATATTTTGGAAATGTACATCCAGGTTGTTTTTTTCCTTTTTTTTTCGGGGGCCCAAGCTATGTAAATCTGGCACTGGCTGCCCAGTAGGTGGCTGCAGCTGGCAGGAGGTTTCTCCTGCAAGTTAAAAAAACTCTCCCCTGCCTCTCTCTCTGCCCCTTCTCTCACTCCCAAACTCACAATGCCTACGACGACAATGGCTCTCACCAAAAGCAGCTGACCTGTCAAGAAGAGGGCTTTGAGTGTGGCTGCCCTTCTTCTGTGGAGCAGCATCCCTGTTGAGATATGACAGGCAGCCATGATCTGCACTTTCTGGAAGCAGCTGAAGACATTTTTGTTCTGACGGGCTTTCCCAGCTGACTTAGTGGGTCTTTGCTATGAAAGTTTATTTTGTATGCTTTTCATTTTGTTTTAAATGTATCTGCTAGCTGGGGTTTTGTTTGCCCCCTCCCAAACTGTTTTCTTGCATGTGACCTTGAGGCGCAGAATGCCCACTGGTTCTCCCTCCCTTTCCTTCCTGCAGGCATCTTCCAGTGCGGTCCAGCTTCGCTGACGGCCATCAAGGAAGGAGACGTCGACCTGAACTACGATTGCCCGTTCGTCTATGCAGAGGTCAATGCCGACCGCGTCACCTGGACGTATGACACGAACACGGGAAAGAAAACAAAGGTCTACTCTAAGACCAAGAAGATTGGCCAGAACATAAGCACCAAGGCCGTGGGCAGCAATGCCCGCCAGGATGTCACCAACAATTATAAATACCCAGAAGGTAAGGCATGCAAATTGAGACAGAAACTGGAAATGTTGAGGGATCTGGATTATTGCCAAGGAAATGAGCACTTACCCAAGTTGTGAGGACAAGACTGGCCCATCAGGAGAGCAAAGCAGAGGGAGGCTCACATGGGTGGAGCCAGTATTTTTGTTGGGGGCAGAACCTCAGTTAAATATTTTTATGGATTTACTTGATGGAGGGGAGATGCTCCCCTGCTGCCCCTTGGCTACACCCATGGAGGCTCAGGTGTTTCTCAGAGCATTTCCCAGAAGCTACTTTGGGCGCCCTGTCAGCAGATTGGCCAGGGCAGGGAGGGCGGAACATGGGTGGTATTGCCCACCAATGAGTGGGAGGGAGGGCAGGCAAAGATTTTAAGTCCATGCGCCACACCCAAGCCAGGCCTGAGCAAAGAGCCCCATGGTCTGCCTGCCAGCCCTCAGGACCCCAGCTCTTCTGTGCCACCAGGCCTTGCACTGCTAGGATGGCTGCGAGGCTGAGGCCCCAAGAGCCCCTGGCCTGGGGAAGGAGAGGGAAGGTGCCCTTCATGCAACTGCTGGTCCCTATGGCTCCTGCACTGGGGCCTAACAGCCCCGCTGGGCTTTGCCACCTGCTGTTTCTCTTCCAGGCTCAGAGAAGGAAAGAGCCGTCTTCAAAAAGGCCAGTGAGAAGCTGAACCTGAACACGTTCAATGCCATATCTGCCAAGGGTCCGGAAGCTGTGAACCCAAACCTCTCAGGGACTCTGAAGTCCAAGAGCCCTGAGCCAAAGGTTGGTCAGGATGTTGACTTGGTCTTCACCCTGAAGAACCTTGCCTCCAAGGCCAGGAGCCTGACGGCCAAGATGACCGCCTGGTCCATCGTCTACAATGGGAAGCCCATCCATGAAGTCTGGAAGGACTCTCTCGCAGTGACTCTGGGCCCGCAAGAAGGTAAGCCTTTTGTGGGCTCCCCACAGCAAGGGGGCAGCCTCCAATGCCCCCTCTTCCTCCTCCTTTGCCCACAAGCCACAGTCGGGCCTTCTGGAGAAGCCCCACTCGGGTGGGGGTGGTGGCAGAGGCACCTCTCATAGGTCTCCCTCTTGGCTTGCTGGGGTGGGGGATGGCGAGTTCCAGCGACCTCCTCAGATCTTGGGGTGCAAGGAACTTCCACTGCTGGTGTGTGCTGACCTCTGTGCTTGGCCTGCCCCTTTTCCACTTGCTCTACCCCAAGAGATGGGGGGCTCCTCTTTTTGCACCCATGGGCAATGTTGGGGGGCAAGGGCCACGGAAGAGGGGGATCATTGCTCCCCATATCTGCCCCCAGCTAGCCAAGTTCCTGCCTTGGCAGCCCCTGACTGTTCTCCACCAAGGGCTATGGGACTCACCTTCCCCTGAAGAAAGGGCAACGTTTTGGGGTTCTTCCTGGCATCCGAGGGGGATTTTGAGCACCGCAAGAGGTTCCTCTGCACCGGCCACTGAGCCACAAGGTGTTGCAACTATGATGCAGTGCATGTGCATGAGGCCGGGTGCCAAATTAGGTCTCCCATGGGTGCTGCTGAACTATGGAAGACCAAAGTCTGCCCCTGCCGGCTTGCGTGACCCACATCTCATGGAAGGCCCTTTGGTTACTTGTCACTTTCAGAGAAAAAGTTTCCTCTCAAGATCTCATACGCTGAGTACCAGCAACACCTGACGCCAGACAACATGATTCGAGCCACAGCCTTGTGCCAACTCTCAGAGGGAACCGAAGCCGTGGTGGAAGGAGACATCACGCTGAGCAACCCCTCCGTCACCTTGAAAGTAAGCCTTCCTCAGCTGCCTCTGTGCCCAGGAGAGGCTCCCGAGTGCCTCCCTGCCTTGATGCCCACAGAACTGCCCCTCAAGTTTCTCTGCTTGCTGGGCAGTGCATGGTCCTCCCAGGCATGCCTTTGGAGGCCTGTGCCCTCCTGGCTTTGCCCCCTGGGAGGCCTGGGGAGTGGCCCTCCTACTCAATGGGGGCTTTTCTCTGGGCAGGTGCTGGGACAGGCGAAAGTGGACCAGCCGCTGAAGGTGGAGGTGGTCTTCACCAACCCTCTCAATGAAGAAGTGAAGGACTGTGTGCTGCAGGCAGAGGGCAGTGACTTGCTGGCAGAGAAGCTCAAGCTGGAGTAAGTGCCTGGGACATCCAGACAGGGGGGGTGCCGTGTCCCCTCCCCAGGACTGGGGGTGGCTGCTGGGGTGCTCCCTTGTGGTGCTCCCACCTCCCAGTTCCTCAGCTGCACTTCCAGAGCAGGCAAAGTCGGGGCTCCAGTCTCCCGGGGGGGGGGGTCTGGAAAGGGGTGCCCAGAAGGGACTCCTGTGTCTTCCTGGCCATGTGGGGCTTCCTTTGCTCACTACCCAAAAGAGTCACAGCCCACTTTTCTATCACCTTCCAAGGCAACTTTTCTATGTGTACCAGGAATTGTCAGTGACAGAGGCTGGGGCCCCTTTTGCTTCAGAGGTGTCTTTTAATAGTTGAGAAATTGCTTCAGGGAATCGTGAGTGTGTGTGTGTGTGTGTGTGTGTGAGAGTGAGAGAGAGAGAGAGAGAGAGAGAGAGAGAGAGAGAGAGATTGAGAGCTGTGCACAGGCAGCCTCTGCTGCAGACATGAGTTTCAGCCACCCTTTAGAAATGTTTGCCCCCAACACCCCACTGCTCAAACTGCTCATTTGTAACCCCCCCGGCTTGCCAACCACCCCAGGCAGTGCTTAGCACTGGTGCTGTCACTCACCCCACCTGGTGGCAGCTGTGTGGGGCTGGGGCTGGGTGTCCCCACTGCCTTTCAACACTCCAGCCAGGAACTGGCAAAGGCAGAGCTGGGCTGCTGTTTCTTTGGCACATCCAAAGTCAGGAGGAGGCTGGGCAGCCAATGGGGACAAACTACTCTGAGGAAGAAAAGTGATCTTAGAAGAAAGACTTCAAGGAGGACCCTTCTAGAGAGGAATTGGGACACTGGGTCCCTGCTTCCTAATGAGCAAGCTTTGATGGGATGTGGAAGTATTTTGTGGGGAGAGGGACCCGTGCTCCAAACTGAAGGTCCCACAAGCCACTTGTGTGCTCAGCTGGGACCAGGCTGGCTCCTCACCTGGCTGGCGTGGATGTGGGAGCTCATGGCTACCTTCAGCCTGAGCTGCTTAACTGGGGAACATTTAGTTTGACCCTCAAATCAGAAGAAGGATAAATTCCCAGGCATACGCCCCCCCAAATACCCTTCCTGCCATCTGCTGCCACTGCCACAAGGTGATGGGGCGAGGGAGGGGCCGTCCAGAGCTGCTCTTCCTAGGGTGGTCTGAGAGGGAGGTGAGGGGTAATGGGAGACTGCTCAGCACCCACTGCCCGCCCCCCGAGTGGGTCCATCATGCTCAGCCATCCATCGTTTCTCCAGGCTCAGAGTCCCCCCACTGGCTGCACCTCAGGCTGTACCTTCTGGTCCACCTGAATGATCATGGCATGTCCATCCTGGACCCCGTTAGTCGCAACCCCCCTGCTCTGGTCCCTTTGGCAGCTGCCCTCCCAGCCGTGGGTCCTTCTGCAGGGGAAGCACCTGCTTCTGCCACTGTCCCCCCCCCAACTCAGAGTTATTGTGCTTGATCTAATTAGCAGTGAAAAGCAAATGAAGCAGCAGCCTGGCCTGCGCATGGGAACCCAGCAGCGAGAGGGAGACCCCGCCTGGTGGGCAGGGCCTGGGAGAGCCTCTGGCTTGGCGGCTGCTGCTGCAGGAGCTAGCCCTGGAGTCCTGAAGGGCAGAGGAGGGCCAGGCAGCCCCCATGCCAGGCCCACAGCTCCTCCTGAGCATCAGCTGACTGGCTCCTTTTGCTCCTTGTTTGCAGCGCGCCACCCCTGCAGGCCAAGCAGAGCACCCGCCTCGAGTTCGAGGTCAAGCCCAGCAAGAGTGGGACGAAGCAGCTGCTGGTTAATTTCTCCTGTGACAAATTTCAAGACATCAAAGCCTTTGAGCCCATTAATGTCTCTGCCTGAGCATGACTAGCCATGGAGCAGCCTGCCAGGAGGATGGAGCCAAGCAGTGGAATGGGGAGCCTGAGCACAGCGGGGCCTCAGCCCCATTGTTTTCATGTGCATTTTAATACAAGTTTTCTTCTTATATCTCCACTGTGTGACGTCCTCTTCTTCTGGCTGGTGCGTGCCTTTGAGAACCCCCCAAAACCCGACACATTAGCTGTGAGACCTTAACCCCTTTGGTCTCTCCCAACTCTGTGGCTCTCTGATTCTATGACATTTTGACTCTTGGGACACCACGGCCTGCCGACCCAGCAGCAGAAACAGGAGATGAAAAGCAGCCCCCATGCAATCAACAGGACTCGGGGGGGGGGGGATTCCAGCCTCTATGCAGGAAGGGGGCGCTGGAACCTGGCAAGGAAAGTCCCCTGTGGGGCAGCGAGCGAAGCCCTGCCAGGGACCGTCATGGTTGAAGCAGTAGCGGCCATTCCTTCACCAACCATCCATCTCCTTCATGTGTGTGTAATCCGTGGATCCCCAATAACAGCCCAGAGCAGAGGACACCAAAGGGGGGGGGGGTCCCATCCTTGGCTGCAACATTAAAAGCACAGGGATTAGGCTATGAAACCTTGTTTTGAGCAAGTCCAGCTATCAACTCAACTGACTCTCCCTTTCTTACCCTGATTAACAAAGTCAACAACCTGGGAAGTAAGTTTAAAATATAATTTACTTATTATCATGCATTGGTTCACAGCAATGGCAGGAGTAAAAATTATGCAGGCAAAATACCTCTGAGATTTTATGGCCTTCAAACTCCTGCCTTAAACCAATCGCCCAGCACACTTCCAACAGAGTTGTAAACATGCAGCTTTTGCAAGCGGATTTGCCCTGATGGATAAACAGCTCAAGACGCAAGAGCAGTCCCAGCAATAAGCTCTTTATTGCCCGTATTAAGCCTAATTGTTGAAATATATACAGAAAGTCCATTTATGGCTGCTGGTCCCAACAGTGGAACATCTCACTTAGCATACTATGGCACACAGCAGTAGTCTAAGGAGAAACTCCAGGTATAGGGCGGTATATAAACTCAAGAAATAATAAAATAATAAAAAGCACAGTTTTTCAAGGCTATTTTTCCAGATGCTGCAAGCTGACAATGATCTCATTCTTATATTGCAGCAGTGTAACCATTCTGGTTTTTCTGGCCAGCATCTGAAAGTTGCATCACATACAGAACAGAAACTCACTCAGTTGTCTGTAAAACAAATGATCAATCCCCCAACAATATTTACCTTTACAGTACAGTCAAACCTCGGTTGTCGAACGTAATCCATTCCGGAAGACAGTTTGACTTCCGAAACGTTCAACAACCAAGGATCAAAGGGTGGCCAGCAAAGTCAATGGAGATAAAAGAAAAAAACTCCACAGAAGCTGTTCGGCTTCTGAAAATTGTTCAAATACCGGAGCAGTTATTTCTGGGTTTTTGGTGTTCGGGAGCCAAAATGTTCCAAAACGGAGGCGTTTGGGAGCCGAGCTTGGCTGTATAACCAGTTTCTGGCATCTGCCTGCAGTGGAGCAGGCAAAGGGAACGTCTGCCCTCTTGGCTGGCCAAAGGGAGAGAGAGGAGCAGGAAGTACCAGGAGGCCCCCAGGAGAGGAGGGGAAATGACATCACACAGAGTCCTCTCTACCAATTGCATTTTGATGGTCTTGGTCCTTAGCAGTCAGCTGTAATCTTAGCCCCTTCTCATGCTAACTAGCAAGAATAGGCTTTTGTTTTGTTTGGCTGCTAATGGCCCACACATTTTAAGCTGAGGCAAGCAGACCTGTGCCCCAGCACACCCTGTTCTGTTCCCCATCCGCAGCTGGGCCAGGCAGGCTGCAGTGGGGTTCTCTTTCTTGCTCAGGCTGCTCAGGCGTCCTGCTGGCCCCCTGCATGTTCAGCAGTTTCCCAATGAGCCGCCTTGGGCAGGTGTGGCAAGGAGATTTGCTCTGTGGGTGGCCCAGCCAGGGAAGCGCCACTGGATCCCCTTGGCTGTGCTGGCCTCCATCAGGGCAGCTCTGGCAGAGCAGCTCCCCAAGGAAAGATGCGTGGTGGCTCATCCCCACCCCCTCCGTGGCACTCTGAGCCCCAATGGATCTGTGTCCCACTGCCCCAGTCCAAGACTCTCACCTCTGCCTTTGTCTGCAGAGGAAGAAAAGCCAGGGGTGAAATGCCCCAAGCCCACTGAGGCGAGCCCCAACCCAGGGACTGTGCAAGAAGGAAGACGTCCAAGACTAATCCTTGTTAGCTCCTCTCCCCCTTCCTCTCAATGAGGCCCAATGGCTTTGGGGGAAGGGCATCTCTGAGGATTTGCCTTCCAGCTCTTGTGATGTTCAAAAGAAAAATCCTCACTGGGGCAGCTGCCTCCCCCTCACCTGCAGTTATGACGCTGCGATTGGCAGTCCAGAGGGTAACACCAAAGTAGGACCAAAAGCAGAAAAAAGACAAAACTTCTCCCTTTGGGAAGCTGGCAGTAAAGTTAAGTTTCCCCAGAAAAATAGCCAAGACGTGTAGACACAAAGTCAGAAAAGCTAAAGCACAGAATGAACTCAGGCTTGCTAGAGAGGTTAAAAGCAACAAAAAAGGCTTTTATGGGTATGTCCGTAGCAAAAGGAAGAACAAAGAAACAGTGGGGTCACTCAGAGGAGAAGATGGTGAAATGCAAACAGGGGACACAGAAAGAGCTGAACTCCTCAATGCCTTCTTTGCCTCAGTCTTCTCCGATAAGGAAAACAATGCCCGACCTGAAGAATTTGGAGCAAATGATTCAGCAAAGGAAACACAGCCCAGAATAACTAAGGAGATAGTACAAGAATACTTGGCTAGTTTAGATGTATTCAAGTCTCCAGGGCCAGATGAACTGCATCCAAGAGTATTAAAAGAACTGGCAGATGTGATCTCAGAACCACTGGCAGTCATCTTTGAGAATTCCTGGAGAACAGGCAAAGTCCCGGCAGACTGGAGGAGGGCAAATGTTGTCCCTATTTTCAAAAGGGGGAAAAGAGAGGACCCAAATAATTACCGCCCAGTCAGTCTGACATCAATACCAGGGAAGATTCTGGAGCAGATCATTAAGCAAACAGTCTGTGAGCACCTAGAAAGGAATGCTGTGATCACCAATAGTCAGCATGGATTTCTGAAAAATAAGTCATGTCAGACTAACCTGATCTCGTTTTTTGACAGAATTACAAGCCTGGTAGATGAAGGGAACGCAGTGGATGTAGCCTACCTTGATTTCAGCAAGGCATTTGACAAGGTGCCTCATGATATTCTTGTAAAGAAGCTGGTAAAATGTGGTCTTGACTATGCTACCACTCAGTGGATTTGTAACTGGCTGACTGACCGAACCCAAAGGGTGCTCATCAATGGTTCCTCTTCATCCTGGAGAAGAGGGACTAGTGGGGTGCCACAGGGTTCTGTCTTGGGCCCGGTCTTATTCAACATCTTTATCAACGACTTGGATGATGGACTCAAGGGCATCCTGATCAAATTTGCAGATGACACCAAATTGGGAGGGGTGGCTAACACCCCAGAGGACAGGATCACACTTCAAAACGACCTTGACAGATTAGAGAACTGGGCCAAAACAAACAAGATGAATTTTAACAGGGAGAAATGTAAAGTATTGCACTTGGGCAAAAAAATGAGAGGCACAAATACAAGATGGGGACACCTGGCTTGAGAGCAGTACATGTGAAAAGGATCTAGGAGTCTTGGTTGACCACAAACTTGACATGAGCCAACAGTGTGACGCGGCAACTAAAAAGCCAATGCAATTCTGGGCTGCATCAATAGGAGTATAGCATCTAGATCAAGGGAAGTAATAGTGCCACTGTATTCTGCTCTGGTCAGACCTCACCTGGAGTACTGTGTCCAGTTCTGGGCACCACAGTTCAAGAAGGACACTGACAAACCGGAACGTGTCCAGAGGAGGGCAACCAAAATGGTCAAAGGCCTGGAAACGATGCCTTATGAGGAACGGCTAAGGGAGCTGGGCATGTTTAGCCTGGAGAAGAGGAGGTTAAGGGGTGATATGATAGCCATGTTCAAATATATAAAAGGATGTCACATAGAGGAGGGAGAAAGGTGGTTTTCTGCTGCTCCAGAGAAGCGGACACGGAGCAATGGATCCAAACTACAAGAAAGAAGATTCCACCTAAACATTAGGAAGAACTTCCTGACAGTAAGAGCTGTTCGACAGTGGAATTTGCTGCCAAGGAGTGTAGTGGAGTCTCCTTCTTTGGAGGTCTTTAAGCAGAGGCTTGACAACCATATGACAGGAGTGCTCTGATGGTGTTCCTGCTTGTCAGGGGGTTGGACTCGATGGCCCTTGTGGTCTCTTCCAACTCTATGATTCTATGATTCTATGAACAGAACCCTGAAAACAAAAGCTGCAGGGGGATAACCCTTGGCATGAGAGTTTCTCAATGCTCCTTGTTGTGGTTCTGGTTCATACATAAACTACTTATGCTGCAAATTACCATCATTAATGGAATTGATCTGTGCAAGACCGAGGTTGCCTAAGGCAAAACACCTGCCTGTCCCTGTAATTTGCAGGCGCCCCAAATGTGGTTTGAGCATCATGCTCCCCTTCCAGTTTATTTTCTTGCTCTCTGGCTCCCTGGTTTCCAAGATGCCTGGTGAGGCCAGAAAGCAGAGGTTATTCCTCATTCCGCTTTCTCCTGGAGGGGTTTCTGAGTCCAAGTTGTATTTCATAGGAGTACAACGAAGACAGGAGATGGGACAGGACTGCAAATGTGGAAAGGGTGTTTAGGCTGGAACCCCTTTGTGGTTGAATGTTAGATAAACAGAGCATTTCACTAGTGGTGCGCTGGACCAGTCTTTCTGAAAACATGCCCTGTGGGAGATGCAGCAGAAATCTTGGGTGACAAAATATAGTGAAATAGCTCTAAGCACATGGCCTGAGCTGATAGTGAGCAAGCTCTGGCCCTATCTCAGTGAGTTAGACACTCAGAGCTACACGCCACCAAACCTGTCATTAGTTTCATGGCTACAGGGAAAGATGAAGCATAGCATGGCATTTCTCAGCTCCTCTCAGAAAGGGATGCATCTGCCCACCCAAACCCAGACTACTCTCCTACCTGCCAAGGTGCTTGTGTGGCGGAAAGCACGCACCTGGGAGTCAGACATGCCAGTAAGCAGGGCGACAAGGCTACCCATCAAATACTCATCATAGAGAACAGCATGTTGTGTTCGGTGCACAAGAACTCCCAACAGCTCACAGAACCCCTGCCGAAACCGCCGCCAGACTGGGGTGTTCAGCAACAGTGGGTACTCTGCTGAGCCCTAGGAAAAGATTTGTCTGAGTCCACCATTTGTCTCTGCCACCCTCCCTCCAAGGCGACTGTTTGGATTTAACCTCCCCAGAAACATCCCCTTCCTTAGTTCTCACCTCATCAAATGATTCTGTCAGCTGCTGGATGATCTCCGAGTTCTGAAGGCCTCTCAGCATCTCCAGGGTCACTACACCTGCAGGGCCGTGGAGGGGAAAGAGAAGGGAGAGAGCGCCAGTCCAGCCTCACATCACTGCAGAGCAAGCATGCAACTGGAAGGAGGACGGAGCACAGGAGAGCTTTTGCAAGAGTACGCAGAAGCACAACACTCCACTCTAAACTCACCTTTGCAACCACAGGAGTGGACAATGAAGTTGAACAGCTCCAGAAACCCAGATTCCCTGTCTTTCCTGTAACTCTCAAGCCAGTCATCAACTATAGACTGTGGCAGTTGACAGAGGATGGCAGTAGGCAAAGGGAGCAGGGCAAGGACACGCACATAGAAACAAGAGAGAGATGCGAGACCCACAAGAGCACAAGCATACTAGAGGATTTGCGTTTCCCCTAAGACACATTCCTCTGCCTCCCCCCGCATCTCCCTGCTCCTTCTCTTTCTCCAGCCAACCCTGCCACTCTCACCTGCCCCAAGTCTCCTTTCCAAAACCCACCCCTTGCTCCACTGCAGCCCACCAAGCCAGCTATCCCACTCCAGCACATAGGACAGGGGGGGAGGCACATCTTTCCCTCTCCTTCCAAAGCTCCCCTGGGGACGGCTGCTGGCGCATCCCAGGGAGCTCAAGCAGCAGCTTCGGGTTGAGCCGGAGGGGGCGCCTTCTCCGTGCTGGGCCCTCCCTCCCTCCCCGCTCTCTGCCCCGACTGCAGCCCCGAGCAGGGCCTTCTCCGCGCGGCTCCCTCGGCTGCCCCTCACCTGCGCGGCGCTCCCGCCCGCCTTCACCGCCGGGAAGAGGCCGCCGCCGCTGGGCTCGGCGCGGGCCGGCAGAGGGTCCTTGGGGGCCTGAGGGGACGGAGAGAGAGGGCGAGGAAGCCGGGAGCCCCAGCCCGGCCTGGCGGCGCCCCACCCAGCCGGGGCCTCCCTCCGGCCCTCCCTACCTGCGCCTGGCCGCCAGGCCTTTCCTGGAAGGCGCTGTCGCCGGAGTCCTCCGAGGCGTCGCTGCCCGTCGCCCTGCGGACCAAGAGGGAGCTCAGCCCGGCCCGGCCCGGCCCCACGCCGCCCGCCCGCCCCCGCCCGCCCTCGCCCGCCCGCCCGGCCCTCGGGGACTCACGGCGCGGGGGCCGAGCGGCGCGGCCGGAGGGCCCTGGCCGGAGAAGCCATGGCGGGACCGAGGCGGCGGCGGCCTCCTCCTGCTCCGGGCTCCCTCAGCGCAGCTGCGCGGGAAACGCGCCTCGGCCCCGCCCCGCTCGCCTGCCTGCCTGCCCGACACGCGGCTCCCCGCGGCACTGCGCAGGCGCCGCTCTCCGGGCGGCCACAAGGGGGCGCCCCTGGCTCGCGGCCCCGCCGGGGGCGGAGGGAGGGAGGGAGGGAGGGAGGGAGGCGCCTCCGCTTGGCCGCCCGCCCGGGGAACGGGGACGCGGAGGGAGGTTCCTGGAGGGAAGGAAGGAAGGGGGCCCTTGCTATGGCCAGCTGGCCCTTGTCCCTGATACGGGGGGGGGGGCATGTCTTCTTCACCTTCTTCTTCACTACAATATAGCCATTGATTTCCAATTGCCAATGTCAAAAGGGACTCAAATCTAGCACATTCCTAGAAAACCAACGTGCCAATTTGCTCCGTTTCTCTAGGACTCCATGACACCTCCCCTGTCCTCCAGAATCCCTCGAGCAAGGTGTCAAGACCCTAATCCTGTCAAATCGCTCTGCCAAGCCCTTCCTGCGGGCGATGCCAGGTGGCAGACTATGCATACATGGACCATTGTCTTCTCGGGATGTGCTTATCTGCGCATATCTCCAGCTCTGCATATTCCCCCCTCCCTCCTCCATATGTTAAGCCGGTGTAACCCAACCTCTTCCTAATGTATTCGTGATGTAATCCGTGTAACCCAACCTCTTCTTAATGTATTCATGATGTAACTGGGATGTATTGTGCACTGCATTCTGGGACATGGAGGGAAATTTCAAAAGTTCATGTCACCCCTTTCTCGCTGTTCAATCTCGCCTTGAACCTGTTGCGCAATAAACTCGGATCTCCTGCAACTTGCTCCTGTCTCCGGCTGAGCTCATCTTCTTCCGCAGGGACCCGCGGACTTAGTCCGACGAGCTGGGTGGCAGAGTAACCCCGCACCCAGATTTTACCGTAACATCCCCAACAAATGGTTGCTGTGTTTTGTGTTGAATATATGCCAGGTGGTCATTTATGGACCTCATTTGCACATAACAAAATATGCATTTTATCAAAGTAATTGTTGAACTGAAATACAATGACGTGGAAGTATATTAATAGTGAAATCATTCTCTCTCTGGCGGGACCTCCGGCTGGCAAAGCGCTAGAGCCCAGCAGTGTCTCCGTCCCCCCTCCGTCCCCGGAAAGGCCTGCTCTCGAGGAGGCCCACAGAGCTTCGTCTGCTGGCCAGCTTGGCCCTCGGCCCCTTCGGCCGGCCCTCCTCAGCCCTTCGCCACCTTGTCTGCAGGCTTCCACCCCTGAAGGGGATCCAAGTCCCTCCCACAGCTGCTCTCCATCCAGAGGACGCGATCCTTGGGGCCAGGCAACAAAACCCCGCGTCCGCTTGGCCAGCAGCTCCACTGCATGGCTGACTTGCTCGGTGGGCGCTTCCGCCAAACCCCGAGGTCCACTTGACTCTTGTCAAGGCAGCTTTACCCGCTTGGAAGCCTGTCCTGTCCTGGTCGCCCCACCTCAAAAAGGAGAGAGCCGGGGAAGTTTCAGGGAAGGGCCAGCAAAAGCATGAAGGGGATGGAGTGAGTCCCCTGGGAGGAAAATGGGCTGCAACCTTGGAGGCTCAGGAGTTTGTGGAAGAAGAAAAAATAAGGCAGACATGATCGTGTTACACAAAAACATGCACAGACTGGAGCAAGGAGTAGACAGAAGTACACCTGCCAATTTCCTGTTACTTTGCCTTCATTTTCCTGATAGATTTGTATTTTCTTCCAGATTCCTTTTTTAAGCTCCGAAACTAAACAGAATTAGCGTAAGAATCTCTTTTGGAGCTTTTAATATACTGCCTCTCTACACTTAATCCCGTGTGTCTCTCCTGGTCCTGGTCCTGTCTCACATTGTTGTTCAACCTAGAAGCTCTGCTTCAGGCATCTCCAAGAGAACCCAGAAAACTCCTGTTTCCCCTCAGTTCAGCGCTGGCTCTGCCTTTCTGGAGAACCTCACAATTCCTCCTGCTCGTCTTAGTTTCCTGCACCTCCTTCATGCAAATGCCAGTCCATTGTGATTTCTGGGGTGATGGTGCACACTTAGCCACTGGTGTTCTAGTATTAGGGATTGGTGACTGTTTCTGGTGCTTTGCCAGCGAAACCGTCCTGCTGTTTTCGTCTTGTAGCACTAATGCCAGTTACCCAGCAGGTGCTTTTATGACATCTTCAAGGAATTGAGAGACAGCCACAGCCTCATTTCACCCTGGAGTGTGTTGTGAAGCCTCTTGCTGACCATGTTCTAAGCCCAGCTCTCCTGAATCAGAGGCCAAAGCGCCTTCTGTCCAGGGCCAGCAACCAGGAGGGGCCAACCAGGTGCCCCCAGGGAGCACACAAAGGCAACTGCCCTCCCTGCAGTTTGGCCTCTGCCTCCTAAACCGTCTTTTAAACACCCTGGTCGTTGCCATTATGCAAGCACCTTTGCTGTACTGCTTTTCCCAGATGCTAATACAGTGGTACCTTGGGTTAAGTACTTAATTCATTCCAAAGGCCCGTTCTTAACCTGAAGCTGTTCCTAACCTGAAGCATCACTTTAGCTAATGGGGCCTCCCGCTGCTGCCGTGCCGCCAGAGCACGATTTCTTTTCTCATCCTGAAGCAAAGTTCTTAACCCGAGGTACTATTTCTGGGTTAGCAGAGTCTGTAACCTGAAGCGCCTTGTTATGTACTGAGTTGAATAGGATCCAAACTGCAGCAGTCCTAGAACAATAGGATCCAAATTGCAGCAGTCTGATTGGTCCTAGAACAATAGGATTCAGAATGCAGCAGTCTGAGTGGTCCAAGAACAATGCAGCAGTATGATTGGTTGGCAGGAACCACCCAATCATGCTCCAGATATAAGTGAATCCACAACCTGATTGGCTTACAGTAGAATTCCAGAATTAACCAATCATGTGCAGCCCATTGTGTAAATAATGTATATAAAGCAGATACCTTGAGGGGACATTCATTCATTCCTCCTCACCACTATGAGCTGAATAAAGAGCATGAAATCACTTTGCGACTCTGAGTATATTTCACGCCTGTAACCCAAGGTACCACTGCATGTGATTGTGTTACAGATGTTTGTTTCAAAATGGGTTTTATTTGTATTTTGATAAATTTTAGGTTGATTTATATTTTATCTTTTGATTTTATTATTTTTAATGAATATTTTATATACACTGCTTCCCAATTTTGTTCTTGATAAAGCAGTATCTACATTTGTCAAATAATTAAATGGAACCAACAGTTTTTATTTTCTTTATCATAGTGAACAGCTATTAAATTCACCATGATACCAAGAGCAGCAATGGGGTGGCATATCCCTTTAAAAGTGTGCTTTCAACATGCAAACCAAACTACAACAAGTACCCCATTTTCAAATGTATGCAGGTAAGAAATTGCTGGCCCAATTAAGTCATACAGTTTTGTGAGGAAAACTGATCTCAGATGCTGATAAACTGTAAGGAATACGTGGGTTTTATTTATAAAATAGAAATCTATAGAATGACCACACTTAAAATACTGTTTTCAGTTTTAATCATAATTTTATTGAATTGCAGTAACAAAAACCAAACAACATCACAAGCAAAAAAGGAAAAATAACACATTACACAAAAGATAAAATAAAATAAAAAGAACACACCAAAAAATGCATAAAAACATAGACTTCCCTCCACCCATGTTTGACTTCTTTTATTCACTGTGTTATTAATATTACATTGTTTTTATTCCACTTCCATCCATTTCCTCAATATTTCTACCCTGTAAACTTTATTCATTGCATATTGATATATTTGTCCCAGAACAATGTTTTTTCATATACTCCTTTGCACAATCCCATTCTTCAATTAATTTTTGATCTGTTTGTCCTCTTATTGCTGCCGTAAGGCTAGCCGAAACTATATATTCACAAAATTTGACTTGCCACTCTCAAACAGATGGGATTTTTCCCCCTTCCAATTTTTTGCTATAAGTCTTATGGCAGCAGCTGTTGCGTATAAGAATACTTTTCTATTGGTTGCAGGAATGTCATTTGTTGTTATTCCCAAGAGGAACGCTACAGGTTTTTACAGTTATTGCACGGTACTTTAAGCATTTTTTAAAGTTCCTCTTGTATGGTGGTCCAAATTTTTAAAATATGTACACATTCCTACCACATATGATACATTGTTCCGATGTCTTTTTTGCATCTCCAACACACACTGGTTTTTGATTTATATATTCTAGCCAGTTTAACTGGGGTTAAATACCATTGGTATTTCATTTTCATTAAGTTTTCTCTAATTATGGAGCATGCTGTAAATTTAATGTTGTGTCTCCATAAATTCTCCCATTGTTCCAACTGGATTGTATGACCTATATCTCTGGCCCATCTGATCATAACCTCCAATAGTAGTAATAATAATAATAATAGTGATAATTTTATTATTTATACCTTGCCCATCTTGCTGGGTTTCCCCAGCCTCTCCCCTCGCCTCATAAAAGGATTTTTTTTTTTAAAAAGGAACGCTTCACAAATTTGCGTGTCATCCTTGCGCAGGGGCCCTGCTAATCTTCTCTGTATCGTTCCAATTTTAGTATACGTGCTGCCAAAGTGAGCACGTAAAAGGATATTGTTGGGCTGGAAAAGGTTCAGAAAGGGTAACCCAAATGATTAAGTGGGGGGAATAGCGTGACACCCCTATGAACAAAGGCTGCAGCGTTTGGAACTTACCGGTATAGAAAAAAGGCAAGTGAGAAGCACCGTGGAATCATAAGAGTTGGAAGGGACCCCAAGGGTCATCTAGTTCAGCCCCCTGCAATGCAGGAAACTCAACTAACCTCTGCTTAAAAGCCTCCAAGGAAGGAGCGTCCTCCACCTTCTGAAGGAATCCATTTCACTGTCAAACAGCTCTTACTGTCAGAAAGTTCTTCCTGGTGTTGAGTTGTAATCTCCTGTCTTGTAACTTGAAGCCATGGGTTCGAGCCCTACCCTGCAGAGGGAGCCGCCAGAAGACCCTCAGTGGACCTCAGTGTCTGGGCTAAACGATGGGGGCATGCCTGGAGTT